CACTGCCATCCCTGGCTTGGCGGGATGTCTTGTCTTAGTAGAATAGCGTATTATGTAACTCTAAGCCCCGCGATATCTATTACCTTCTGACGTGGACGTCCATAGGCCCCTTGCCGTCTCGTCTTCTGTTAAGGAGAGAATCCCTCGTGTTACTTGTACCACTGTACCCTGACATAAGAAATATTATAACTTTAACTTAAGATTAACAATCTACAGTTAACAAACTAAGTAGTTAGGAAGTGGATACATTCCTGTGCGGTGGGATTTCCTCTTAATAGAGAGGGATGTTACCACTACTTGGCTTAGCTATCTGCTACTGTACACTATCAATTTCTTATTGAGCCCTGATGACGGTATTGTGATACTAGAGAAAACCCAAAATTGCTGAATCTGGCCCATTAGATACGCCTTGAATTCTCATCCCACGTCTGAAATCCTATTCGATGACAAGGATAGTGTAGAAGTGGGGGAGGGTTGGAGTTGTCGTGAGAACATGGTTCGCAGCCGAATCGGGGATAGTCGCAACCAAGTGCCGAGCCCGCTCAGAAACCTCATCGCAGCATCCTCATCAGCAACCCGCGATCCCGAAAGCTGCCCCCCATCTCCGCAATCCATCTCCTCTCTACCCGCCATGTCTGCAGCTCGAGCCTTCAGCACCGCTTTCCGGGCCGGTGCGCCCCGCGCCCCAATTGCTGCCCGCTACGCCGCCACTCGAAGCTACGCCGCCGCTGCCCCATCTGGCTCTGCCATCAAGCCCCCGGTTGCCCTCTTCGGCGTTGACGGAACCTACGCGAGCGCTCTGGTACGACTTCCATGAGTCCAATTGGCCATTTAGCAATGGTTGGCAGGATGCAAGAATGAAGGGAAACAAGGAGAGGTTTTCGGAGAGAAAAGGAAAGCTTGGCTAACATTTATGTGTTGTTAGTACACCGCGGCGGCAAAGACCAACGCCCTCGAGCCCACGGCCAAGTCTCTGTCGAACCTCCAGGGTGTGTTCCAGAAGGACGCCAAGCTCAACGAGATCCTCCACGCGCCTTCGCTGTCTGTGTCGGATAAGCAGCAGATTGTCCAGGAGCTCCAGAAGCACATTGGCAGCGCTGACAAGGAGGGCATCGTCAAGAACCTGCTCAACACTCTCGCCGAGAACAACCGATTGAGCGTGTTGAAGGGCGTTGTTGAGAAGTTTGGTGTGCTTATGGGTGCGCACCGTGGTGAGGTTGAGCTTACCGTTACTAGCGCTGCGGTACGTATAGAATTTCTGGATATCGGAGAATGCTCCAAAAACTCGAGGATGATGCGAGCGGGGGCCGAGGGAGAGAGAAATGGTGTTTTGATGAGATACAATGACTGACAAAAGAGAACAGCCCCTTGACAACCGGACAATCAACCGCCTTGAGACCGCCATCAAGAACTCGCAATACGTAACCAGCGGCCAGACGCTCAAGGTTGTGCCCAAGGTCAACCCGGAGATTCGTGGTGGACTTATCGTCGAGATTGCCGACCGCACGATTGACTTGTCTGTTGCCAACAAGATGGCCAAGATGAACAAGCTCCTCACTGAGGCTTTGTAAGCTGATAAAGTGCGTGTGTATGTGTATGTCTGTGCATACGATGAATGGACAGTGAGGGAAGGGAGATGTGTATTTTAGATGAGTCTCGGAAAAAGAGCAATTTATTACCGTCTACCACGTTGATTTTATGCAAATATTACGGAGTGATTCGAGTGTATATGACTTGGCGGGGTGGTAGTGTCAAAGAGACTGGTTGACAAGTCGAAGAATTGACGCAGTGACTTATTCCCAACATGTTGGATATCCATAACATCCCCATTTCAAACTCTGGCCTAGTAGTCTTTCCCCTCCTCCCCTTTACTACCATTGCCCCAGACAGACAAACAAAGTTCTCTTCTTCTACTTCTCCTCCTCCTGCACCTGTTCCTTCACCTCCATCCCATGCCCCTCCTCCTCCTCCTTCTCCTCTTTTTCTTCTTTCCCCTCCTTTCCAGGTGCCTCCCTCAAACTCGCATCAACAACCCACGCACCATCATACTCCTCCCTCCGCATCGTCGTCTGCCCCACATCCAGCTTCGACGCCAGTCCTCTAATCTCCGCATCACTGTACTCGCCCGAGTGCAACCGGTACCAAGCCAGTAAATCGTTCATGTGTGATGCAGTATCGACTTGGATTGTACCGTGGTTTTTGAGTTTCTGTAAATTTTTTTCTCTCGTATTAGCTCTCCCTCCCCCGCCCTTTGGATATGTACAAACAGATTTGTTTGCCTTTCTTGGATATACAAAATCATCACTCCCCCCCCCCCCCCCACCNCCCCCCCCCCCCTTACCTTTTTTTTTGGGGGGGGTTCTTTCTTGGGGGAATTTGGGGGGAAAGAAAAATATAATACGTACGACGATTGTGGGAAAGGTGAAGAAGAATGGAGGTGTTTTTTCGAGTTCTGCGATGGTGAAGGGGCGGCTCGAGGTGGAGGCTAGGCTGGAGACTTCGGTGATGGAAGCTAGGGGTTTGAAGCGCGGTGAGTCTTCTTGCTTGGGTTGCTGCTGTGGCTGCGGTTGCGGTTGCGGCTGTGGGTGTGGAGGTGCGTCGTCGTCGGTTGTTGGACTGGCTGGAGTCGGAAATGACATTGCGGCTACAGATGGCGTGGAATGAGTATGTCTTGCGGTGGTTGAAAGAGCTGCTCGGTGATGTTGATACTGTGCGAGTGGTGTTGTGGACAAGAGCAGGTGTGAGTGAGTGAATACGTAGTTTGGGTTTGAAACTGTTGGGGGAAAGGACGAGGTGGGTTCATCAATTGTGGTTCAGCAGGGCCAGATGGGTACAACGGAACAATCAGAGGAAGAGGAATTTCATGGAAAATAGGATAACTAAGAACAGTTTGCAAAACAACAATCTATACTGTCCGGTTCTATTGCAGTTTACAGTAGTTTCTCCCATGCTCTACCTGCCAGCGACAGAGACTCACCTCGACGATCATGCCCAAGAAGCCAGCAATGCAAATGCCAGCCGAGTCACTTACACTCGTCGCGCCCAGACTAAACTCCCTGTCCTCTTTGGGCACATTATCGGTTATCTCAGCAAACGTGCTGACGTAAACGAGACCGCCTAACAAACCTTCCCAGAATATGATGATGCAGACAATGTAGTAGCTTGGGATGAATGCAAACATGGCGTGCAGCGTGAGCAGAATGAGATTGCCGACTTGGAGAAAGGAAGGAAGGTAGAGATGATGGATGCGTATGAAAGGCGTTGAAGAGCGTGAGATGAAGACACCAACCTGGTAGATGGCATTGTAGGTGCTGTAAAAGGAGCGGTACTCATCAAAGGGAGAGGATTCGAGAGGGAACAGCAAGGTGGGTGCGACGCCTTGGTTGATGGTGTACTCGGCAATGTAGACGAGGAGAAGAGGCAGCATGCTGGAGTGTGTCAGTGGCAAGTGGCTGTGTGACATGGGGTGGGTGACTTACTAAGGAAAGAACAAGCCTCTTGCACGTTTCAGATTGGCCTGGAAGCTACTCAGCGCACTCCTAGCAGGCTTACTGTTGGCGGAGCTAAAGGTGCGGCCCGAGGCCGAGTGCATGGAGGAAGAGAGCAGGTCATCATGCTCCCTGGGCTCTGTTGCTTCTTCTGCTTCGTCGTCGGCGTCTGGTTCCTCATCGTCGATGGCTTCGTACTCGGCATGCTTGCTGGTGCCGGCGCGAAGTGGACCAAGGGGGAGGACAAAGAAAAAGCTAAAGACCATGACCAGGGGTAGGAAGGAAAAGACAAGCAAGCTGGTGCGGGGATCGATGCCGAGTGTGTTTGTTGCAATGGCGTATGCGCCCGCACCGATCAAGCCCGCACCACCCGTACCGGAGCCCCAGGAAGCCAGTGCAAAGTGGCCGTAGAAATGGGTGAGGCCCAGGAAGCTAAGCTCGCCACCCCCGCTGCTGAGGCTGGCCATCATGACGCCACACATTTTGATTGCGATTGTAGCTGAGTCCTGCAGGGGCGGGGTGAGGGCGATGACGAGCATGCCGGCTGCGGACAGGGCGACAAAGGCGACGATGCGGACATGGTAGGGGATCTTGTGGATGAAGTAAGGGGCGCACAGCTTAGTGAGGAACGAGGGGAGGACATCGGCGAGGAGGACGACGCCCTTGGGGACGTTGGGGCCTACGAGATCGAGGGCGGCGGAGAGGATGATTACGTAGAGGACGTTGTTGATGAGGCCTAGAGCTTGTAAGCGGGGGTGTCTGTAGGCTGGATATTGGACATGCAGGGAGATTGCAGGAGGGCGACGAGGCATACCAAACAACCAAAAAGCCGCACACACTCGCGGATCAGCGCCATGGAAGGCCTGCCGCAGACGGGCGCGATAGAGGGCCCAGGAAGAAGCAGGAGAGCCAGGCATGGGGAGGAGCGACATGTAGTTGCGAGGGCGAGGGCGGCACTTTACATATCACACACACACACACATGCACACACATGCACACGCATACACGGACGGCGGAGGGGGAGAGGGCTACAGGGCACGTGGAGCGGGTACGGGCGTGGTGGGCGGATGGTGGTAGTGGTAGTGGTAGTGGTAGTGGTAGTGGTGGTGAGGGCTGCAGCTGATGATGTGGCTTGGCACCTGGCGGTCTAGGAACCATTCAGGAACAGGATGCATGGCCTGCTGGTCCGAGGTTGCATCGACGTTTCTTTTTTGTGCGCGAGTCGCCATGGCATGCACCCACCAGGGCGCGACGGCTCCTAGGGCGTTTTGCCATGTGCATACACATGCACGCCTGCGGGCGTGGACCGGTGCGCGCATCATCCACGGGCTGGCGGGTGTGGGCACATGGTTTGCATTTGACGCTGCTGCCATCACATCATACGTAGTCGCCAGCCAGCCGGCGTGGGCTGGGGCCCCTGGTGGGAGGGCATGCACGCACATGCGGGGCTCTCGCGGCCTCCTGCTCGCCTACAGGGATGCAGCCACTAGCGGCCCTCTCGCCGTGCGGCAGCGCTTGGGTCCGTTGCGCCTTTCTCGTTTCCTCGCATGCTCGACCTTTCTGCTGCTGCTGGTGCGGGTGCCGATGCCTCTGCTGCCTCTGCCTGACCTTGCCGCCTCCCTCTTCTCTCTTCCCTCTCTCCCCTCCCTTGTTGGCACCGCCCTCTCTTCCTGCGCGGCCATCACCAGCGCGCACCCTGTCGCTGTCTTCGCAAAGCCCCTCCATTGCCTCTTGCTGCACACAGTACCGCCGAGCCCATGAGCCCAACCCTGCAATGAGCCGCCCGCAGTCTTTCCCACGCCCGCCAGATGGCCCCATGAACCATAGCAACAACAACAGCAGCAACAACAACAACAACAACCACCCGCACTCCTCTCAGCCCTATCCCGCCTACCCTCCCTCCTCGCCCTCGCAACAGCCTTCGCACACGCCCCACGCCGCCGACCCAAACTCGACGTCTCGTCGCGACACATTCTACCCTTCGGCCCCGCAGCACGCTCGTCATGGCAGCCAAACACGGCCGGGAGGGAACAACGTGCCCCAGGGCCAGACAGGAGAGGGGCACGCCCAGGGAGCTTGGTCAAACACAGGTACGCATCACTGTCTACCCATCCCTCCAAGAGCGCACCAAGGCGCATGGACAATGGCTGTCCTCGCCTGCAATCCTCAACGCAGCCTGTACACATATCGCTGAGAACTGGTCGGGTGGGTGGGTATTCGACAAAGAGACGACATGTACCAAAGGCACTGCCTGCAGGGACAGGGTGCATGCCACGTCAATTGCGAAAAAAGCACCTCACCGCCTGTCGCCCGTCCATTGTAGTGCACACGGCGACAGGCCATGGTTCCTAGCTAGCAGCTGCCTTTGACGGAGCGTCGCAGCCTTCCAGCCCGAGCCACACAATGATTTGAGCTGCGCACTTTGGTGCGCGCCAGTTGTTTGGTGGAGCGGGCATGGGTCTGGCGAATTTCATGGCGCACTCCGCACATGTGGCTCCTGGCTAATGCAAGATCGGCGGGCCTCTAAGCCTGTTTAGAAAAGTCGCGACTCACTGTCCAAGCTTGTGCTGATCCATGTCTCTAGCGCGACCGATTCACTATGAAACTCATCACGTCCAGCCGGGCCCTTTGCCAGCCATGACCACTCCAAATAATAATAATCCTCCCCCCGCCCCGTATGCCTTCGACGCTGCCCGCACACGCTCGCTGAACGGCGCCAGTCCTCCCCATCCATACGGTACTACTGCCCACCCCCGCCTGCCCGCACCTAGTCACACCCCCCTCCCCCCCTCCAAGCTTCTGCTCGAGCTAACTCTGCACCAAAGGCCCGTCTCGCGACCCTCCACCGCCTCCATCCTATGCGCGACCGCAGATGCCTCCTCCATCCTCGCCCACCCAACAGCATCCCCATGCATCTCAACCACCGCGCTCGCAATACCCTCCCAACTTTGCTGCCGCCAGGGAGCTTCCAGGCCTAGGCCAAGCAATGCGACCGGGCGCCAGCATGGCCATCTCGTCCTTGATCGGTGGCGGGGGTGACACAGGCGCCCCCATCCAAACAACACAGTCGCCATCATCGCCCTCCGCAAACGCGCCCTCATCAAACGGCCACAGCATGCAACCACCCTCGCCGCGTCGCGTAATGCCATCAGGCCCCCGATCAGACTTTGCACCCTTTCGCCGCCAGCAGACGCCCGAGCGCGGCACGTATGGAGCAAACACTTCGCGCCCCTCTGATGCACACCCTTATTCATCAGCATCACCTGGCCAGTCCTACAGCAACCAAGCCTCACCTGACTCTGGTCGCCAGTCGCTTCCGCCAAACGCTCCACCGTACAAGCCCATGAATTTTCCTGGCCAACGTCTTTACGCGCAAGACCCACATCGCCAATCCGCTGCAAACGTCCCACCTCGACCGAACAGCCAGCCAAATGGTCCTCCAGGAAACAATGAGCAAGAGGGCAGAGTCGTGTACGACGCGTTTGGGAGCCGGCGCGATGCATATGGTCCGCACGAAGAGCGGCGACGAACGCTGGGCGAGTCGCATCATGCAAGGCCAAATGCCGCTGAGCTCCTGGCAGGCGGCAACCAAAGCGGGCCCGAGAGAGATAGGGCTGCGACCGTACATCCCGTGTCACAATCTGCATTCAGCCCACCACAAGAGCACCGCAACATTTCTGGCTCATCGGAACCCCCGCGCAACCTGTGGCGGCATTCAGCACAAACAGGCCCTGGCCGCGAACTTGCCCACGATGGACGACAAGACGAACCTCCGCCATTGCACCGCACGTACGGCCCATATCCTCCCGCTATGCTGGGAGTTGCACGCTATGGTGCTCAAACCTCCGAGGAGATGCTCCGCCGCAGTGTGGACCATCTGGGGCACCGTGTGGTAGAGCAGTACCATGCTCCTCCTACCTCTGACCCGACCACCATGGAGCGCCACAGAACTGAGCCACTTGCTCGCTCGTTGTCTTCCGGAGGGAGGTCTCTTTACGACCAGCCTCAGAAGATGGGCGAGGCCATGCAACACTCCAAGTCCCACATTGGCTTCGGACTCGAGGCAAGCAGACGAACCGGTCGCGCCTCCCCACTGCCGCAAGCAGTCCAGGGTGCCCAAGGACAACCCCTGTCAATTGGCAAAGACCCGGGAATCAAGAGCGAGTTTGGCCGAATGTTTTCAGGTTTGGGCAGTGGTTTAGGATCGTCTACACCGTCGCGGGGAAGCCCAATGCCACAAAACGGACAGGGATCGTTCGAGTCAGAGAATGGCGAGATGATGAGAAGAATAGGCTCTCAGCAAGGAAAGAAGCCAAAGCGAGCAAAGGACGAGGAGGGTATCTTTGACATGGACAGCCCTGACGGCAGAGGAACCCCGTTCGGCTCTCGCGGTGCTAAACGGAACAAGCATCATCACCACCACCATCATCACCATCCTCCGCCTCACCAGTAAGTCAGCCATGCTGATGCCTCCTTTTGCCTCCCTTTCAAAGTTCGTGCTAACATTGTAACAGTCATCATCATCACCACCACCATCACCATCATCAGCACAAGCCTGACGACGAAGGCCTGCCCGCACCGACGACAGCGATGCTCAACGGCCGACCGACACCCCTACCCCAAGCTGGTCCCGGCCAATCTGTCCATCATCACCACCATATTCAGGGGAATCCTCACCATCATCATCACCACCACCATCACGCACCCCGCCCGACTATGCCAGTGGCACTTGCAGCACCAATCAAGATTCATGACATACAGCCCGTCCTGGAAGAAGCCGCTAAGCGGCCTCGAAAACATCTTGGGTCACAATTGTACCAGGCTAAGACGGAATTGCCAAAACCCAACTCATCATTGGACGATCAATTTGGCTACGCCTCGAAACCGCAGCGACTGCCGCGCTTTGACGTCAATCCTATCAACTGTACTTTCACGATCAGAGTGCCGAGATACTATCTAAAGCCGCGACAACGCCAGCATATCGTACTAGAAAGGCACCTCTGGGGGGCACGTGTATACCGGGATGATTCCGATCCACTAGCTGCTGCTATTCACTCGGGATGGATCCGTGGCGAGTGGGACGACACCGTCGACGTTGCCATGCTCGATCCACGCATCACTGCACCCAATGACCCATCGGACGCCGAAGATGTCCTTACCAAGCTCCCTGCTGCGCCTGTAACTCCGCCCGCCGATATGGATCTGCAGATTGAGATTGTCATTCTGCCGCAGCTCCAGGAGTATACAGGGTCGGTCGAGTATGGAATCTCGAGTAGGAAGAGCAAGGGACACGAAGGCCTGAGCTTCATGATCAACAAGATTCGATGGGTAGAAGAAGGCATTGGCAGTCGAGGACAAGACCGGACAGCAGCAGCATTGAAACGGCGACTAGACGCCAGCGCTGCACTGCTCGCTCTCAAGAGTGGGATTGTTGATTCCTGCAGGGTTAATGGCATGGCAAGACTACACGCTTGATGTTTAGTCGAGTTGTCGCAACTTCTCGACGTATAACGGCCGTCTCAGATTTTATGGCATATGGAATTTTGTAGCATGCAGTTGAGTTTGAGCATTGCTAGATACCCGCATCTTTTATTTTATGCTCGAGTTTGGCGCAGGATTTGCACATAGCGAAGGCGAACAAGTTTGTGTTGCTATTTTTACGACAATCGAAGAGGTGTTTGCTAATTGGGTATCCTGAGAAGACGAAGATAAAAGTAAAAAGTATATGGTACATAGTGTTTGTAGTGATGATGAAATGTTTATAGCGTGATTTAATCCTGATGTTGGTGTTGGTGCACGTGGTTTGGGTAGTTGGAAGATAAACACATCCCGCGGGATTACACACGCATACATGCAAGTTGAAGGCGATAGCGGTGTGAGCTGTTCCTGCTTGGAGCACAGATAAGAGACAATCGGGCCATGTGAGCCTAGATACTACACTTGGCCGTCTTGAGGCGAGGATCCATTCATCAACTCTCGAACACGCAGCAAAGCAATTGCCTACTGAGCGCACAATATCCCTCTGGCAGCCAGATCCAAGAAGACTGCCCCGCCAACCTGTCCCACCGCTTACGCCACCACGCCACAGCCATCAGACATAGTGGGATTGTGCTGCAATTGATAGCAAAAATGGGTCACACCAGAACCTATTCCATCTCGACGGTAAGTAAGCTCGTATTCCTTGGGCAGACTGCAGGCTGCCACCATGACTCTGGCCCATTTTTTGCCATGGCTGGCATGAACTTGGTTAAGAAATTTCACCCTCTTTGCGACGTTCCGGCATTCGGCGGCTTAAGGCATGTGTCTGGACTACCCCTAGCCATGCGACTGGAGCCGTTGTCGTCATGGCGCAGAGGACTATGGCATCATGGCACACGACCAAAGAAAAAGAGTGTAGCAGCGCGACCGTTTGGAGCCACAGAGCCAGCGGCATAGGGCCAGCAGACCGAGACGCTGGCCGACAGCCATGTACGCATCGCGAGGCACAAGCAATCGCGCATATTGGAATGGTTACAACAGCCATCCGTCCGTCCGGGGAGACGGGCTCGATTGCAGATGAGAATGTCTGGCTGTCGAATGAGAATCTTGCAGCAGTGTCTGCTCCACTGCGCCCGCTAGTTTGGAGCCGCAATCCGAACGCTTGCTGGTGAAAAGAAGGACAACGGCACCGAATGCGGGGAATCGTTGTCAATCGTCAATCCATCGTCCTTTCGCTTCTTGATGGCCGGACCGAGCTCACGATTCTGCAACACAACACCCCACGCCCTTACCGCTATTGCTTCAGCCCAAACCCACCACTAAACGACCTGCCGCTCGGGAGCCTCTCCCCTTGACCGCCCAATACTTGTCATTGCCGCCTCTTTGATTAAAAAGCCGCAATTTGTCCCTGCGCCATCGGAACACCTTCGGGCGAGATTCCGACCTGTTGCTTTTCTCTATCCTCCTCTTTCTCTTTCTTACCTTGCCCGCCTTTTTTTTCCCGTCACTGCATCTTAGGGAGCTGGACTCGCCGCACAACATGACGGACACCAATGGAACATATGCGCCAAATATGCGCGCTGTGCCTGCCGGCGATTTCGTACGGCCAAGCAGAAAGACTAACGGTGCTGGTATACAGGCTGAAGACACTCGGATATGCGTCGTCATGGTCGGCTTGCCCGCGCGAGGCAAGAGCTTGATTGCACAGAAAGGTATGTCCCTTTTCCACACGTGCGCATGCCGCCCCTGACCAAGTACTTCGTAGTTGTCCGCTACCTACATTGGCTATCGATCAAATCCAAGACGTTCAATGTTGGGCAGTATCGTCGCACTGCAACCCCTAACCCCTCGGCCGAATTTTTCGACACATCGAACCCAGAAGGAGAGCGCCTCCGAAAAGCAGCCGCCGAAGCGGCTGTCAACGACATGTGCAAATGGTTTTCCGAGGGCAAGGGATTGGTCGCGATCCTTGATGCGACAAACTCTACAAAGAGCCGACGAAGATGGATACAGGAACGATGCACTGCGGACAACATCGAGACACTCTTTGTCGAGTCCAAATGTGACGACGAGGAGCTCATCATGAGCAACATATTGGAAGTGAAGACAACCTCTCCAGATTACGTTGGCCAGGACCCTGAGGCTGCCGCAGCCGATTTCCGCAACCGCATTCGAAACTACGAAAAGGTTTACCAGACAATTGATGAGGATGAGCGTGACCTCACATATGTCAAGCTCATCAATGTTGGCAAACAAGTCATTATCAACCAGATCCAGGACTACCTCCAGAGTAGAGTTGTGTACTACTTGATGAACCTGCACATCAAACCACGATCTATTTGGTTATCACGAGTAAGTTGGCACCACGACGCCTGGAGTTCAATGCTAACTATGGTAGCACGGCGAGTCGGAATACAACCTCACAGGGCAGATTGGAGGAGACGCGAACCTCTCAGCCCGTGGCGACGCTTACGCGCATGCGCTCCCAGGTCTCGTCGCAAAGTCCGTCGGCGATGGCCGCAAGCTCACGGTATGGACATCGACCTTGAAGCGAACAATTCAGACGGCACGATTCTTGCCCTTTGAAAAGTTGGAGTGGAAGGCGCTTGACGAACTCGACTCCGGTGTCTGCGACGGACTTACGTACGCACAAATCGAGCAAAAATACCCGGAAGACTTCAAACAGCGTGATGAAGACAAATACAACTACCGCTATCTTGGTGGAGAGTCATACCGCGATGTCGTTATTCGACTCGAGCCCATTATCATGGAACTGGAGCGCAGCGAGAACATTTTGATTGTTACGCATCAAGCCATTTTGCGATGCATTTATGCCTATTTCATGAATGTACCACAGGAACAGAGCCCCTGGATGGAAGTGCCTCTGCACACATTGATAAAATTGACACCAAAGGCGTACTCGACACAGGAGGAAAGGTTGAAAGCCGACATACCGGCCGTCAGTACCTGGCGTGGAAAGGGTACCAAGGCCGAGCATCAGCCGGCAAACGGTAGCACATAGCTTTGTTTCGTTTAATTCCTGGAAAAATTTGCAGCCCGCATTATCCAGGAGTGAACGTTGGGAGAAGCGTTATGAAGGAGCTAGTGAATAAGCTGTCAACAGCACGATAGACGAATGAGGGGTCTTTGATCGATTGTACGTTGGCTATTTCGGTGTGTGCGTTGAGGCATATGGTATAGGTGGCATTTCTGCGGTTTTGGTCAAAACATTATTAGACGGCAAGCACTCAGAGTAATGGGTATTAGATTGGAGGGAGTTAAACTTTGCTGTCGTAACGTTAGGAGGGCAGACAACTGGTATCACAAACAGCAATGCTTGAATAGAAATTCGTGTACCTAGTTTTCATTCTTGGCGTCGAAGTTGGAATATAAACATACGTGTTTGATATAGGAGTATGATCAACGTTCTAGAAAACTAGATGTGTTCCATTACCCAGGTGTCGGTACGTACTGCCCACCTTCCCATCTCAGCCTCTCCCGCGGACATTGCAGCAACGGGCTGTGCCGCACCCCACTTCACCTCCGCAACCAAACGACTACTGCTTCTGTCATTACTACCACTACTCCTACCACCAACGCCCGACACCAAACCACAAACTCCCCCTACAAACCTTTTGGAGGAGCAGAAAAAAAAAGACGACAGCTCACAGCAATGCGACAATGTCACCGCCACCAACCACAAACACGGGCTACCCTCCGCTCCACCCGCCCCAGCACCATGCTTCCGCCTCAGACGCCATCCTAGACCCCCCCATACCCGCCTCACACTCGACTCAAACACCCACCGCACCCGCACCATCCCCCGCAAGCGTCACACCACACGCCGGATCCCCATCGCACCCACGCCACCACCACCACCGCGGTCCACCACCTCCCTTCGACCCGCGCAGCGCGCACACCAAAAAAGACGAAGACCTGCGCCGCAACCTGCAAGCGCGAGGCAAAAATTACAATCTTGGCAACAGTAGTAGCAGCAGTAGCAGTGGTGGTGCTGGTAAATCGGCGGGAGCCCAAGCGAGTAGAGCGTGGGGGTATGAAGAGAGGCAGCGACGCGATGAGGCGGCGGGGATACTGGACAGTGAAGAGATGATTATGTGGATTGCGGGGGTGAGGAATGAGGTTCGTTGTTTCCCTTTTCTTTTTTTCCTTTCCCTTTCTTTCCCTGATATCGTGGAAAGAGTGGGCTTTTTTTTTGGAGAGGTGGGGGGGTTGTTTGGACTGACGAGTGAAATAGAGTATAACGCAGACGCGGGCATATTACCGCAATGTACTGCTTGGGCTCGAGACGTGTGCGAAGGATGCGATTGTTTGGCGCGATGAGTGGGAGGGGTCGCAGCAGGGTCGCGATGGAGAGGGGTTGGGGAGTCCGGCGAGGAATGGAAAGGGTAAGGAGAGGGAGGTTGCGAAGATGAGGAAGAGGGTGAGTTCGGGGGTGGGACAGTAGGTACGACTTTAATGAGCGGAGAAGGGGAAGGGGGTTTAGTATCATGATTTTCACAAACAGCTTTATACCCACTCATGTACATAGATACATCTTCACATCACGACCTTTTTCTTCTTCAAGTACAACCAGATCCAAAGAGGCACGTTACTCGTTGCATTAGATACTTGCGTTCGTAACCTGTTTTCTCCCCTAGGCCTAAGGGGATATATGTATGGGGTTCATAACGAATGAATTCCCAGAACCCCCCCATTCTTTTCCTTTTTTTTTTCCAATGTATGCCCAAACACCTCATGTACGCATTCCCAAGCGCGCCAGTTACTTACATTGATTTCAACAACAACAACAACAACAAGGAAGAACGCGCGCCACTGCCTCCATCTCTTCACAGCGGCGTTTCCAAGCTGACCCTCAAAAGCTCTACCAAACGCCCCATTCCTATGTCCTCTTCACATTCCCTCTTCCATGCCGACATTGCGCCACCACGGTTTATCACCCTCACCAGCACCCTTCTCCGCAAACATGTCTTCTGCATCACCAACTTGTCGTCTCTCACTGATTTCCCTGCTAACCTGGCCGCTCAACTTCAACTTCATAGCCTTGCTAGCCAGGAACGGGTTGTATTTGCGCGAACCGTTACCCTGCGCCATTCCTCGGGATGATCGGATGAGTTCGCTCGATGTCCATCCGCCCCTCATGACAGGTAATTGCTATTGCAAAGGCTCTGAGGAAGATGAGAGGCGGTTGAGATGGAGGTAGACATCGGTGCCGTAACTATCAAAAAGAGTCAGTTTCAAGCCATTTTTTCTGCCATAAGGAACCGAGCTATGTTGATACATACCCTTCCATCGAGATCAACTTCAAGTCTCCACCAAAGTACCGTGCATATAGCCGAGAAATAGGTAGGCCATAGCCGAAACCAGCCATTGGTGCTTTGAAATCATTCTTGTTGAAATCTGGGTCCAGGTTGGGCGTTTGGTCCACAGTCGTGTACATATATGTCCAGACGAGTGGAATCGATGATCTAGGAATGCCACCTCCTTCATCTGAGATTTTGATCGTGATATCCTCTTTACCCTCTGCAACAATGACTTTAGTCACGGGGAATGCCTCTTTTTCTTGACCATGTCGCTCTACTACAGCACGCAGCGAGTTCTTCAGAGTCTCGAAGAGCATGTGCGACAGATGCCCAGGCACGTACATGAAGTTGATCTCGGGGTTGCACACAAGCTGCACCTTTGGAGCGTCAAATAATCCATAATGATCCTCGCATACAAAGCGCGCATTTTCAATGGCTTCTTGCGCCAGTTCTTGTACGTTTGTCTTGGTGCATATGATACCAACGTAGTTTGGATCACTCCGTGAGCGTTGGTCGGTGAGGGCAATGTGCTGGCCGATGAGCATCCGAATTCCAATACGCGACATGTAGAAACGGTCCAGGAAAGCCTGTATGTTGTGGTCAATGTGCATCCGTTGCCTCTTGCGCTTCCACTCGAGGATGCCCTGCGCGACAGTAGTAACGACGCTGTCATGCCGCCGTTTGATCTTCTCCAAAGTCTCGGCAAACTTTGTGTTGTATGCGCTGAGCTCTGGTGGCCAATCCTGACCGTCGTCTGCAGCGACATAGTATCTCCGGCTTGCACCCTTGACCTCTTTGGTGATCCCGTTGCCGTTGCCATTGCCGTTGCCATTGTGATTTCCATTCGACGCTGGTGCGGATCGGTACTGTCCAGTTCTGATGCTTGGGTTTTGTGTTGGTTTGCTCATCAAGTTCTTGTCGCCGCTCTTTTTTGCTGGTTTCAGTAATCGTTCTTTGATCTCGCTCGAGAGTTGTGGTCGTGGCAGTTCGACGAGTTCCTAGCGCTGTGTGAGTCAAGCTATTCAGCGAGCTGTTACCGCACATACCTCGAATGACTGCGCGTACCAGTCGCGCACCCTGCAAATGGATGGCATCTCGTTGAGGCCATCGGGGAGGTCGTTGAGCTCTTGCACGCGATGTGCTAACCGTATGGGAAGTTCTTCAGATAGGAACTGCGACGCGCGGAAAAGGGTTCCCGTCGATGGCTTCTCGCCAAACTGCACCATCTGCCGCAGGGACACACCTGGAGAGGAATTAGAAAGACAGATGACACCAAGACTCGAGGATACGGACCGGTCGCCGGAAAGTTGCTATAGTGCTATGCGAGGATTAGCTGTGATTGCGTCGTAGGGTGAGTCCCCTACCTTGATGGTTTCCATCAGCCTCTCGCTCCGTTTCCACGACATGATGGCAGTTGTTCAAGGCCGTAACGGCCTTTGTCGCTGTGTGCTCGCCAAAGTGCTGTGGTCGGTGGTGGTGTCCCCCCGTCCAAGCTGCCGAACGCCCCCACTATGACGCTAATGGACGGCGATGAACCGGCCGAGGTAACGGCGCGTGGAATGCTGTGTTGGGGCGGTTTGCGACGAGTCGACTTGAGTGAGAGAAGGGAGAGGTGGCACAAGAGCCCGTGTAAATATGCGTATGGCTAAATGATGAGATGTACACGGAGTTCCCCGGCAATGCCACAACTGATTGGAGAGCACTTGCGCCTTCCCCCACACTTTTCGACTTGAGCGTGGAGAAGCACGCGCAGCAGCGTCACAGGCAATCCGCGTCCATGAGCCTCTTATCCCACGCCTGACGAGACGGTATTGGTTAAGACACGACTATCTGTCTTGTTTTCTTTTCTGGCGCCTGCCGTCGCCAATGCATGGGATGCGACAACGTCAGTGTATCGCCCTGGACAAGCACACAGCTCCAGCCACATGATCCTCGGCTAGTTGTCGGAGGAGGCGCCGGCAGAGCGCATGTTCCTTGCTGCATGTTCCTCAGCTCCGAGGATGCCCAGACACTCGCGTGAGCCGCACCATATGGAGCTAGGCGGACGTACTACCATAGGTACACATGATGCAACCGCTCCAAATACGGTCCCCTATTGTCGAAATTCCCGCAACGTGTCAGAAAATTTGCCCGACTCGCCATTGGCTGCCAAGGTAGGACCAAAATGTGCGGACTCTGTGCCACCGCATATCACCCTTTTCACACGTCAAGAGCAACGCCCCGAGAGGCAACGAGAGCATAAGTAAATAGAGGAGAATTGTTATTTCGAACGTGCCGCCAAGTTCCAAACCAGGTCTATGCTGCACCACATCGAAAAAACGCCCTAAAATCGTACACCAAACATAATCTACATGGAACAGTAACGCGCTAAAACCGCGCTCACCGCCTCAGTCGTTCGTCTATCATCGATGTTGATACAATCCAAAGAGATCTTGGGTCGAAGAGGTATTAGAGAAGGGTCGTGGAGTGTCGGAGTGTCGGTAAACGTCAACGTGGAAATGGGACGCTTATTTGGTCTCCTCCTCAAGGAAGGTGATCAAATCGTTACGGTCCTTGGGCTTCTTGAGACCGCCAAAGGCCATCTTGGTACCGGGAATGTACTTCTTGGGGTTCTCGAGGTACTCGAACTGTGTTGCGTTAGCATTGACTGTCGGGTGATATTTGTCTTGGTAGGGCGTCACATACGAGAGTGTCGTGGTTCCACTCGATGCCCTTTTGCTTGTTGGCATCGGTGTATGAGTAGCCAGAGACGGAACCAGTCTTGCGGCCGAAGAGGCCGTGTAGCTCGGGGCCAATCTTGTTGCCCTCACCGGCCTTCAGGGTGTGGCACTGAGCGCAACGGGTCTACAGTGTGGTTAGAGAAGGTTCGGCGGACGAAGGATGCGACGAGGGATGTATCCGGCGTCATCTCAGTGTATCCGTACCTTGAAGAGGTTGGCACCCTTCTTAGCATCGCCTGCAAGGATATGTCAGCAGTCTGCATGACGATAAAATTTATTGTACTGCCAAGCGAGCCATCATGCCATGTCGCAAACCTGCCATATTTTGCACACTGCCTCGTGGGCTGCCAAAATCTAGCCGGCTTGTGTTCTGAGAAGATGCTGCTTCTCAGGGAGGCCAGTTGCCCATGTGCGCGCAGGCTCAATGGGCGTTGGAAGCAGGAGGCAAGACGAGGCAGGCAAAATGGGAGACGACCGATGACGTCTGGTTGGAGTCAGGAAAACGTACCCTTTTCGTAGCCCATTGTGATAAGATGAGAGGTATGAGGGTTGGTTAGGTAGTAGCCAAGTAGTGTTCAAGCGTGAGAGAAGAGTGAGACTTGTGGAGTGGTGAAAGGAAGCAGCGATGGAAACTGGAATGAGCGACAAAAAAGCTGGCAGAGGCAATGGAAAAAGCCAAACACGTGACTGCGCTCGCGTCAGGGCCCGTCATTCCATCGCGGCTAGCGCCTGCATGCGGCGAATCAGAGATGCAGTAAAAGTCAGGAGCAAAGGCGGTCGGGTGGAACCGGTCCGAGGACGCCTGGAGTAGGGCAAACAAGAGCCTCTGTGCCAGGGCTGCCTTTGTCCAGCCACTTTCCTGGTACTCGGCAATCCTGCATTTTATCCATCAGTCGATGCTGTCATGACGTCGCCCGCAAGCAACCCTGGGCAGTTGCCAGTACATATGCCAAGTCCACGCACATGTCCATGTTAAGAGTACATGTATGCCAAAAGCAATTATTCTCCCCTACATACTCTGGTCGTCGGCTTTCCCAGGGTCTGGTCCGTTGGCTTCCCTGCAGGACGCCGGCTCTACATACCAAATACGATGCCGCGCAAGGGTCCGTAAATCAACGTGACATGTCCATGAACCCACACATCTTCACGTTCTCGTTCAGGTTGATGAATGCCGGCTCTCGTGATCTAGAAAGCAGTACATTAGTGTTACATTCCCCAGCCACGATCACACTCATCTTGCCTTTCTACTAGCAATCCGCCGCCGTCCGTTTGTGACCCAGTTTCTTGGTTGACATCATTGAGTTCTGCCCCGCCACACCTCAACCGACAGGATGAATCAGATTCCAAGTATCTTATATGCTGACGAGAACTTCAAAACATGGCTGATACTCGGCGCTAGCCGAGGGATTGGTCTGGAATTCGTCAAACAGTTGTTAGCGAGGAACGAACGCATCATAGCTACTGTGAGAGAGCCTTGGGCTGGGCATGCCAGTGGCCTGTGGGGACAAGCAGGTGGCGATCATGGCCGATGTCAAATGTACACATGCGATATCTTGTCCGAACAGAGCATCCAAGTACGGACGCCGATCCCATTCCGTTCCTGTTGCGAGACTAAGAGGGGCTGACACTGTCAGAAATTCGTCGCCCAACTGGCAGCACAGCCGAACCTGAAGATCGACTATGTAGTGCTAAATGCAGGAGTGCTAAGATACCCGAATGTAAGTTCGACATCATGCACATATATGCAAGGGGCTGCACTAACCGTTACAGAGGGCCACTGAGCTGTACGTTCCTCGTCGCGGTCACGCTTTTCTGGTTGAGGCTAAAGCGTGCATTCGCAACAAATCCAGTATATCCGGGTGACGGTAGTCATGGTCGAGATCATGGATGCTGACTTCACATAGATCGTTTGATGAATTCGCTTTCCACTTGCACACAAACACCATCGGACCCATCATCGCAGCACAGAAGCTTCTGCAAACAAACATCCCCATAGGCACAATTGTCTTCATGTCCAGTGATTCGGGTTCCCATGGCAACTTTCGTGAGATGGAGGATGGGTTTGCCGCATATGCTGCGTCCAAGGCTGCACTAAACATGGCAGCGAGACACATGGCCGCCGAATTGAAGCGGAAGGACGACGATACAATCATTTTGTGCATGCATCCAGGTGAAGTAGCGACTGACATGGCAAACATCCAACTCCCATGGACAGTAGAGGGTATCATTTCACCAGAAGAATCGGTTGTAAAGATGATTGAAGTAATCACGAGCAAAGGCATACAGCACAGCGGCACCTTCTGGACATGGGAGAACCAGGTCAGTTTGCTTTGAGACTTTCCAAACTTCTAGTCATGTACTAACATCTACGTTCCGGCAGCCTTATATTTGGTAGCATCGATGATACTCATCATGTTCCCGCCTTGAGTCAGTCGTACACTCGTAGCAAGATTCCAGTTGGCTGTGCTTCTGCCTGCTTATCAGATTGTACATGTATGCTGATTCATAGTTTCTAAAGTGCTTTGCACACAAGTCAATCTAGAAGCGATTAAGGATCCAGAATTAGTCGAATTTCTTTAGAATGATTGTATTTTGCCTGCCCATAGCCATTTCATACACCTTTGCCTTGATGAAAAGCGGCATCAATTCGCAGAGACGGTACGGGTAAGCGCGAATTTATCAATTTACAACCGACTATATAGAGAGATATATTCATTGTTTTTCAAATGAGCTTATGATATAATTTGCTCAAATATGTAGTAGTAGTGATGGTTTTTGCCTGGGCTACCATAGACTACCTGTGAGTACTAGTAGTTTTTTTAGAAAGCATGCACGTGCACTTTGAACCAAAGGTACGCGCAACCATCCTCATTCCATAGTGACCCCTTTCCCTTTGAAATTCGGCATGTAGACGACAGCTATGTTCGAGGGTGCATATGTGTTATCGACAATGTTGATTTGTGGCTTGATTAACGTGACGTCTCCACAATGACTTCATCGGGAAGCTACTTTGACAGTTCACCGACAATATTGTTGTACCAAAGCCTTCGACAGCACAACCGCGGGTCGGAACATCAACTTCCCGAATCGCTATTAGCAACCGGCAATACACAATGGCTGCCTTCCCCAACATTACGGATCCGCTTGCGGCTCTTCCGCCGGAGATTGTCCTCCGCATCCTTGACTTCACGCCTATCTCTACACTGGGCTCTCTCATCTGCGTATCACGTGCTTGGCAGCAATTTATCGACCACACCCACCAGGACGCCATCTATTCCTCTCCCTCCAAAACTGTACACCCACCAAAACGTCTACAATCACACAGCAACGCTCGCGATTTCTCTTTCCTTGAAAACTCTACCAGTTTTTCTAAATTCTTCGACAATGTTACATCTTGGAAAGACTTGTGCAAGCGTCAAACGTTGCTTGAGCGCAATTGGGATGCGCCACGGCCTGTGACCCGCGAATCCGTCCTACAGGTTGGCAATGATGCCATATGGCGGTTCAAGGTAGACTTCAAACGTCGCTTGTTCATCTCTACTTCGCATGCTGGTGGCTTCAACGTTACGGATATGGACTCAGGCCGCCTCTTGTGGCGGTTGCCTTCTGTGCTAGATACAACAGAAGAGCATGCTGTTAGGCCATACGCGCATCTCGAATACCAAGATGGGACAGCAGTGTTTGATCGTGAGGGCGACGCGCTGGAGGTATGGCGAACAGATGAAGAGGGCACCGAAAGAGGAGTGTTCAAGCGTATTGCTGTCCTCGATCACGATTGTCAGACGAGAGGATTCCAGCTTTCGTATTGGACATTGGTAGTTGTTTCAGTAGAAGGCCAGGGCTTTGTGTATGACATGAAGCAAACTCCACCCAAACTCACTACTCATCTTCGCATTGAGCAAGATGCAGTAGGCCATCTGGACCAAAACGAGGATTTGGTAGTTTACTCTATGGGCACGCGCGGGTATCATGTGTATGATAAAGAGTCAGGAAACTGCTTGGGCCATCTGCAGCCATCGCATTGCACAGACAAGTACTATGTGCATCCGCTACCACCCATCAACGATCCCTCTTTCAGGGAATCAATGTATGGATTACGCCATGGCCAGACCAGACGGATTTTCCCTCCCGCCTCGCCACGCAGGAATCGCCTTACTCCTATTGAGCTGGGCAAGGGCCCCCTGCCAAACGCGCCTGTCGACCCAAATCACCCCAGGAATGGCGAGGATGAGTGGGGCGCCGGTATGCTAGACCGCGATAGCAACCTCTTTGTTGGCTTCTCCCGCTTTGGTCGCGTTTTTATATGCTCCGATATTCGTAAGGCACTTGAAAACGGGCCCAAGAGCACAGCCAGCTATGGCCAGATTCTCGAGTGCGATTCCGACGGGTCGGATTTCGATCTCGGCGGATGGTTATCTGTGCGAAATCACCGCATCATGTTTGGAATCCAAAACAGAATACATGTTGTTGCGCTAAACGCTGAAAATCGAATTGACTTTGAAGACGGCAAGAACAGAAATCGACCTTCGTACTCGCTCCTTACGGGCTCGACACCTCAATTGATGGTTCCAGTCAGTTTTATGGCATTGTATGATGATGCTATTATGACAACATATGCTGTGAGTTTAATCCTTCCAGAAGTGATGGCAGTTTGCAATAGAAATTTAACTCGTAGCATAGACTATTGGTCAGCGACAGGAAGAAGATGGGCCTGGTCGCATCTTTCCGACAAAAGCTATCCGCATTCTTAGTTTGGCGCCTTCTCTCGACAACAGCGATCATACAACTACAGATTCGGAAGTGCAAGTGCAGAGACCGCGAAATACGCTAATGGAGCTGTGGATGATGTTTAATGACGAACCGAGCGATGGAGAGGATACTTGGAGGACTATAGATGGACATCACTTGGACAGTGAGTGGGAGGATGGGGAAGATGGGAGTGGTTAAGTGTTACCGGGGAGTTCAGAACGTCAAATGCCATGTATGTAGAAGAGGAGGCATAGGTATGAGAGTTACTCAATGATTTCCCATCGCGATGTTCAAGGTGCTTAGTGTGCAGACGAATGCATATCAGCTTTGCAGGCCAGTACCGTTACTCTCAGCCTGATGCTATCGAACACCCAGCCTGGTGCCACCGAATACCGATGGTTTGGCTGCGGCTCTCTGCGGCAGGTTTTCGAGGGGGTCTTTTGGCTTTTTTAACCAAAAGCAAACCGGGCCCCCCACGGCTAGCCGAATTAACAGATATCCAAGGCTCAACTATGGAGGCTGTGCAACCCTTGGCTGATAGATGTGAGCTAACGTAGCTCCTTATGAAATAGCTTCGTATTTGACCCAATCATAAGATGATCTATACTAAGGCTAACCAGAAAACCAGACTTAGCGTCATATGATCGTGTATGTAAGGAAAGGTCTCTGCGCTTACACTCACCACCGCCAAAGTATCATCGTCTTCTGCCCTCTATAAGTCAACTACTCTACTCACATTCTTACCTACCTTTTCATTTTCAAATCATGCCTGCACTTGTCTGGGCAGCCCCTCGCGCCCCCAATGCCGCTCCTCTTGTAAATAATGCCAGTCAAGTACTCGTTGCATCACCTCTACTCGAGTCGCAATGGTCAAGACAGGATGTATTGACCCTTGCTGGTGTATGCGTAGCCATCATTGCCGTGTTGATCGCACTTGTTAGCGTCTTGTTTTCACCACCTAAATCGCGCAAGTGGCTATGCAGGCCGTTTCATTGGATCACACGACGCCTACGGCCCAGTAAGTTTAGTCACGTGATCATGGACGCGAGCTTATTGGATGCACTAGATGCGGAATACCTACCCCTGTCGTCGCGGTCCACTTATCAGCCAATGGTCATTAGGAACTGGGAAAACACAAATGAGAGAGCGGCTCGCCAACAATTGCAGGAACGTTACAATGAGTCGCTGAGGGCGAGGCGTGGGGGATTCTGATGGCGAATAAAAACAACTGGACCCAACACAATACGATTTGGATAATTACCTGGATAGCATTGGATTAAGGATTTCGTGTGGCGCATACGCGACTATGGGCGTTTATTTGATGGGTTTTCCTTTCATGTTTGTATTCAGTATAGGACTCGAAGTCATATTTTTTTCGCATTCGATCCATCGCTCTTATGTCTTTTCTCCATGTGTCAGCGTCATCACTATACCTACAGCGCGCTGAAAAAACAATGAGCATTTTAATATATCGTAGCACTGCCTACTTCGCCAAGTCCTGGCCAATGAAACAACCTCCGTCTCCCATTTCGCAATAGCTGGTTAATCGATTAAGCCTAAGATAAGGTATAACTGGTATGACGCATTGCAACAACGTCTGTTGAACGCATGGAACGTTATTCTACCACGACGTGCTGTGCATTATGTAGCTAGAGGCTGCAGGGCGCCGCACGCATAATATACGGAATCACCGAAGAACACACTAATCCATGGAGTTGCATTAATCGATCTTGGGAGCCGAGTTTTGTCAAGAAGTAATCTGTACGACAATTCACAGAGTATTGATGTGTGATATGCATACCTCGAATACGAGGGTTGCAGCACCACCTTTTACATATTCTTTAATCTCAGTGCCGGCGCTGTAAGATGGTGGCGCATATCGATTGGAGACGCAGCGGATACCAGCGAAACTGCTTCCATAACAGCAAAGATACGCAGAGATCTCTTGTCGGCACAGGAGGAACTGCACCTTCCAGATTTCACGCGCTTGTAATAGAGACAACTAACTCATCTACAGTACTGCCTGAAAATTAGGAGAATGCTTCAGAATGACGGTTCCATTACAACAAAATCCAGGAATGACGATACCGATCGTTACTAAATATAGGGTGGGGTGCCTGAAGACGGAGTAGACGATGCAACCTCTACAGAACAACACGCCTCGAAGGAGTGACTGCTGGTATCTTTTGGGTTGGGTTTTGGGGATAACCGATGGTAACAATACTCTTGCTGGAAGTAGCTTGTAGTATATAAGAGAAGGGAAGTCTACACAATGGACGAACACAAACCACTTTCAAACGCCTCTATCCAAGCAGCTCTCTATCTACGACTGTGTTAACTATCAAATTGTCAAATATCTCCAAGATGCAATTCACCACCACTTCTGTCATCACTCTCCTCGCATTTGCATCCTCTGCAACTGCATCTCCTCTTGCAGCCCGTCAGAATGCACTACAAGATTGGCAGGTAACAGACCTCGCAGTTTCCGTGCCTATGGGACGCCCAGGAAGCTACCCTTGGGGTACCCTTAAGGCGAATATAACCGACCCGAATGCGATCAACCTTGGTACTTCGAGCGATGGCAGCCAAATTATAGTGCCTGCTGGAAGCAAGGGGGTGGTAAGCTTCACGTGCTGATCTTGGCGTTCGATGGCATCCTAATAAGAATACTAGAATTGCGAAGCCAAATGGTATATCCATGGTGATTCCCCCATCGGCCGCGCATGGCCTTGCGATTCAACCTCAAACGGTTACTGGTTTATGCATGTGTATGAAGGCACAAGTGGCTTCTCATCCAGCAATTTCGACCTCAAATTTACGCGTGTCGCGGAGAAGATATATCTGGATACTCAGTACAAGGCGACCTTTGAGGCGAAGGGGCATTTCGATAGCAAAGGAAGTCTTGGTGGTGTCTGCAGTGCGGGCGAGTGTAATTGGGGGCTTCTACAGTCGAAGAAGCCTTTCAAGATTACACCTTCGAAGGCCTGAGTGGGAGTGAAGGGTGCTCGGCAATGTGATGAGCTTAACATGGTTGTGCCGAGGTCGGGTCGTGGATGGTACCGAATATCCCTAATGATTGTGTTTGCTAGAGCGTAGAACCATAATGTTTAGTATTAGAAGTACAACAATGCATGGCGGCGGAGCGTAGATAGTCCTTGTTCAAGATGCGAGTTGAGTAATATAGATCTTATTTAATACCTACGAAGGCCATTGTCTTATCTTTCATCTTGCCCAGCTTATGCATGCGCTCATGACGATGGATTACGCCTCCTCTCCGCGATCAGCACGACCAAGGTGCGGGCAGACATCATGTCTGATCATAAGAATACCTCAATGCCCCAGAAAGCCAATGCTTGAGTGCCGCGGCGAAACGGCAGTTGCTTAGCCATGGTGATGGTGTGGTATCGGGAACGGCCGGCGAACTACCGGGAGTGGACTCGTCGTGCGAGCCTCAGCATCACATCCTCCGTTAATTGCCGCCTCAGTCCGTCTGCAACCTGCACCATCCATGCAATCAGCTGCAAATAAGCACAATGGCGGTATCGCAGCAAATCTGTCGTCTTGAAATGGTTCCAGAATGCGTGCTTTTCCAGGGGTTGTGATGCTGGTGGGACAAATCAATGCCTGCGTGCAGCCCTTATCCCCGCATTTGAGCTCCGGGTCTTGGCATCGTCACAAGCTTGAAGCTCCTCTCCGCCGAAGCAACGCCTTTAGCTCACCATTCACATCAAGCCGACTAGTCTGCATCAGTCTGTCGACCAGGCAGATCCTCGGCCCAGGCATTGAAGATGGGTGACGTCTGCATCATAAATAGTATTGTCTACCAGCCGCCTGGCCTTCTCCGCACATTACATACTTGAACCGCATTTCCCTTCCATCTCACCTGTCATCCCTCGTAGCTCTACATACACAGAATTTCATACAAGTACACTTAGAAAATCATAATGGCCAATCCCGAACGCATCCTAAGAGAGGTCAACATCCTCGGCGACCTCAATGATAAGAACCGCCATATCCTCAGCAAGGACGCTTGCGTCTTCCTTGCGCTCCTCCACCGCACATTCAATGAACGCAGGAAAGCCCTTCTTCAGCGACGAGTGATTCGACAGGCTGAGCTCGACAAGGGAAACCTTCTCGACTTCCTCCCAGAGACCAAGCACATTCGAGAGAACGATGCTTGGAAGGGTGCACCACCAGCGCCTGGTCTTGTCGACAGGCGCGTCGAGATTACTGGCCCAACCGATCGCAAGATGGTCGTCAACGCCCTGAACTCCGATGTCTGGACTTACATGGCTGACTTTGAGGGTATGCGATTTCCGCTGAACCGGATGAGAGCTTCATCATTAATCTTTTGCAGATTCATCCGCACCGACATGGGACAACATGATCAACGGTCAATTGAACCTGTATGATGCCATTCGCAGGCAGGTCGACTTCAAGCAAGGCGAGAAGGAGTACAAGCTTCGCACAGACCGAACACTACCCACACTCATCGCTCGTGCCCGTGGCTGGCACCTCGAGGAGAAGCACTTCACCGTTGACGGCGAACCTATCTCCGGTGGTCTTTTCGATTTTGGACTGTACTTCTTCCACAACGCACATGAGCTTGTCAAGCGCGGAGCTGGCCCATACTTCTACCTGCCCAAGATGGAGTCGCACCTTGAGGCTAGACTCTGGAACGATGTCTTCAACCTGGCCCAGGACTACATTGGCATGAAGCGTGGAACCATCCGTGGAACAGTCTTGATTGAGACCATCACTGCTGCCTTCGAGATGGACGAGGTATGTCAAAAACTTGCCCAGATAGAAGATTCTTGTGCTAATCATATTATAGATCATCTACGAGCTTCGCGACCACTCCTCTGGTCTCAACTGCGGCCGTTGGGACTACATCTTCAGCACCATCAAGCGCTTCCGTCAGAACCCCAACTTTGTCCTTCCTGACCGTGACTCTGTCACCATGACATCGCCCTTCATGGATGCCTATGTCAAGCTTCTCATCAAGACATGTCACAGGCGTGGCGTTCACGCGATGGGCGGCATGGCAGCCCAGATCCCCATCAAGAACGACCAGCAAGCAAATGACGCTGCCATGGCCAAGGTTCGTGCGGACAAGCTCCGTGAGGTACGTGCTGGTCACGACGGCACATGGGTAGCTCATCCAGCGCTCGCAGCCATTGCGAGTGAAATCTTCAATGAGCACATGCCCACTCCCAACCAGATGCACGTCCGCCGCGAGGATGTTCACATCACTGCTAATGACCTACTTAACATGAACGTACCTGGCAAGGTCACCGAGGCCGGAATCCGCAAGAATCTCGACATTGGTCTTGCCTACATGGAGGCCTGGATCCGCGGCGTTGGTTGTGTACCAATCAACTACCTCATGGAGGACGCTGCTACCGCCGAAGTCTCAAGGAGTCAGCTTTGGCAATGGGCCAAGCACAACGTCCAAACTGCAGAGGGCAAGAAGGTCACAAAGGACTATGCTCTCAAGCTGCTGAAGGAGCAAGCCAATGCACTTAGCGACAAGGCACCAAAGGGAAACAAGTATCATCTTGCGGCCAAGTACTTTGAAAGTCAGGTCACTGGAGAAGACTATGCCGAGTTCTTGACATCGTAAGTAACAAATCTTCCCAAGTCATAAGAAACACTCACTAATAAGATCATAGTCTTCTCTACAATGAAATCACAAACGTAGGTCCACCCAAGGGTGCCTCCAAGTTGTAAACTGCGGTGCGAAACCTAATGTTTTCCTTGGCGTATTGAGCATATGAAAAGTGCCTCGTCTGCTGTTTTTTTGCTAGTCTGTAACTTTATACCACACATGGCTATTTTCGAGCCAAAGATAAGAAATCGCGCAAATCTTAAAGCGCTTTGTAATCTTGTACTGCTTGCTTTTATCCATCTGCTAGCCCAGTGTTATGCCTTTCTCTCCCCTTGAAAACAGTATTGCATGTGAATCGATCAAAAGCTAACGGTGCTCCACATCACTCATAGACCGGCTCGCCCATCGCAGCGTCGAAATTGTAAGGAAACACATGCAGCCGAGGTATAGCCCAGATTCTTGGAGAGAGGGGGATGCATGGTCGATCGTACAAGAGCGGTTCTGGTAGGCGAACACGGTTCGTCTGACATGTGAAAAAAAAATCGTGTGAACGGGAAATCGTTTGATGTTTGTATAGATATTGCTATGGCTAGTTTGATAATAGTTCCTGTCCATATTATGAGTTGTTTTGTTATTTCCATGGTACCCTATTTTGATCATTCATCTAGGTTGAGAAAGGTTGTGACGGTGGTGTGGGTTGTAGTTACAGAATGGCTCGAGGAAATTCAAGAGAGCAGACTAGGCGACATTGCCTAGTGCAAAGGCGACCTACCAGTTATGCACTTCTATGTATTGGACAGAACATGTACATGGGTAAAAGGTCAACAGGAACGTGGGTCTTGGCATGAACAGAGAAGAAGAATCTGCAGAGTAAAAACTCGCTTCACATGAACATTGAAAACCATGATTCATAGTCTCGTGGTATCTAGAGAAGTGGCGTTATCATGCCGAGTGCATTCAGTGTCCCGCGACTATGCAGACCAGATACATGACTAAACACCCATTTTGACCTGACCGATGCACCGAAGAAGCCCCAAATATCACCTTTACTTCCTGAGGAGACGCTGGTAGAAAGCAAGCTCCTCACCCTCGAGGACGTAACCGTCGCAGCGACCGCTCTGGCCGGGACGGGAAGAGACAGCGGCGTACAGACGACCGGCCTCGAACTGCTTCTCAACAGCATTCTCAATCTTTCCACTGGTCTTGAGGCGCTCAGCCTGCTTCTTGGTGACCGAGTTGGACTTCTTCTTGTCCTCCTCCTTCTCACCGGCCTTGGCCTGCCTCCTGCGGCCGAGCGAGGAGCCGTAGTGGGCCTCGTACCATTGCCTGAAGGGAGCGGCATCGATCTGGACGATAGCGGAGCGGGTCAGGGTGTTGGTACGGACGAGCTCGTTGTTGGAGGGGTGGTAGACGACACCGATGACACGGGTCTTCTTGGCGATGCCCTCAGAGCCCCAGGAGAAGTTGCCGGACTCGAGACGGAGAGCACGGAACTTGCGGTTGCCGCCACGGGTGCGGACAAGATGGATACGCTTAGTGCCAATACGGGTATTGGCAGGCTGGCGACCCTTCTCGAAAGCCCTGAAGCCATGTTAGACATGACTAGAGAAGCGATCGGGTTATGCATACCTCTTCTTGCGGTAGTATGCGCGCTTCGCACCGGACGCGGAACGCTTGTGGCGAGAGTCTCGTGAGATACTGGGAATTGTCAGTGGATGAAGTCAAGCGACGGGGGAGAAAGAGATAGATACCCCATGATTGCGGTTGTTCAGAAGACTGCTGCCCACAATTAAATTAGCTGTTGTTCTTCCTGTGTGATTTCCGAATCCGCAGCATTGCTCTACTCCGCCACTACAATCCTTTGCATCGTATAGCCCAGAGCGGAAGTGTTCATCTCTGTGCGATTGAAGTGTTCGCGTGCGACAATGTCTTCCGTTGGCGTAAGCATACAGCTGGGTCACGATGGCGGAGCGGTGTCGATTTCGCAATGCTGAACGGCTTCCATATCTCGATTACAAGGCGTTCTCTGTAGCGTACCTGTGTTTGGTCTTCCGGTGCAATCTGTGTTGTCGTGGGGTTAGTTGGCGCTTGTCAGAAGAAGTCGGGAAATTCAAGGTGATTTTCGAGTTCTGAGCGTTGGTGCCAAGGCCACGCTAAACAATAAGCGAGCAGGTGCGCTTCTGCGCGTCTTGCCCCCCACCATTCGCTGCTCTATCCTATTCAGCAACCTTTTCCACATTTTCGCATTTTTGTATCGATTAGCCCCTGGCGACAGAGCAATCGTTTTTTCAAGTGTCCTAGTAATTGGGGCAGATGATGGATGCACAGCGCAGGTAGTCGACGTAGCTTGTGATTACACGTGCTCGCTGAAATTGCTCCAACTGTCCCTGTCAACATCGTCGGGGTGGGACTTCGTGGGCTCAACATTGCCGATTTATCAGCTAAATTTGTACCACAACATCTATTGCAGAACTCACCAACGCATAAATATCAACAAATATGCTCTGTGTATAGCAAGTGGCTTTTGTGTCAAGCCCTCTCCAAACTTTCCTTGTACCTGGTTGCGGAATCCTTGCGAACACATGCACAATCACCATTGGCCCCTCCACTTGAGTCCTCCCAGGTATACATTAAGGGCGGGTACCATGCAGGATTGGAGTTCATTAAGACACTTGGGAGATACCGGTTGTTGGTAAACACACAGCTGACTTTTCATATCTTGTTTCCACGCCGGTTAAAGCTGTCTCTAGGCTCGGGTGTTTCCCATCGGCACGTAGATGGTCGCAGGCTTGAGAAATCTAATCAATAGCAACCTAAGTAGGTGTTCTGCACGACTCTGCCTAAGTGTAGCAGAGCCAGCGGCAACTTTACCGGTCTTTTCAGAAGACGGAGATGTCCATGCCAGTAACTTTGATTGCAACAGTAGGCTACCGCATCCAATACCTTGTGTAGTTATTTCATCTGGGGGAAAGTGTGAGAACGTATAGTGTGTCTCTTCTCCTTTTCCGTTACTAGCGCCATGCATTTCTCACTTCCTTTTTTTGAACAACTATGTTTTGCACTCACTGTGATACAAGCGGGCGGACTAATGCTACTTGTTTCTAGCACATCTTATATGTTCATGCGTAACCCGGGTAAGGGTTACTCAAGCAGGTAGGTATCGGGCCTCGTAGTCCTTAATTCACTGAAGTTGGTTGGGCTTACCCAATCCAAAACAGTACTCGGCTACAGGTCAGTAGTGGCAGCAGAAAGCCTTTGTATGGTAGCGCCGGGGTCAAGTGAGGTATTACATTCAGCGTCATCGATCACTAACTAAACTGAAATGCCATCTTCGGCTGAGTTCAAGTTTTCTAGATCTGTCACTACCATTTCTCTATCAAAGCCGGTGGATACATGACTGAGTCAAACCTCTCCTCAAGTTTGTGTCCCTTCAGTACCCGCGCTACCGAATTCGATCCCCATCATATCAGTGCAGACCTCACATCTGGTGATCATCTCCACCAGGATATCTCCCATAGATGCAACGACCACTTTGATTACATCCCCGGGCAATACCACGAGAAGTGTACCCATGCAATCGACAAACCAAAACCTTCGACGAATAGCACCGCTCGCATCGCAGATGGAGAACCCAATAGCCATCATGATATTACCGGTCCCAATTTCAATGCTGCCCGACAATGTAGAGGATGTTATCCGGTGGTTGAAGTCACAGCTACTGGCTGGTTAGAAACACCGGTTGAGGTTTAGCATGGCTCTACAAAGCGACTAGGCCCTGCTCCACTGATCGCCCAAACACATCCAATCGCTACAGTTTCTGCTGCCTCAACGACTGTCATTGTTGAGCAGAAGCTATATGGTGATAACTTTGTCATAGGAGGCTCATATACTGTCATTCCTGGTAAGCCCGTTACTGTGATTAACACGCCTATTGAGATCCGAACTTCAAATAGCCAGGCGGAAGTGATTTTCGGCACAATCACAATATCTCTGCAGCCAAATTACCATCAAACAACACACGCGCCGCCAGTAGCACCACCACTAATACTTACTATGGCCACCACAATGGCAATGCTAGGCTTCCGATCAGAACATGTGCTTGAGGGACAAATAATTGTCCCTGGTGAGAGCCACTCAACATCTCAGGAATGACGCTCTCTTTTTCACCTTCAGCAACAGTGCTTGTCGTTAACGGAGAGACATCCAGCGTCATTCCTGTATCCGGCGGCACTTATAACGCTGTAATACCAGCTCCCTTGAGCTTCAGAGAGCAGATGTATACAGCCAATCGTGCAGGCCACATCATAATGGGTCCAGAGGCCACGCTGATCCCCGACGGGAATCCAGTGTTGACGGGACGAAGCCTAGCCTCGAACCCAGTGGGTCAGCAGTTGCGGTATAGGGCATGACTATCGCTCTACAGTCTGTGACAACAATTGTCACGTTGACAAGGGGTCCGAGTTCATTTGAGACGTGGTCTGGCGGTGAGTGTGGAAAGGAATCCACTTGACCGGGGAAGTGTATTCCTATCCCATTGTGAAAGCGACTAGTGCTGGAGCGGTACGGCATCATAGTACCATATCCAATGGTAGGCTAGAGAGTGTGCCTCGACTGGTTTTGTGGGGTGTAGGCTCTTATGCTTTGCACCTATGGAGAGATGTACTGGAACATATGGTCTCGTGGGAACTCGCTTGCTGGAAAGTTACTGTGCGTCAAATGGCGCTGGATCAATAGCATGAAATATAGAAAAAACGGTTTCCTGCATTGTCGCACTGCATTCGCTTGTGCAAAAATCGATGTGTTGACAGGAAAAACAAGAAACCCCTTGAAAATTTGCAATTACTCCTGCGAAGTTGAAGCAGTTGTCGAAAATGTCTCATGATCGTCGTATGCCAGCCAACCGTGCACAAAATCAGGAGAAAACACAATAATAGACGTGACGAAGATGCTGGAACATCGTACTCTAGAGGACTCAACAAACGTTATTCACGGCCACATCACAATTACATGGTACCACATATTCGTCATTCAACCGGTGACAGGAACAAGTCAGCCATGGTCAAAAATTTGCATCACCAAACCTCCAAGGGCATTCGCCTAGCAGTTAAGGGACATGAACAAAAATAAATGCGCAACTTTACGTACAAACATCCACTCGAAATGCCATGGGCGGCGTCTAGACTACTTAATACCGGTGCAAACTTGGCATCCGACGGGCAACTCGACGACGGAAAAGCGCGCATGTTGGGCCAGGGCGACGGTGGTGAGACGGCCAATAACAGAGTTTTCCCCCACCATGCCTCCAAAGGCAGTCTTCTAACAGCTAACGGCCATGAGGTGAAAAACTCGTGATCGCAGCGTCCTCCTGCGCATGCGCTCTGACATAATTAGCCGCCTGCGGGAAGCGATCCGGCGGGCCCTCCGGAAAAGTGCAGTAGGGCGTGGATCATCTTGTTGTCATGAATGTGTGGGTCACGCACGCCCACACGCCCTGTGAAGGACCTTGCTGACTGAATTATGTGGGTTTGTCAGCCTCTGCAGCCAATGGGCATGCTGCCTTGATCGCGGAAGTTCTCCGTATTATTGTAAATGCGTGGAAGGGCGCGTGCAAGGCATGCTGAGAAATTTCTTTGCAAAGAAAACGTCGGTGTCCAGGGGGGTGTCACGATGCTTGGCGGGTGTCATGGCGAAGATTCTGGGGGAGTGTCTGGGGAGTATAAAGGGGAGGGTGGGTACGGCAGGATGAAGGGCATCAACTCAGCAAAGCATACCAGAGCATCAAGTACAAGCCTCTACTACTACTTACCACTACTACTCTCATCAACTTCGAATACATCGAACCAACAACACCAACAATCACAATGCCTAACTTCCTCAACACCATTGCCAGCCGCGCAAAGGCTCACCACGAGAGCGTCAATGCCGCATGCAACACCTACTACACCGGCTCATCACCTGCCTCTCGAACAGCTTCACCTGAAGCTTCCCGCAGCTCTTCTGTTGCCGGTCCATCCGCACCCAAGAACCCTACCAACGCCGCCAAGGCCTGGAAAGCTATCAAGAAGCACCACCGCGAGATGAACGAGGCCTTCGCTGTCTACTACAGCCCCGGCAACTCTCCCTCCGCCTCCAGGAACTCATCTGCCGTCTCTAGCCCAAGGCAGAGTGCCGAAGCACCCAGGAACTCTAGCGTCAGCGAGGTCAAGGAGGCTGGCCCCAGGAACTACCAGAAGGCGTGGAAGGCTCTCAAGACCAGGGCTATCGAGCACCACAGGAGCGTCAACGCTGCCTACAACCAGACCTATGGACTGCACATGCGCCAATAGATGGGATGTAGAGAGGGGTTCTTGAAAAGAATTGGAGGTGGAAGTAATGGTTGACAGACGAAACGGAAACGGAAAACAAAAGTGCTTTTTGGGATAGCAATATACCACTGCGGGATTCGGTAGCTTGGGAGTTTTTTGATATTAGAAGAATCAGATCGGATGGATCTGAGTAATACACGAAGGATTTAATACCAATTGTTTTTGCAAAAGATGAAAGACTGAAACTTGGTGATATTTGAGTGGTGACATTATGACCGAGAGATTTTCTAGAGAATTGATGTTTGAACAGAAAAACGAGAGAATGAAGAGATCACCGAACACTTGTGGGTTTCTTTATTAGTGTGTGACATGATCAAAGGTCTGTGTTGATTTTGCTTTGCTGATTGAAGAGAGTGCGTTAGCGTTGACAACTTTGGGAGTCATCCATGCCTTAGATTGCTAGCATCTAGATGAGTCTTTTACAAAGGCTGTATCTGAATGCCGTGTTAGCATGGTGCGGGATTCTCGGTGAAAACATGATGACAACTAAGCAAATGGTGTGAGATGAGAGTGTTTTGTGGTGGTGCTCAAGCATGACAAGACGACAGGCGTGCATTTCCGAGACCTCGGAATCCCGTGGTGTTTCGACCAATCAACGACTCGTGCTTTCTAATTGTGCCCCGTGTCGGGATTTGCAGCGGATGACATAGCCTTGAACGAATTTGGTTATCATTCAGCTGCCAGTACTTTACCTTCAACTCACACGACAGGCGCACCCCATCTCCCTACGTCGCAGCGCATTTCCATCCACGGCCCTGCGATCATGTCACTACCTCGTACCACCGGAGCGCTTGTGCGCTCAAGTACATCCTTTCTACGATTCGCCGCGACCCCGTTTGCTCCCCGCAGATGCCCGCAATGCTCTCGGTCCTTCGCCTCATCGCTCCCCAGGCGCCAGTCAGCCAAGCGCCAGATGCAGACGGCGACCGCATACCACCCTTCGTCATTATATCCAGAGCCGCCACCACGCAACGTTGGCGTACCCGACACTTCAATTGCTGGTGGAGCTACCGAGGCAAAGAACACAACATTACCACAAACACCTTCGCACGACCGCAACGCAGCCTCCCAGGCCGAACAAACCACCGTCCGCATACCCGAAGGCGAAGCACAAAAGCCTCAGCAGGTCGCAAGCCCTAGCAAGCCACTTCGGCCGCGCCGATACAACTTTGGGCCTCGAAAGGCGACAATTAAGCTATCGCCTTCGGCTGTGGCGCACTTGCGCGAACTCCTCGAATTGCCAGAGCCCAAGCTCATCCGAATAGGCACAAAGGCAAAGGGCTGTTCGGGCTTGGCATATCACCTGGAGTATGTGGACAAGCCGAGCCCGCTGGACGAACAGGTTGAACAAGATGGCGTCAAGGTGTTGATTGACAATAAGGCGTTGTTGAACATTATTGGTAGTGAGATGGATTGGTTGGAGGACAAGCTCAACGAGCGGTTCATCTTCAAGAATCCAAACATCAGTGAGTTTGGTTTTGGCCACATCAAGGAACAAGCGCTAACAATTCAACAGCTGAGCAGTGCGGATGCGGAGAATCATTCAGTGTATCATGATACCCTTACGAGTTGTTTGTCATATTATAGAAGCATTACGGGCGTTGCATATCTGGCGTTACATACAGTCTACAATCCGAAGCATTATTTCTACGCTATACATATGAAGTCATTACAATTGCTCCCTTGCATCTACTTACAACGCAGTTTCACAACTTTCCAGGCTCGTAGTCTATGACCTTCACACCATTTACCACTTCGCCAGAGAGTTTTACAAAGTCTTGATGTGCTGGGTCCTTGTAGACGTAGTAGTCGCGATCTTCCTCACTCTCAAATTCTACAACAAATCCGTGGGTAAAGTTACCCTTGTGAGCGTAAGCAACTGAGTTTAAATTTGGAGCTGGCCTTGAGGGTGGACATACAGAGTGGCCTTCAGGGCTGTTGTTCTTTCCCCCAGAAAATGATTTAATGTACGGTTTTTGGGAGGTAGGATGGATGCATTTGTCCCTGAGAGCGAGCATCTGTTTGCATACCTATTGGCCGTTAGATTTGTAATCGCCAGTGTATATGCTGATGTTTAGTACTTCTGAAATCTGTTCTGAGGAAACAGTGGGCTTCCACTCAAAGAGAACAATATGAATTATCGTCATTTTAAATTTTCAGCGTTCACAAGTGCCTAAGTTTGAGTGAGGAGGCATCAATCACGACATGATATCACAACTGAGAGGGGCACAATCCCCACGGTGGATGGGGCCTCGGAGGTAAATGACCTCAGCGTTGCTAAGCTCCGGGCTGCCGCGTCTCGAGCCACCAACTGCGCAACCGCCGCACATCTCGTAGCCTCACCACCGGAGATGCAAAACATACGATAGCAACGCAAACGATGTCACGACCGCCATGAACTCTCGTAGAATTGATGCACATGAACCATCGCTTTTCTCCCACCTCATCTCCGAACCCAAGCGCAACCTCGCACCATCATGGCAGCCAACGCGCCTGTCCTTCCTGAACAGCTCATATACTTGATAATACGCTTTACAGCCTCCGTTCCAGACCTACCCCTCTCTATCCACACACCTCGTGTCATTGCGACCCTCTCGCTCAAGCAGATCATCCGCCAACACCTCCCACCCGAACATGCCTCGTCGCGATTACGCCTAATCTATGCGGGCAAAGTCCTCGCAGACAATGACCCGCTATCTCGATCGTTAAGGCTCCCGCCACCGCCGCCACCCCGCAGCAGTAGAGGCGGGGAAGCAACAGCAGGCAGCAGCAGTAGTAGTACCGGAGAGGGAAGCAAGAGCAAAGGCAAACAGCCGCTGAGAGAGACGCCCGCCGTACAATACGGCACGACGGAAATACCCTCCGAGGCAAAGAAGTACTACATACACTGTTCCCTCGGCGATGCGCTCTCTGCCTCCGAGCTCGCCACCGAAGCCACCCTCGCCCAGAACATAGAAATCAGTCTGAAATCACAGTATGACGCCTCGTCCTCTGAGCTCCGCCGCAAAGGCAGCGGGGCAGACTACAATGCGCGCAGACGCGGGTCTACTGCGACGACGGGGACGGCTGGTGGAACGGACGGCGGTGTGCCTCAAGCCCAGGGTTTCGATCGGCTGTTGAGTTCAGGCTTTACACCTGCGGAGGTAGCGAGTTTACGCTCGCATTTCACCACGAACCTTTCGTTTACACATACGCCTGATACGATGCCTACGCCGGCCCAGATCCGTGTGCTGGAAGATCGCTGGCTTGACTCATCGGCCAATGATCCCTCGGCTTCGTTGACGGCGCCGGGTGCTACGGGCGGTGAGACAGGATGGGGCGCGGGGTTTGCAGTGGAGGAGGGTGGACTGGACGATATGTTGTATGGGTATTTGACTGGCTTCTTTTTCCCACTCGGCAGCTTGGTGTGGGGCTTTCGCGAGGAGGGAGTATGGACGAGACGGAGACAAGTTGCTGTTGTTATGGGAGTGTTGATAAACGCTGTTTTTGGCTTCATGAGATGGGGCGCATGATGTTGGTCACTTGGTAATAGACATGGAGTTTACTGGGTAGGGTTTCCATATATTGTTGCTACCTGGATATCACTGCTCATCATTGTTGTTCATATGTCGTCATCAAATGCTCCGGCGAAAACGCCTCAGTTTGGCCAGTTCTCATGCCACGCTCCTACTCAACTCTTGCTGTTGTACTTGTCGTTGTTCTTCAAGCACTCACATCATCTACAGCTCAATAGTCTCCTTTGCGGGAGCACCCATGTAGCTCAAAGGTCCCCTCTTCACCATCAAAGTCATGACCTCATACAGAGTATCCTATATCAAGCAAGTTAGCCCGAGGCGCCCAAACATTTCACACACTCCACTTACCGCAGCAGCCATAGTCGTCAACTCGGCATTAGTATCGTACGCCGGCGCAACCTCAACGATATCCGCGCCAATGAGGTTAATACCCTCCAAGCCGCGAATAATCGTGCGCAGCTCACGCGTAGTCCAGCCACCCGTCTCGGGGGTACCAGTCGCAGGAGCAACTGTTTATCGTTAGCTTTTGCGCCAACTTCTCACCAACAAAACCAAAGAAAAGGAAATGAAGTGGAAGGGAAAAAAAACCTACAAGCAGGATCCAAAGTATCAATATCAATACTCAAATACACAGGCTTCTCCAGCCCAACCCTATCCTTAATCTTCTTGACAATACCGTCAATGCCAATCTTGTCAATCTCGCGCGCCTCGACAATCTCAAAGCCGCAGTATCCGTCGTTTTCGTAGTCGGAGGGACCCGACAGTGTGGTACGGATCCCGGCGTGGATGTTGGAGTCGTTGGCGAGCAGGCCTTCTTGGGCGGCGTGGAAGAAGTAGGTGCCGTGGTTGATGCTGGCTTGTTCGCTGGGCGAGCCGCCGAAGACTTTGGGGCGCCAGGTGTCACTGGGTTGGGTTTGTTAGTAGGGTTGTGAGATGGGTGGTATGTTATGGAGATGGTGGGAATGCGTACAGGTGGCTGTCAAAGTGGATGACGGTTATGGGACCGTATTCGCGGTGGACGGAGCGCAGCAGGGGGAGAGTGATGGTGTGGTCACCTCCCAGGGTGATCATACGGGGAAGTGTTTTGCCGTTCTTCGAGGGACCGGGCTTGTTGGCGTGGGTGTAGGGTGCCCGGCTCAGAAGGAGGTTGTGGCCTTGCTCGATTTGCTGAAGGGCATAGGCATTGTCGTATCTGGATATTGACCAGTCAGTAAGTTCTCATCCGTCTAACCTCCCTTGAATGGGTGATGTAATCAAGAGAATTGCTCTTACGATGTAACGGGAATATCGCCGCAGTCGATGATCTTGGCCCAGGAGTTGAATGGGTTCGCCTCGAGTGGCACATTGTAGCCGCCACTAAATCCAAGTTTGCGTGAGCCTTTGTGGGAGATGACAAAAGTAAGCTTGTGGTTGCTCAGAGGAAAACGTACTAGAGATTGAGACGGCGAGAACCTTGCCTGATGCCACTGGGGCCAAAGCGAGCTCCTGGGCGGTATGATGTGCCAGTGTCGAATGGAGCGCCTGCGTTTTGTGATTAGACAATCACATCTCTCTTTAAATAAATATGATCATACCAATGAACGCAATGTCATATTGCACGTTGCTGGAGAGACATGGGTGGTACTTGAGACGGCCGAATGTGGAAATGCCGGAGAAGACGGAGTCGGCCTATGTCAACATTAATTTTCCGTAGCAACATCATTCACAAGAATTAGATTTCTCACTTGTGTTCCGCCATCACCAGGAAGAGTGTTGTACCAAAGACTCTCATGTGGACCAGCCATTGGCTCTTGGTCGTGATTGCCATGCGCTGCTACCGCAGCCGCAAAGCTCAAGAGCGTGGGAGTGAACCTCATCTTGCAAAAGTTTGATCTAGCAATGGAGGGGAAAAACACAAGATTGTAGATGAAGGAATCGATCTAGGAGGAGCGCGAGGCTGTAGTAAATAGCCGTCATGAGTCTCGTATCCGTCATTATCAGCTACATTCTGACGAAGTCGTGTTAGGTAAATTGCCGTTACATGAGTAGGTGCTTGATCTATCCCTGTCCATGACGGCGATGTCGTCTGCAGCTATAGCACCTTACTGCCTTCAACAGGTTAGTATATCTTGGTGGTATCGGATCGTTGCTATCCGTCGATGTAACGAAGCGGCCGAAGCCAATTTTTTGTCCATACTCGGGGACCACAATGCCTTAGGCGTTAGTAGTCTTGATGAAAAGCTATCTGAGCCTCCTTTCACCTTTTTAAAGCATTCAGAGAATACCTTGATGGCTATACAGTGTCTTTTCCATCATCTCTGCATCACTTGAAGCTACTACGCTATCTCGCATCCAACGTTGTTGATCAATGTGGGGACCACCCCCGCCCTGTGCGATGACGGATGTCATGGTCAAGATACGGGGAATCGAGCCAGTAGCATCTGCCATGAGCAGTTCCGTAACGGCTATACTCAATGGTGAAAATCCGTTTGCACCAATCTTATCTGCAGCGGGACAGAATCCAGTCGTGCTGCACACTTATGCATGCAAAGCAGTTCCGGTGAGGTCATTACTTGCTTGATGAGGTGCCGATTCGACGTAAATCTCTTGCGTATTTTCTGCTTGTTACGCGGATTGGCTCGATAAGAAACGAAAGACCCGAGACGGTCCTATATTTCATGGTATTCGTCGTCTCCCTAGTCAATTGGGCGCCTAATGAGTGAAGCGGGGTTCCTTGTATTCCCTGAACTGCTTACTTGCGTCTAAATGTACAACGCATAGATTTAAACTACCGGGAGGCAATGCAAGGTGGGGGGCGGGTAATGCAGCAGAAAGTGCGGAGGTAATGAGGAGTGAGGTTGAATCGTGGAGACAAGGGTCCAGATACCAATTGCACTAACGTCACTCGCTTAATGTTTTTGGTAATTTTTCGTCAACTCTTGCATTGGCGTCTCCGAGTTGCCTATCAAGCTCCATACATCGAATGTCTAAGAAGCGTTGCTAATACTCTTCCATCATCATGGCTGTCGCCAGCAGGTTTGACTCCGCAAAGCAGCTATCTATGCACTGGCGTTGCCTCATCGGGAGGAACACCCAGCTCGGCCCTGTCATCCGCATCCATCCTTTCAAAAGCCTTCTTGACCTGGTAATCCCAGTTGCTCCAAGCAACAATCGCCCACTCAGCAAACCCGACAAGGTACAGGGCAATACATTGCCCGACCCATAAGCCCGCGAGACCCCAGCCGTGGAATGCAAGCCAGATGCCCAGTGGCAAAGCACCGCAATAGTAGCTGACAATATTCACGGTAGCTCCAATGTGCTGCCGGCCCATACCTCGGAGTGCCCCACCGCAGCTTCCATTCAATCCGTCCGCGATCTGGAACAATGCAACATACGGCATCACCTTGGCTGTGAGCTTGACCACATCTTGATCATCATTGAAGATCTTAGCGTAAAAGTCCTTGACACCCATGAGCACGGCCAATACGAGCGCACCAAGTACCATGCTCAGGACAGCGGCAGTGTTTGCAGCCCTGGCGGCACCTTTCGCATTCCGTGCCCCAAGGAGATTGCCAACTCGTGACGAGGTGGCAACACCTACCCCAAAAGGAATGGTGTTCATGACCTGGTCCGTAGTCATGATAACGCTTTGCGCGGCGAGCGGTATGGTACCAAGCTTGCCTGCAACGAGCGCGACGATCTCGAACGCCCACCATTCCGTACCGACATGTATGACTCCAAGGAAGGCCAGGCGTGAAAAGACCCATAGGTTCTGAAGGCATTTTCGGTCCCACCCACCCCAGCATTGCCATCCGTCTATGAAGCGTGCATACGCAAGCAGCAGGAAGAAGGACGCCCAGTATGCAATGCCAGTCGCAAATGGCGCGCCAAGTAAGCCCATCTTGAAAGTGTACACGAACAAGTAGTTGAGTATGGCACTGAGAGGTGACGTTATGAGAAGGACGTATGTTCCAGGTCTCATGATTTCTGTCTATGTGAGCATGACGCATCATTTGGCACTGTATTAATCGAAGACCTACCTTGAGCCTGCATGTACTTCTTTAGTGCCTCGAAATAGATATAGCCAACACCACCAGGCGCCAGGACAGAGAGAAACTTTGCCGAGTCGCGCGCAATATAATCTTCCTGACCGAGTGCTTTGAAGAGTGGTTCAGAGCAGAACCAGACAATAGCAATTGGGATGTAGAATAACAATAGTACCAAGAAGGAGCGCTGGAGAATGATTCCAAGGTCATGGCGATTCTTGCTTCCCGTAAAGCTAGCGGATGCCAACGTATCGATTGCTGTTGTTCCACCAAGAGCAACAAGCCAGCCGGTAGCCATGGCGAACATGTATGAGAATGCAGCTGTGGCCAATGCTTCTGGTGATAAGCGTCCGACGATAAGAACAGAGACTGTCTGTAATGAGTTTTGCAATGCGTATGCTACGACCACGGGTAATGATCCTTTGAGCAGTATCCAGAATTCGTGGAGAATAAGTTGGAAAGAAGTCGCGGTTTCATCGTCAAGCTCATGAGTTTCGCCCGTAGACCACTCCTCGTGCTGTGAGTTGGGAAGAAGCGATGTCCTCTCGTCTGGCTGGCCATCCGTGTGATCCGGCGCTTTGAGAAAGCTCGGTATCCATGACCGAGATTTCTTTACTCCGGAGTCCATAATTAGAGAATAAATTGAAGTGAGAAAATGATACCGTTGTGTCCGGAAGAAGAATATCTCAAGGCGACCGGCAACGAGCTATGTATGTAGAAGAAACCCCAATGTCTTGGCCTAGATATACGGCAAGGCACGAAGAGGCAAAAAAAAAAAGGGCCAACGTTGCTGCACATAATACCTTTGACCTTACCTATGTGGATTATGCTCAGATGGAGCGGTACGGACAAGAGAGAAGAGAAAAAAAATTCCGAAAATAACCTAGATAGCCACTAAACCGGTGTAGTTGCGCGAATTTTACCTACTACAAAGAGGTAATGCAATGTAGCTAGTCACGAATGAAGCTGCCGTACATGCCGGCTCTAATCTGGACTGACGTCGATTACATCGGGCTTATGGGTAAAGCGGGACAGTGCACAGCTGTAACCTTATCGCCTTGCATGCTCTCGTATTCCTTGACTAAGACCCTTCGGTAAGCTTTGATGTGGGCAAAGGTAAAAAAAAATTGGCCAGTATGCGGATCCGGACAAGTGTGATATGTGGAGCTGGAGTGGGCAACAAGAAAACCCGTTGGTAAAGTACCCGATGTCTTGGGTTCGATTTGAGAACGTCTGCATTGACCAACTTTTATTTTGCTTTCCGACTATCTATGACGTGAATACGATGTGGAACATACACTATGATGGCGTTACTGGGTTTAACTGGAGCGTTGTGGTCGATCAGCGTGGCCGGGAGTACCAGGAGAGACCCCTGCCGGAAGAGTGTACGTAGCTCAAGATTTAGCGAGCGTACCATGCACGTGACGGACCGTCACGTTTTCCCCATACCCGCAAACGCTAATGAACTCGATGGACAAACTCGTGTTTCCCTAATTAGGTGGCGGTATGAGCATGGTTTCGTGAACAATCACCTAAATAGTAACCAGCTGGGATCAAGAGGGCGGAGCCAGGGCTGTACCAAGGGTGCACGATGTGCAGATGAAATCAACTCAACCTAGGTATCCTTGCCTACAGGGAGTGGATGGAAGCTGCCGGCATTAACAAGCTTTTTAAACACGCGCATTGCTTAAAGTTTATATCTTTTTTTGGTCGAACGTCAAGGTGAAACCAAGACACACTCCTGTTTGGTTGAAGCACCGACCATATACGTACCATCAACTTGCGCGCGAGAGAATGCGTGTGTGAAAAGCCAAGACACGTTCAAGATATCGCGATTCGATTGAAATATGATGGTAGTAGTAGAAATGTGATTCAGCCAGAGTCGTGACGATATGGATTCGTCAAGGCTGGAACTACGTTAAACATTCATCATTACACTATACACAAATGCAGATCCAGCCGCCTTACCCCTTTTTTGTGGAATAAGACCCCAGGTGCCATAGCGCCAAACAGCCATTGAGGTAAAGAAGAAAAAAAAAGAACGCAAACAGGGTATAGAACGTTACAAATGACAACAAGGAGACGTAGACTAATGCTTCTCAGCATATGCCGCAGCGACCAGGATGTCAATGCCGCTGGCCAACGTGCAAGTGTTCCCATCGCTGCTATCTCCCTGCCAGCGACCAGGAATAACGCCACCATCTACCTTTCCTGCGCTTCGCGCAGCATTGGCGTTGATCAAGAAGAATTGCTTGACTTCTTTTCGTGGCTTGTACTGGTATAGTGTCAACAGGCCTCGTGCGAAAGCGCCTTTGAACTGTGATGCGACTGGGTCCAGAGCTCCGGAGACGGGTTCCGTGAGGATACCGCTGGGATCGGTAAGGTGTTTTGATACAGCGTTAAAGATGTCGTACGCACGATCGACGAGGCTACTATCGGACTTTGCGCGCGAAAGCTCAGAAAGACCGGCTAGGATGACGCCCTGGTTATAGGTGAAGGTTGTCCCGCCGTTGTTCTTGCAGGTGGCCGGGTCGATTCCATCATTGATCAGTCCATCCGAGTTAATAAGGCCGGAATTGCTGAACCACTCCCACTCTCTATCAGCCCAGTTGAGGTAATCCAATCTCTCTTGGCCGCTGCAGCGATTTGCAAGGTGCGCAGCTACGGCGAGGAAAAGTTCGTTGGCGATGGCAGCGATATAATTACGGTCCTCTGACCACCATATTCCGCCACCACAGGGCGTGTTCCAACCGCTGGTCATATCTTGGAAAATAAATTTGGCGCTATCAAGATACTTCTTGTCTCCAGTCAGGTCGTAAGAGGCGATCCAGGCCATGGCCCACCAGCCCATATCGTCATAGAACTTGTTTGTCCACTGCTTCGCACCGTGTTGCTCGGGCGATTTGGCGTAGGTGTTTGCGACAATGTTTGCCGCAACGTCTTTGAAATCTGGATCTTCTATGCCAAACTGAGCTATAGACTCAAGAATGTTGCCTGACTGCCACCAAAAGTCGTCCCTGAGTTTCGTGAGCAATAGAAGATGGTATGAGGAGGTGGGGTGTTGCTTACCAGAGACCAGTATTGAAATTGTACCAGGTCTTCTGCAATGTCTGGATGGAAGCAATAGCATCGTCTGTGAAGTCGGCGAAAGTAAAACTAAAGAAAGCGACAGGCAACAAGAGTACTTGAAGGTACTTCATGGTAGTGAACGAATGTAATGTAAATGAATGTGGTGGATGCGGCAATTCTTTGTGTAGGGTGTCCTAATTCATAAGTAGTCGACAACGAACGAAGATGAGCCCCTCGATGTTTGATGTTTCTAAACAAGGCAATGCCAGAAACAGAAGCAACAACAGCCTGTGACTGGTCGGCAAGTATACCAAGTAAACGAATGTGAGGTGAGTCCTTGGACCGAAAGCGCAAGCTATGTACATGAGGTATATGTATTTAGGCCAAACCCACTTTGCAAAGGACCTAGACCACCCATTTTCTTTGTCGCTGCATAGACGTATCCTTGTGCTCGGCACGGCATGAACTATTGTTAGCAGTTGTGGCACAACCAACATGGCATGGCGAGTCAATGTATGTGTTTGACGGCATACGAAGAAAGCCATTGTACAGCGGCAAGTAAGATTAGGGATGTCGGAGCTTGGTCGACATAGACCCTTGTGGTAGGCGATGAAGCGATAGCTGTCTAGGAAAAGTGCGATGTGGGTCCCATCTGAAACACGGAGGATAGCCGCTGAGTGGGATGTTGCGTGGGATAAGTTTTGCTCAGAAATCTGATTGGCTACAAGTTCAAAATTCTACGCGACTAATTAGCACGATAAGGGGCGCCCCGTTGTGGCTCGTGAGGGTGCAAAAGAAGTAACAGCAGGTTTTGTCCGCCTCAGACGCGCGAGAGCATGTAGGGCGGTAACCTTTTGGTGATAAGCACTGCAGGACGAGAAGTCGTGCAGTGTGAGGTTCCCTCATGGTGTGCTAGAGGCTAACGAAGATGTCCGAGTCTGTTCAACGGAGCGACATGACCAGTGGGTGTTGGTGTTGCTCAGCAAAGGCGTCGCGGCTGGAGTGCAACAAAGCCAACTCTCGACCATGGTGGATGCGGTTACATGTATGCGCCGCTGCAAATGAAGCGGTTTTTGCCATGTGCAGCGAGAAATGAGCAAGGAACGCTTGGGGGATGGGCAACAGCGGTTTGCAGCCTGACAAGACGGCTGAAGGCATTGCAGGCCGTGTGGTGGTCGAAATGGGTATCCAGTGTGGCGCGACGAGCCAGGCGATTGGGTGCAATACAGGCTATGGGACGAAATAGGGTACCGAGATGAAAAGTGGAATCTTTGCAACACAAGTCAAACTTGATTTCGCAGAGGGGCACGGCGGCGACGGGAGTAGCAATGATTGCCTGAGGCGGACAAAGGTGGGCCGAGTACGGACGGGGCTTTATGTAGGGGGGTGATGGGTGATTGCAGAGGCAGGTTGTCCAAGGAGCATAGCGATAGTGCATGTGCATGTGCATGCTGATAGGTGTAGGTGTAGTGTCTGCATCTGGACATACTGTTGGCTGTCGCTGTGGACTGCATGTGATGGGATGACGAAGGTCACGTGATGCGCGCCCCGTTCGTGACACTGCTACTACGTCAGCGGGGCCTTTGTTTTACCCCACCACGCACAGCGGGCAACGGTTTGTGGACCCTTTTCCGCGGCGGACAACGATTTGCAGTGAATCCGTCCTATTAGATGGGGCATGGCGTAGAGGAAGGGCACATGTTTGTCTTGTGGCGGGGAGGCCAGAACCGGCATCTTCACAGGCGCGTGCCCGATGACGCGAATGCCATGGACGGACGCGAGAATGCCATCGACCAAGCCAAGCAGACACGCCAATCTACCAATCGAGGCGGCGTGTGGCGCCTGCAAACTGGTCTCCATCCCCGTCGAGCGTGCAGCCATGTTGGCCGTCGGGTGTGGCTTGTGGGAAGAAAGAGGAAGGCTCCATCCATCTCACCCACCTTTTTCTCGCCTGCAGCGACTGCTGCCACTGCTGCCACTGCTGCGACTCCCGCTCGATTATGGGTGACGTACGCATGTCGTAGCCAGCCTCGGTGCCTGCCACCTGCCACCTGCCTATAAAGCACCACCATTGCAGTCCTTTGAACCGTCTCTCATCACTCTCACACACAACTCAACTACTACAACTTCCAACCACATACCAACAGCAACATGTCTGACTCCATGCGCAAGGGACTCGGCGAGCAGGCCTCCGAGAAGCGTAAGATGCCTCACTCTGACTGTGCCTTGGGTCGAGTATACTGACAGCCTTGCAGTCCAGCCCGACTCCACCAAGTCCAACACTGAGAAGGCATCCGAGTCTCTCAGCGGAGCCGGTGACCGCCTTGCTGGCTCCGTGCAGCCTGGTATGCACCTGACGCCCCGAGTACCCTCCATCCAAACATGAACACTAACCGTCGCAACAGAGGGCCAGAAGTCTGCTGGACAGAAGCTCGGCGACATGACCCGCTCCGGCCACGACGACGCCTCCAACAAGAGCTCCGGCGTCATGCAGCAAGCTCAGGAGGGTTTGAGCAACGCTGGCCAGGCCATCTCCGACACCTTCTCTGGCGGACAGAAGAAGTAAACTGCTTCTCGCCCACGCTCTTCACGACACGACCCCGGGAATGAGGGTCGATGATACGTTGCGATAGGTGCAACATGACTGTAGCTTAGAAGCCACACATATTATACCCCAACACCTAATCGAATCAAACAATGTCCTGAATAACTCTTCTCTGATGTGGTGCTTGAATGACTGCTTGCCTGTAGTGTGTTTGTCTCCAGTGAGTCCATGATTTGTTTGCTTGCCCATTTCGGTTGTGCATAGTCCTCCCGGGCCCTAGAGTACAACACGCCTCGCCAAGGGTAATGTGGTTGACCAATGGAATGGTGAATGGTATGATTTCAATCTACAGGTCCTCGTCTTCCACCTCCTCCATCTGCACGTGCCTGAGTGTGTTCTCTGCTGTGCGGGCCTCGTTTGATATGCCCTGCATTTGCCCTTTCGCTTCAGCCGCCATCATTGTGTACTCTGCCTCTTGCACTGCTGCTTCTGCCGCCTTTTCGGCCATCTGCCCAGCACTCATAGACTGTAGCTTCATAAACGCCTCAAGCTCTTCGTCCACCTCGGGCCCAATGTTTCCACTAGCCTCGGCTCCTGCTTTGCTCTGCTCCTTCATATACCCCTCGTCCTTTAGCTTGTCAAACTCGTCGGGCTCTAGCAACCGACCCTCGCCCTTTGCCAACTTCAACTTCTGCGCGACAGCCGCAGGCATGAACTTTGTCGCTTCTTTCCGCAAATCACGCACTTGAGGTGCAGCTTCGTACACAATCGTCGGTTTCTTGGGCTCTTGCGGCGCTTCATCGGCCTGCGAAGCGCGCGCTTGGTACTTTCGCGGGATCGGCGGTGGCGTATCGCGAGGCATGGGAATGTGCTTGACATCGTCGTCGGTATCGCTGCTATCCTCGTCCTTTCGCTGCCCGTTTCGCGTTCGCTTGCCCAAAACACCTCCGCCTCGGCTCTCTCGGTCGCCTCCTCGACTTCGGTCGTCGTTGTCGAATCGTCGCTCTGGCTTGAATACTGGGGCTTTGTCACCGAGCGCTGCGCGCGCCTTGTTTACCGCTGCAAGGTCCTTCTCTAGCTCCTGTAGTCGCTGCTTCTCATGTGGCCGTATCGACCCATTCTGCTCGAGTTCCTTGAGACCGTCGATGTCTCGCTGTATGCGATGTGGATTCCGCCGCGCGAGTTTCTCGTTGCGCTGCGCCTGGAGGTTGGCTTTTTGCTTGCGGAGCTGTTTCTGCTTCTCTGCCTTTTTGGCTTCCTGAACGGGGTTGTAGTTCTTTTCTTTTGCCATTGCGACGGACTGAGCGCGGGATTTGGTGTGGATTAAAAAAAGACAATGTGCGTGTTGACGTTACCCAGGGAAATGGAGAATACGGGGACTGACGTAAGGTCCGTGCTCCTGAGCCGCGGCGCGTCTTGAGTCGCCTGCCATAGTAGTATCGCGACCGACTTTTGTCGCAATTATGTTTGCTTGTCTCTTCACTACCATATCAGCGTTTCAACATAATGTTTGTCCCGCGAGCGCTCAGGCTCAAGGGCGTTCGTGAGAAGCCGCGACCAAACACTTCTAATCCGTCAGTGAAGAATGCTGAGACCGATCGCGATGAAGCCCTGGTCAAGGCTATGCAAAATACAAGGACGACCTCGCTCACTCCTCAACCAGAAGAACAGGTTGAACAAAAAGCTACCAAGCCTGGTCCTAGGTTCACTGTCAAACCAGTCACCCCTGAGTACATTGCTCAACTTGCTGCTGGTATAGAACTCATCTTTACCGACTATGCGCACCAAGAAGAGGAGCGAGCAAAGTGGCTTCGGGATCGATACCGGACAGTAGATGGCGAAGAACATTGTAGGCTTCGCTGAGCTATGGATCTTTGCAGAGCTAATCCAATACCCAGACATACATCTGACAGCCATTCTCGAGCATCCCAATATATCCTCGTTAAAACCCGAAGCCTCCCAAGTCCTCCTCCAACAAGCGCTCCGAGATCACCCCTCTAAAATACTTCAAGTATCAAACAATGGTTATCATATCCGTCGCAAACCCTCTTCGTATCCACCCAAATATCTGCCTCATAATTCGTTCGAAATAGTTGACGATGATGGTTTGGCGTTCTGGGACCAGCGCACTATTTATGTTGAACCGCACATCCGCAACATGTGTCAAACGCCTGCTAAAGTAGCTCAGTGGCTCACAGAGCATGGTCAGTTGCGGCCAAAATGGCTGCCTGTACAAGCCGTACATACACTATGGAACAGTTGCGCTTTCGTAGCTCTCAGTGGCAATGTAATGCACGAAGACGTCTGGCAAAAGTGGAGAGAAGCAGACAAGCCTGAGAACTGGAAGGTCATGACCAAGGTCGAGCATACAAAACGCACAGCCGAATATGTCGCATTGCTTGAGAAGCAGAATCCCAGGGGCATGCGCAAGACTAAAATCGATGATAGTGAGCTCCCGCCAATTGCGCGGCCAGCAGTACTTCCCCTGGCAGTAAAAGCTGCCCAGGAGAATGCTGGCAATGACAGTCAGCAAGGCAAAAAGAAGCGGAAGAGGCGAAAGCCGAACAAGTCTGCTCTTAACACAGGAGATGCAGACGCTGACGAAGCAGGTAATGAGCCAAATGCTAAGCGCAGAGGTTGAAGCAATCGCCAAAGCACTATACCGAGCAAATGTGAACAAGTATCGCACCTAAGAGTGCGCAAGGATCAACCTATTTGCCCGAACAGTCTACTCGAGTCATCGTCACAAGCATATGCCGGACAGCCTCGGTTTAGCGGGCTCTACATAGTTATAGTAGTCGTTTACTAACCTCCAACCTACTACCCCGCTTTCTCGGCCGCATTGACATCAAAGGCTTGCCCCAACCCCATCAGGCCGTTAGTTGATAAAGTGAATCGATGTGAAGCGTGGGAGGTTAAAGGTGACAAGGGAGAGCGATGCTGGCGTTACCAAGCTATTCTTAGTCCCCCAAAAAGCAAATCCAGACTCCCAGTACACTGTTGTTCTTTTTGCACTGCGATAAAATACATTTCTCTATCCTCCAGTGCCACTCTCGTCCAGAACCAATCGCTCGAGCAAAATGACGACCATTGCAGAAAGAACAGACCAGGGCATCATCTATCGAGCTTCAATAGAATACCCGATTCCGGATCTCGATATCCTTTCTCTTTTATTCGGTACGTCATCTTACCCCCTTCCCCCCTCCACAAGCCCATCACCTATGTAAAAACAACTTGGAAATATACACAAACATGCAACAACTACTAAACATACAATTGCTCATGTAGATTCGGGCATCGGGCTAGCAAAACCAGATACGCCCATTCACATTTCAGCTGCAGATCCAAGCTTGGTGCTGACGACATCGCGGGCTCGCATCTTGACGGAAGAGACGTCTGCAGCGCTACGCAAGCACTTTAGCATTGGGGTGAATGGAGCGGGGAAGGATGTGTGTTCGGTGATTTCGACAGGGCATTATTTGCTTCCTGCGCTTGCGTACGGCGTTATTGGCGCTGGAGGTGTGTTCTCTGCTGCGTCTGCGGCAAGTACGGCTGGTGAGCTGTGCAAGCAGCTTCAAGGTGCTGTGTCTAGGATTCTTGTTGCTGTTGAGGGGACGAGGGATGTTGCTATCGGGGCTGCTGAGGCGGCGGGTTGGGGGAGGAATGGAGGGGGTAGAGTGCTGGTTATGAGTGAAGGGAGAGATTGGGGTTTGAGGGTTGTGCAGGAAAATGGGAGATTAGGTGAGAATTTGATTGATGAGGGAGATAGGTTGGCTTGGAAGCGGATTACCGATCCGCGGGGGCTGGAGGATAGCCTTACTGTGCTGATTTATAGCTCTGGGACTACTGGGCTGCCAAAAGGTAAGAGAGAAGAACACTCCAAGAGGTTTACATGCGTGCTGACCCTTGGTGTTAGGCGTCAAGATGTCTCATCTAAACTTGGTAGCCGAGACTGTAACGACAGGTAACCTGACCAAGTCATGGATTTCAAAGAAGCGACCGGACTTTGAATATAGAACAGTTGCTCATTTGCCCGTTTCACACATCGCCGGCATCCAGGGTTACCTCCTTAACGCATTCTACATGGGCGGCACTGTTTACTGGATGCCAAAGTTCGACTTTACTCAGTTCCTCGAATGCAACAGGAGATTCCGCATCACTTTCTTCTTCACTGTGCCGCCCATCTTCCTGCTCATTGCAAAGTCGGCCCAGGTGACAGACCAGTTCCAGACTCTGGAGCTTGTTGTCAGCGGCGCTGCACCACTGGGCAAGGACTTGCAGTATGCAGCTAGTCAAAAGCTAGGTGGACCAGATTGCTTCATCGACCAGACGTGGGGGCTATCCGAAACGACAGGAAGTGCAACAATCATGCCAGCGGGCATGCATGACGACACTGGGTCCGTAGGCCCTCTAGTGCCGAATATGCTTGCCCGTCTTGTCGATGACGACGGCCGAGATGTCGAGCCAGGAAAGCCAGGAGAGATTCTTATCAAAGGGCCGGTGGTGTTCAAAGGATACTACAAGAACGATGCTGCTACCGAGGAATCTTTTACAGACGACTGGTTTCGCACTGGCGACATTGCAGAGTTTCGCAACGGACTGTTTTATATTGTGGACCGTAAGAAGGAACTGATCAAGTACAAGGGCTTACAGGTTGCTCCTGCAGAACTGGAGGCTGTATTAGTGAGCCACCCATACATTCTGGATGCGGCAGTTATCGGGGTCGAGGCTGATGACGGGCATAATGAGGTCCCTAGAGCGTATGTTGTCGCTGCTAAGGGCAGTGAGAAGATGAGTGCGCGCGATGTTGAGGAGTATGTGAAGAAAAATGTGGCAGGATACAAGCAACTGAGGGGTGGCGTGGTGTTCGTGGATGAGGTACCTAAGAGTCCCAGTGGAAAGATTCTTAGGAAAGATTTAAGGCTTTTAGCGAAGCGTGAGAAGGGCGCAAGGTTGTGAGCTGTAGACTTGAAGAAATAGAGGTACGAAGGAATGACTTCAACTGTAGAGCTGATACGTGCGGAACAAATCACACTGTTCCTGATTTAGAAGTCAGGGCAATCGCATTGTTGACACTTACCCCGCAGAAAAAAGCACTGAAGGAGAAAGACACTTTACGCGCCAACAAATACATGTGTCTTGCCTGGATTCCGGATTATGTCCCGGTACGGTTTACCCTCAGTGTACACGTGTCTTGTTAGCGATATATCTAGGGGCGGGCCACGACAGACCTGGCGTAGACTTCCAGTCGTCTTACGAGCATACGCACGTGTTTTCTTTTTCGGGACCAGCCGCACAGCCTCGGTTTATGACATCACCACGAACAGTCACAAACCAACTCTTGGGGGTTCCCCTGACACTGGATCCAACTTCCTGTCCACATCCATCAGAACCATGTCTCGCATAGCGGTAATTTTTGTCAGGACTCTATTGCAGAGATGTGTCTAATATGCCTTGCAGAAGCAAAACGAGCAGATTCGCCAGATTCTCGCTTCCGTAGAAAATGGCACTCAGCGGATTGACGAAATGGCAAAAATTAGAGGGTGGTTTCGTCCAAAAGATGGAAGTGGGGCTTATTCGGCCGTGCAAGACTATCTTAACGAGAGAATCGACTTGAGCGAAACGGCATCGCTCTTGTTCGGGCCTATTGATGAGAAGATCAACTCTTCCCACCTAGACGACGTAGACTTCATGGACCTTTGGTATAGCATCATTCACTCAGCACGACGCTTGTCATGCCGTGAAAATGCAGAGTCTCACAACCACGACAAACTAGTTGACTTGATCAAGGCGTTCAAAGAGCACTCTATACCAAACAACGAAATCTACAACTACCTCTACAGCGAAATGACGGACTTCGGAATGGCCTGTCGCGAAGCCTACAACGACGCTCCAGTTGCTCACGACGGCTTCTTCGACCAAGAGGTGGAAGCATGGGCAAACATGAACTTCTTCTATGCTCGCGTAACGCAAAAGGGGTTGCAGGATCTCTGGATATATGCCATCTACTCGATGCGAGCCGCACTTGAAACACCCCTCGTTGACGACCCCTCTGCGACGGCCAATCAGCAATACGACGCATACGTCCCCGCTGCCGCCGCTTGGATCTTCGGAAATGGACGTCAACTCTTCCGCTTAGAAAGGGACCTTACACCTGCCGATCCCAAGCAAGGTAACCCCGCACGAGGCGGGGAACTGTGGAAAAGGAGGGCCGAGTTTAGCAAAGACCGATGGGCGCTGTGGAAGGAGAGATTTGCTGCGGTCGGGAAGATGGACGGCGTGGCGGAAAAGACCAGGATTGCCGCGAGAGATGCGGTCGAGAGCATGGAAAGGAGCGAGACTTACGAGCCCATGCCAAGGTAGTGCATGGCTTTTGTCCGTATGTCATGATGTATTCTCTTCGGCAGATTCGCATGTATGCGCAGTTGACGGGGGTCTTATCAAGAACTGTGATGTTCCTTGCGGAAAGATGTATCCGCGTGCACGATCATTATGGTGGTAGTAGTAGTAGTAGCAGTAGTAGCAGTAGTAGAGAGGTGAGAATAGTGACATGCTTGAGTATGGATGAATATCAAAAGGAGCGCCACGGTCCCTACTTTAGCCATCTCTTCCCTTGTTGGGCGACATCGCATACCTTCATCCGACGCTCTTCACCGTCTCCACCACATCATGTTCACGATGCTCTCCATCATGTCAAATAGATGGCGGGCCTGGTGGTGCTCTAGGACCACTCTTGCAACAAAGCACTTGCAACTACTTGAATCAGTTAGGCCAGCAACGGTCTCATTGTCGCAGTCACGGCTCAAGTTCGGATCGAGGGCGACAGATCCCATCGCACACTAAGTAGCGCCGGCCCGAGCGCCACTGGCAACCAAACCTCAACAAGCCTAACGGGACGGAGCGATCGCCCTTTTCGAGTTCTTTGCCACGCGGTGCCGCCCTGTAATCTAGTTTTTTTCTCTTTGCTGGCACAGGTTGATGGCGCCTCCAAGACGGGAACCCAGACCCTTGGTAACCAGAAAGAAGCGTTTGCCGGCCCTGCCTAGCTGCGGAAGGAAAATTTCGAAAGTGTGAAATGTTGAGTTTCCTGCGCCGGGCAGCCTGAATTGCCATTAATGTGGGACCGCAAAGCCTCGTAGGTATTGAGGCGTGTTTGAGTAGCCGGTGACTTGGAGAAAAAACCCACAAGGCAGAAAGATACTTCATACACCTAGCGAGAGGCTGAGTCGCTGATGATGCAGGTCTGGCGAATCCGGCAAATGTCCCCTTATGGCGAAGAGATTGTGAGTGGTCATCGCTAGGTACAAGGGTCAGTGGGCCATTGAGTTAGTCGGGGGCGGGTGACAGTTAGCTAGACGAACGGGCGAGCATTAGGGGGTTTGGCCAGGTGCGGACGTTAGGACTTGGTCGAGACAAGACTTTTAGCACTCGGTATGTCCAGGCCCTGCACATGTTCCATGCTATAAAGTAAACGGAGACTGCAGCCTGCATAGCAAGCAAAACGATCATCCGGAACTACGATTGATCATCGAAAGCACATCTGCACATCACTTTCTTCTTTAGGGAACCCTCAACTGGCATATTACACACCTACTCATCCCCAGAAAACTCAAATTCCCTTTGATCGACAAAAGATCCGCCTTCTTGCGCCTTCTATATTTCCAATTCACACACTGCCAACCATGCATTTCCTCTCCACCATCGTCAGCATCGCCTCTCTGACGGCTCTTGTATCCGCACAACCAGGCCCCGGCCCAGCACCAGGACCAGCACCACCCGTTGTCCAAATGAACAACACAAACGGCATTGGCAGCATGCCTGCCCAGCGCTTCGTCATCTCCGCCGACCAAGCCCAAACCGTCATCAAAGCCGCCGTCGCAAACGCCACTGCGCTCCAGATCCCAGAAAACATTGCCATTGTCGACCCGGCAGGCATGCTCGTCGCCTTCCACCGCATGGACAACGCATACCTCGGCTCCATCGATATCAGCCAGAAGAAGGCTCGCACTGCTGTTCTCTTCAACGGCCTTACCAGCGGAGACCTCTACGCTGCCGTTCAGCCTGGCGGCCCGCTTTACAGCGCCGAGAACAGCAACGGAGGTCTTATTGTCTTTGGAGGCGGTCTTCCCATTTACCTTAATGGAAGGCTGATTGGCGGTGTCGGTGTTAGCGGTGGAAGTGTCGAGCAAGATCTCAGTGCTGCGTTTGCGGGTGTTGAGGGGCTTGGTGCTTCATCCAAGGCTTAAAAGGGTGGGATTGGGATGAAAAGCACTTTTTTTTTTGAAAAAAAACTCTTCTTGTATTCTTTTGGAGAAGTTGTTTGGGGGAGATATTATGGGGCGATTTGGGAAAAAGAGCCCTCTTTCGTAAGGTCGAATATAGACTTTTGGGACATGATTGTTGTTGTGTTATGCTATAATAGAAGGGCCGAAAAAAGGACCCGCTTGTAATTGGTAATACTGAGGATCAATGTACTTGGTTGAGAATGAGCAGTGTTCCGATATCTTACTTGCTGTGTACCCTTAAGAAATATACTTGATTCGTATGTTGCAAGCAGGCCTTCTGGTCTCTTTCTCACATCTAGAAATTAATTTGGGCTCTCTAGGATATCTTCCCACTCCTGACATCTGGGTACTTGAACAAGATTGGCTTTGAAGCTTTTGAAGCCCCAAACATGGTGGTGAATAAGGGGAAAGAAAGCTTGTCAACATAGTCGAATCGATGGTGTTGCTACCGCGATGCCGTATCTCGGGAAAGGCTGACAGCAAGCTAGCGATTCATGTTCTTGACACATGACATGTAGTGTGCGGCTGTGGCGGGAAAGAACTCGTAGCTCGCAAAAGATCCGGATACCGGTATTAGGATAGGCAGGATAGCGGAATCATGAAATTTGACTAGGATTTCTGGGGCTTGCGATGCTGTGTTGCATCTTCTTGGGAATATAGCACTTTGGGCGCAGCGGGGATGCGCACGTGTTTGTAAGCCCTGCCAAGTAGACTCAGTTAGTTTACGATCGCGGGAATTCTATCCATACTCTGGAGCCAGTTAAATGCTTGATATGAAAGTGATGCTGTGACATTCAAGCCCAAGGACCTCGGCGGTAGGCGATTAGTACGTAAGGCTCGCTTACGTATCCTAGTGTACCATTCGCCTCACATTCTGCCGTCTAGCACTCGGCCTGGACAAAAATAGGTAATGTGTACCAGAGCCAAAAGTACGTATAGTGATGTCATAAGCTCCCGGCTATGTATACTCAAGTACGTTAGTTGGACTGATAATCTGCGCAGAGCAGAAGCTATACTGATGCAGGCGATTCGAATGTAAATCCTAATACCTGCTTGAGACCGGCTCCCAGTCTTCAGTTGGGATAAACATTTCATAGAAATAGCAGAATAGGTGAATCTGGTCAATGTGCTGTCCGCTCAAAAAGTAAAGGAGCTCACTGTTGCAGTTGCGTGACTCATCAGCAATCAGCTCGGCATGGAAGTCTCTACGTCACAGCAACAACCAACGAGTCTTCTTAGCAGGCCGACCCTGCTAATCTCTACATAGTTTTCGCCAATCCGAAAGGATTAATTTAGCCTCTCAAAGCCTACGTGAAACGTGAGTATGCCAGAGCAGCTGTTGTATCGCTCAATCAGTTCCCGGATAGGGCTGTCATTAGCGGTGAGGGTCGAGACCTCACCATTCGTTTTGTGTACTTGATATTCACCGCTTCCAATCCAGGGTTGCCCAGTCAAAATAACTTATCCAACCATGCCACTCTGATCCTCTGACCATTCCCGTGATCGTTTCTTACCAGTACCGCAAGTTGCAAATCCAATATTCCAGCGAACAACGCACTCACAATCATGAAACAACCAAAAAAGAAAGCGCGTCGTCGCAACGAGTGGAAAAATGCAGTCATGAGTAAAGTAGGTCTGATGACCCGGCGATTGCCAATCAGAAATGCTACAAAGGATGCGAAGACAGCTGTTACTGCTGCAGGTGTGGTACTAGCCGGACCAATCGTGTCGTTTCTCCCACTTGGCCCCTACACCGCCATCCTATCGTTACTAGCCACGTCCATTGCGAGCAGTCACTTGAAACACAAGGTCATTGGTGGCGTCATTGGTTTTTTGTATGCAGGCGGGCTCCATGGGTTCGAGGGACAATTGCTGGCGCTGTTGAGCTACTTTAGCTTTACTTCTGCCTTCGGTAAGCCTATTTGTATCGGCATCGTCTTACTCGCATCCTAACAGGAGAGTAGACAAGCTTTCTGGAACAATTCATGCCATGTACAAGGAGTCCGCCTTCACAATTGGATTTTCTCGACCTGAATCAACACAGTTATTTCTTTTTGTTCTCTCCGAGCTCCTCGAGCTTCCTTGGGCTATACCGGTAGTCGTCCGCACAGTTTGCACCAATGTGTCGCTGCTGGCTTCTCAATCATATGCAACAATTTCGAGCACAAAACCGTCATTCGATACATCGAAACCACCCTTGAGATTGCTCATTCAGACACTGAGCAACCTGTACACCATGGATAAATTTGCGGATGACGATGTGGAGAGCCTGAACTCGAGCCAAGACATCCATAACAGCATACCTTCAAACATCGACCCAAGTCCCTCGCCGGAAATTCCAAGCTATCAATTTTCGTCAGAGGAGTGGTCAGAGGAGCGAGACGTGGACGAAGATACATGTGATGACGGACTTTGGAAAGGCGGTTCCTTAAATGACGAAGAAAGGCGCACTCAAGCACTATTTGATGAGCTGAATCACCTGATCGATGAATGCGACGGGCTGAATAGTGCTCAGTGGAATGAAGTCATCGAGTTATTGAATGAAAATCAGGGCTTTGACCTTGACGGAGGAGAGTGTATGGTTTCGGCGCATTTTGAGGATTGGGCACAGCGGGATGCAGAGATAGAGTTGTCAGTTTTATACCCCAACATTTGATTGAATAGTTTGAAACGTTTGCAAAAATCAATATCTTCCACAATGCAAAGGAAATGATTACCGCCTGCAGTGCGGCTGCACATGTGATGACAGTATTGTGGACAAGCCACAGTGGCGGTGCGCCAAGGCCCTAACCGCTTCCGGACTAGATGGCTCGCTCGCCCACAGGTCCCAACTCCAATATTGCACACAATTCGCGACCGACGACAACCCCACGACTAACACACAGGTATCACGCCAACACCGCCAATATGCGTACCTACGACGATTCCTTCAGCGGTCAAAAGATCTACCCGGGCAAGGTGCGTTACAATGCCGCTCCCGTGTCCCGCCGTCCGCCGCCGCCGCCAGAGGTCGACATTTCGCCATCGCGCCGCAACAAAGCGAACACCTGGCGGAGGGGGATGATGGGGATACCATAATGGGTCGGGCATTGGCTGATGGCATATACAGGGCAAGCTTTACATCCGTGGTGACAGCAAGATCTTCCGCTTCCAGAACGGCAAGAGCGAGTCCCTTTTCCTCCAGCGCAAGAACCCTCGCAAGATTCACTGGACCACTCTCTACCGAAGGGCGCACAAGAAGGGTATCTCTGAGGTTAGTCGCCGCCGATTTTCATATGCATGTTCGATATTGGGACGTGTATTTGGGAAAGCAGTCAAAGATGACATCAGTCCAAACTGCGGAAGATGTACAGGGGATCACAGGGAGCATTACCGGTGTTGATGTTGTCGTGCTGTCCTTTCTGTCCCTCAACAGTCTATGCAACGCCACCATATGATTGCAACCTATGCTAACCGCCGTCACCACAACAGGAAGTCGCCAAGAAGCGTACCCGCCGCACAGTCAAGCACCAGCGTGCCATCGTCGGTGCCTCCCTCGATGTGATCAAGGAGCGCCGCAGCCAACGTCCCGAGGCCCGTGCCGCTGCTCGCAGCGCCGCTGTCAAGGAGGGCAAGGAGAAGAAGGCCGCCGCCGAGTCAGCGAAGAAGGCTGAGAAGGCCAAGAACGCTGCTGCGTCCGCACGAGGCAACGCCGCCAAGGTCAGCAAGCAGGGTGCCAAGGGTGCCGCACCAAAGGTGCAGGCAAGGACTCGTTAAGCTAAAGCGGGGAATTGGTACGGCGTGCATAGTCTGGGTTATGGCTGGTTTTTCGGAATGACTCGGTGTTTCCCTTTACTCTCTGAATCTCTGTTTCCGATAAACCGCGGAAAAATGGAATGAATGGAAATGGCACTCTTCATGGCTGACCTGTTTTGCTTCTGGAATCGGTGTTTTTCTACTGCCGGACACTGTCCCATTCATATATTGAAGCGTCTGGGCGCCGTAGGGCAAATACAAATACCATGTCCTTACGACATACGAATGCTGCCAACACGACTCGTGAGTGTGCCCAAGGGAAAGGGGAACAAGGATGGTTGTTGTATATTCTATCAAAGCTTCCATACACCACTGGCATCCACCAGGGGGATACCTCAATGCCAATCGAATTGTATAACCATGTCACTTCTTACTTGATGCACTGTTCATATCTCGTTCGTGCCTCATTATCATTAAATTTACTGTAGCTATTTCGTAGCATCGTGGAAAAGAAGAAAGAATCAAAGCGAGTGGTAGCTAACGCAGTACAATCCCCATGTCAAAACTGATAGGGTTTAATGCTCCTGGGGCAAGCGACGTACAAAAAAAGTACAAAAAAGACATTACCGTATTAAGTACCCAGCACAGCGTATAGTTTGCGCATACAAAGTCATCCCGCACTGTTGTAGGATACCAAAGGTACGAGCAATGTCAACGCACAGCCCCCAAGGCCCATGGATAAGACGCATGCCATCTGGTATCCAAACAGCCAACATCATCCCATGCCTCCATCTTGGCATCCTAATCCAAGACCTCCATCATCGAGGCTTTCTTTTGCTCGTCTTCGACCAGCATACATCGAGCGCGACAGATGTCTTCAATAATATCGACGACCTTGCGAAAGCTGGATGCTGCGCCCCGCGTCTGTATAAAGCGTGCAAGACAGAGGTTGGCGCGGCGCCCGTGTTCGAGTACGACGAAGAGTTCAATGACAAAGGATACAGGCTTGATCTTCAAGTCTATGCACATGTGTCAGCGTCAGACATCGTACAGCAATAAGAAAAACTAAAAGTGGCGTTACGTTGCAGTGTCTGCTTCACCCTCAAAACTTCAATGTCAAACTCCCAGTTTTGAAGACACCACCCGCAGAATACAAAACATGCTTGCGATGACAGGCTGTACTTACGATTGTTTTTATCAACGCGCGCACTGATGGAGTTGGACTTGCGATCCAACGCCACATCCTGAATGCCAAAGCGCTGCCAGTCGCGCAGCAGACGAACAAAGTCCTGTCGAACTTTGCCACGACCGACTTGTAGGCACAACGTTTTGCTGGTGGGCTTGATATGCAGGAAGCGCGAAAGCCAGTTCATCTGCATCTCAGGATGGGCGATACGGACTACATCCTTATTGCGGTCGGGGCCTAGATCAAAGTTCGAAGAGATAGAAGAGGAGCTAAAGCTGACTTCTGAAGCAATTTCAGTTGGTATGGGGACATGAATACCCTTTAATCGCTTACCGTTTAATTCCATCGGGCTAGTTGCTTTGCCATTCTTGGACTTCTTCCCAAACAAAGCAAGGAAACCTTTGCGAGCTGTGCTATCGCCCTTTGTAGGCTTGGAGTCTTTGTGGCGCATAGGGAACTCGCTCCCATTGCTTTCATCTGATTGCTTCTGGTTACACTTTGGATTACCGCCATTCGTCAATGGCACAGGGTCTTTCGTCGTGCGATCATCAAGGCCATACCGTGCCTCAGAGATTTGGAGTAACCCATTTGATTGCTTCGTAAATTGGTTTTCCTCGTCATCATGATCATTGTTCTTTTCATCATTGTTTCGCCGAAACCAAGACTTCTTTTTCCGGATCACAGGGTGTTGCTTTGCAGGCACAGAGACATCGTTGTTGAGTCTTGCTGCAGGCAGATCATACCGCAAGTCCTGGCATGGGCGGACTATAGAATCACTATTCAGCGCAGGCAATGGCGCCACAGTCGTCTCTTTAGTAGCCTTATTTGAATCCAGGCTTGCTCCGCTTTTCTTGCGAATGTTTAGAGGCGCTACACGATTAGGTGATCCATTGACAACACGAATCGTCTGCTGCTGGTCTGCTGCTACACGGTGACCCTGAGATCTAACCGGATCAGTGAAGACCCGGTGATGAGTAACCAGATTCCCCGACCCATCTCTGCTGTCAATTTTCACCTCTTCTGGAATCATATGTAGTGGTCCATGTTCTGGAGACTTGGTGGGAGCCGAAACAATACGCTTGCCTCCTATCGCTGCAGGCATCATCAAGCGATCAAGATTCTCAAGGAGGTTATTGTAACGTTCTGTGATCTCATCCTCCATAATCCTTTGAGCGATTTCCGCACGGGTCTCTGCGAGCCTTCGCTGAACGAAAGTGTTTGGTGTCTCAGCCGGTGTAGGTGGAAGAGGTCGCTCTCGGGACAGCCATTTGGCAGCTGGGGGAGTGGTGAGTATACTGCCGCCTGAACTCTGCGTGTTTGGGAAAGATGTCGGAGGGCTGTCATAATGCAAGGCATTGTTATAAGTATTTGTGACCGAGTAGACACTTGAACCAACAGATGATCGATTAAAAGCCTCTTCCATAACCTTGCCTAGCTCCATACTGACCTTCCGAACCTCGCCCTGAATGTATTTGGTTGGGCTCTCCCGCCTGTATAATTTTAGACGTGGAGGATCTGTACCAGCAAGAGCTCTTGATTTGGGGTTCGAATGGATGGTGCTGTTCCTCATGGCTGATCCATACGATCCAATAGAGGTGTGAGGCCTGTGAGCCATGTAGTCGGTACAAGACCCAACCTCAGTCTGCCAACTACTGCCAGTAGCAGCCGACAACCGACGATCACGCAGATGCGAGAAGCTCACACCGCGCTTGCCTTTACCGCTAGGGCGAGAAACAACAGGTGGACTACTGGGCCATTGAGAGGTCATGAGTGATGACCGTGACATCGAATTCCTCTGGGCAGAAAAGGCGCGGTAAGATAGGTTACTTCGACTCGAAGAACTGCGCGATGTCGCATAACTACGTTTAGATCTATTTCGCAGAGTCTGGGTGCGCAATGAGCTGCCGGTTCGGTGTCCCAGAGCTGCAGTGGGACGTGGCCTGTCACTGCGGCTGCCACGTCCGCGATGTACAGTAACATGCTGGCTGAGAGGGATATCTCCTGGACTTGGTATTATAGGCTGCCTCGAGGCTCGGTAAGGATCGTAGCTCGCTTCGGAGGCTGGAGTCTCACAGAGGCTATGCTTTGAGTAAAGATGCTCGTTATTGAGAATCGAGTAGGCGGACTGTGAGCGCTTGGTATGCCTCAATGGAAGCTCTGCAACTTCCAAGGGTGTAGGTGCGTGACGTGTGCTGTGATGATGATCGCTGTTTGAATGAGCAACAGCGTACTGCGAGCTTGGCTGGTAATTCTCCAATTGATCAGCATGGTATTTGCGAAGAGCAGCATAAAAGAACTTTTCCTGGTTTGGTCTAAAATTCGTATCAGTAAAAGGATAACAAAACAATGTGACAGAGATTGCTTACTCTGGACTGATCAACTTTTGAATCAGGCTCTCTTCCTTCTCGCTGTGCCACAGCATACGCAGATATCTCAGAATGTCACGATTAATGGTGGCCCGGTCTAGCGCCATCCACTCAGCTATGACAGGAGAAGGGCCGGTCCAATGATCGAGGTGAGCATTGTCCCCCAAAAAGTTCAACTCCTGTTGGTACTTGAGTAGAAAAGGATGATTCCAGATTTCTTCAAGTGATATGCGGCGCTTGGGATCAGGCACCAAGATCTTCCTGATGAGGTCCTGAGCCTCTCTAGAGATATTGTCAGGCATGACATACTTGGCCTGTGCGATATCGCGAAATAGATGCTTCATGTAGCGATCATCACCCGAATAATTGAAAGGTGGTGCACCAATAAGCAGAACAAATAGGATGACACCACAGCTCCAGACATCTGCCTTTGCGCCATCGTAGGATGTAGTCCTGATGACTTCTGGGGCGGCATAATGCGGGCTACCACAAGGTGTGGTGAGCTTCTTCCCGACCGGTTGTAGGGCAGCCATGCCGAAGTCAACCAGCTTGACTGTCATAGTGTCTCTGTCCAACAAAATATTCTCGGGCTTGAGATCGCGGTGATGAATGTTGATTCGATGGCAGTAGGTCAAAGCTGCGATGATCTGGCGGAAAATATGGACAGCGTGTATTTCGATCAAACCGCCCTGTTCTTGGATGTAGGCGAAAAGCTCGCCGCCTTCTACAAATTCCATGATGAGATAGCTGATGCTTGTCAGACAATGGCTTCAAAATGAGTAATCAATAAAGCTTACAGCTCATCGCGGTTCTCCCAAATATCAAACAGGCGGACGATGTTCGGATGATCCAACAACTTCATAATGCAGATCTCACGTTCCAACCCAAACGGGATCCCCTTGCCGTCATGGCATAGAGTTGGATCTTGCTCAGCACTCTGAATAAGATTGGCCAAGCTCAACGCCCGGACTTTCTCCGCTGTGGCCTTGGAAATGATTTTCGCAGCACCGTATTGACCGGTTCCGGAGTGCCTGACAAGCCGTACGCGTGAGCAGCCGCCTCGACCGATGGTCCTGCCCAGCTGCCACGGGCCTATGTGTGTCTTGAGACGGCGGTTTGAGCTCGAAGTATTAGTGCTTGCGTTGGAAATCTCTGAATCGCGCTTGGAGTTTGGAGGGCGACCTTGGCGGGCTTGAACAGCAGAGAGACGCTTGTTTTCTGGAGACGCCAGGTCGTTGCGAACTGCAAGTGAAGCATTTGTGACTACAGGGTCTTTTTGAGGAATCTTCATGGGTGCAGAGACTGGCTTGTCTTGATTGTCTTGCTTTTCATGGCGTTGCTGGCTATGCAGACCCTCGTTAGCGCGGTTTGTGACGTCTCCGAGGACGGGGCGGCGAGGCAGTAGACGCCCATGGAAGACGGAGTCCATATCTTGGGTTAGTGAATGCAGTTGTCAAGGCGTCGCACTTGAGTAGTGCTGCAATGGCGATTATACCAGGCGAGTAGGCTGCTAATTAAGCTTTCTAAGATGTGTACAAAGAGCGTGGGGGTGTGCGTGCAAACGCCAAAGAAACCAGTAGTCAGTGTTGTGGTAAACAAATTGGTTGTAGTTGGTGGAGCCAGGCAAGTGCCATGAGTGGGATGCTCTTGTGTTTGTTTACTGTTGTTAGTGACACTGAACGCGTTGGACAGTTGAGAGCCAGCAAGATGGCACGCTGGCGGGTTAAGGAGGGGCAGGTAGGTCTGCAGTGCCAATTGAGACTGCAACTGTTGGCAAACAAAAAAAGCTAACGAGTAGTTGGATGCATATGATGAGGCGGTTATACAAGGGTTGGTGTGGAAGGCTCACAAGTAGTAGGAGGGGAGATTGGTGCACAGACGGACCCTGATGGAAGCGCGACCGAGTGCAAACGCTTTCGTGGCAGGGCTCGCGTCGAGACGAGTTGCAGACAGTGGCAACCCTCATGGGCAAGAGCGCGTGGTAGATGCATAGTGTGCTCAAGAAGCAGTGGAAATGGCGCGGGTCTTGGGCGATGGATATGAAGCATCGCTCGTAGTCCAGAAGTAAAACGGGAGCAATAGTTTTCTTGGTTTGACAGATGGCAATGTTTTCGTTGTAAAACCACAATGTCGAGAGCAAAAACAGTTATCGTTCACCTTGGCTATCATGGGTGCATAGTAAGACTGTGCCGTGTAGGATAAGAAGCGAGCTGTAGCTCCTACATCAACCCTTGCGATGGTGAGTAGTCTTACATGTGTGTTTAGCAATCGCAAAACTCAAAAAATCTATTTCTGTACAAAATATACGCCGACAGCCCAACGGCACGTGGTTGCGCGTATTGCTGACATGGCATGAAGTCAAGTCAAAAATGGATCTGGCGCTCGACCCGCAGATCGCTCCCTCCCCCAACTTAACGCGCGGGACATGCCGTCGCGATCTCCATTCCTTGCCCGGGTTCATGGGTGCGGTGTACAACCGGGCCGGTCCTGGGCACAAGCAAACAGGTAAAAGAAGGTTTGATTAACATGCGGAGTCGAGTTTATTAGGGAAATATTGCATGTAGTGATATACCCTGCCCCACCCATCTGTTACAACTCCACGCTTACTCTAGCCCTCTGCGGTGCACATCGTGAATGTGAGCACATACGCACAGTGCAAGGTCATTTCACTGCATACATGGACCTCATCAATGTCAAGATAGCCGAATATCGGAAAATTATGCATTGTAGAATTTCATTTGTTGCTTACGCCGCTCATATACATGTATACGCGCACTGTGGAAAAACATGACAGCATCATGTTGCTTGCGATGCGAACAAAAAAAGCAATGGGGGCGTATATTCCTATCCCTTTTTTGCAAACATTACGGCCCAACACGGGACATGTGAACCTTCCTCAAACGCGCGTCCCAGTCCGTCAGGAAACCTTCCCCATTCGTACAAAGCCCAAAACAGAACAAACGCGCAGCGACTGGCCAAGAAACACGCAGATCGAGTAAACACAGACACATACATCCCCCGCTGCATACATGGTATACCTGATAGATACAGAGTCTGATCCGACCCAAGACCGAGAAACATCCAAAATGACCAAGAGGTATACGCGCTCCAGACAAACACAAGGGAGATGGAAGGGAAAAAAGAAACCAAGTAGACGTAACATAAACAAGGAAGAAGAGCGCGCATAAAAAACGACATGTAAAACTCCCATACATGTCCCAGGGCTGTAACTTTCCCATAAAAAAACATGAAAACCATGACAAGTCGTGACCAGAATGCTTTACTCGACCGTAGTGACCGTGCTCCCTGCAAGAGGTACGCACCGAAACCTCGGAGGGGAATTCCGTAGAGGAGGGTATAGATAATACAATAGAAGTGAAGTAAAAAGGCCGAAAGGGACTTCTGGAAGAAGCCGCGAACCGCGAGACGGATTACGAGTGGGACTTGAGATCTTCTGCCCGTGGAGAGTGACTTTCGCGCTTGGTGTCGTTTTCGCCGACGACTTTTCCACAGCCTTTGACCAGGATGTGTCTCTGCAGGAATGCGTTAGCAGTCTGTTTATATAGACAATAGCACTGGGAGAAGAAGAAGAAAAGCATACCTTGAGCGCATCTTTCCTAGAGAAGCTCTTGTCACAGTGGTTGCAAGGGAAGGGCTTGACGGCGAGATGTATTCTCTTGTGACGCTTCAGGTCGTGGTTCCTGTTGAAGCTCTGTGGGCACTGATCGCACTTGAAGGGACGATCGTTGGCAGTTGGTGGTTGATGCTGGGGATGCCCCATGAAGTGTGGCATCTGCGCAGCATGTCCACTGTTGAAACCAGACATCATGCCGGGATGTCCAACAAGTGCAAGGCCTCCTGCGGGGTTTTGAACGTTGGAAAAGACAGGCGCTTGGCCTCCTCCATACTGCAAAGACGGCCTTTGCTGGTATTGGTAGGGAGAGTGCGCTGGGTTGTTGGATGGGATCGATGGGATTGGGCCCTGCGACACGGCTGGCGACATGCGCTGCATCGAACCACCAGCGCTGATGGGGCTTTGCTGCTGACTCAAGGTTGGCGATGGTCCAGTCGAGTAGGGAAAGTTTGAGTGTTGTGGTGTTCCGGAGTTGTGGTAGCTGTAGGTAGGGGTTGGGGGCTGAGGGGGCCTGAACGAGTCCTGGCTGAGAGCGGGCGACTGCTGTGGTCCCGAAGAGGAGACAGGCGTTTGATTACCCATCATCTGCTGATGTTGGTGATGCTGTGTAGAGATGGAAGGCATGCTTGAACCGTTGGACGAAGGCGTAAAAGGTGGAAGTTGCTGGGTCATTTCATATGGTGGCGGATTCAACCCTTTGCCTAGTGAGTCCTGTCGTCCGAGCTGGCCCTCACCACGCGACGGAGCGAACATACCTCCTCGGGCTTGTCCGTATTGGTTCTGCTGGTGATGCGCAGCCTGATAGCCATATTGCGCAGCCGATGCTTGCGCAGGCGGAGAGTACATGTATTGGCCGTTGGAATAGGCCATGGTTGTGGAATATTGTGAGCCAGCTGCTGAAACTCCAGTTGAGCTTATCACGTCACTGTGATTAGTGTTTGGCGGAGTTAGGAGGTTGCCAACGCTGGCAATAGTGACTGGAGCCTGTTGCGACTGTGAAGCGGTAACCGTGTTGCTGAAAGGATATTTGTGCATCGGTGGCGGTGGCAGCTCAAAACTGCCGAGTTGCTGGGCGTGAGGTCTCCGCGCTGCAAAGCTAGGAGGTGCACCCATTGGGTCAGACCCAGGATGCATGGAAGACGGATGAGCCACGGCAGCAGCCACGTTGGCGGTTGTGTGCCGGGTAGGTCCTGTTGACCTACCTGCTTCGGATGGAGGAAAACTTGGAGGATATTGCAGCGACGACGCTACAAGTGACTGAGTAGTGTAGTGGTCAATATTAGACCAAAACGGACCACGTAAAGGCTGCAAGTCCACGGAGGGTAACAGGCAGCTTGAGGCTCAAGTCCAAGGGGGACAGAGAGCTGATGATAAGCAGGTAGTGAAGGAAAAGGGGACTTGTAGAAAGCACCCCTCTAAAGTACACAAATGTCCTGTCGGTCTGTAGAATGGCAATGGCGCGCCGGTTCTAGTCTGTCGATGCGTCTGAAGGCTAACGACTGGTCCGAGTCCTTTCGAAATGCTGTAATAGAAACGAATGGTCCGAGGAATAGTACCTGTGCTGATTGAGGCAAACGGTAATACCAAGGTACGCACGTCTGGCCGTAAGAATTTCACCAAGTTTCAGTTGCTGCGACTTGTTAGTGCTGCTCGTCGTCTCAGGTCGAGGAGAGAGGGCGTACAAGAGAGCAAAAGCAGATTCTCGTGGAACTGTGGTTGATGTCTAACACGAAGTGTTCGGTAGGGCCCGATTTCCTGGTTGCGCAGATGTAGTGCTACCCTGGGTTGTCACACAGTATCTGTGTATGAGGATTTTGGGTTCAACGACAGTGGCTCATGTGCTCTAGCTGTACTGGTGTTGTGGTCCGACACTGATTGGGGAATGCTCCGGGTTGGCTCTGTGTTCTCCGTTGGTACTTGGATCCAATGCAGTGGATGGTGGCGTGGGATTCCAGATGAGGATGGAGACGACAAGACGTAGTCACAATCAGTGCACTCTGCAGCGGCGTTGCAAAGAGGCTGTGTTGTACGTTGGAGAGAGGCAATGCACTGATGGTTTGGCGGGGAGCAAAGGTGAGCCTCGTCAAGTGTTTGGCGGTGGTGGTGGTGATGGTGGAGATGGAGGCGTGTGGAGTGGCGATCACTCCTTGTTAAGCTCAAGACCTGGGCGCCCTAGGAAGGAGCGATGGCGGAGAAGGCTGGAACCTGGGTGGACTAAGAAGGCTTTGTTACCGCGAGCGAGTGGAGAGTGCTGGGTCTTTACGTATATGTACGGCAGGCTAGGGTTGTCAGGGTTGGTGGGCTCGCGTGGCTGACTGGCGCGCTGGGGCTTTTGCACTATCAAGGGCTCAACCAGGCGATAGGGACCGTCCAAGCCTTTTGAGGATGATCTGGATCGGGATGGGAGATGAAGAATCAGCCCAAAAGCCAGCCTCAGGTGAGGGTGCGGGAGCGCTACTCACAGACGCACTTTGTCACAATAAGGCAATGCAAACGAGGCACGGCAGAAGCAATGCGACGAATGAATAATAAACCCACACCGTTCAGACTCAATTTAGAGAGCTAGACGAACATGGGGCCGCACACAGCAATGCATGACCAGGGGGGTGAAAGCACCTACCATAGCCAGACCCTGCCGGCAGACCATCAGTCGGAGTAAGTCCTGCTGGCGTGCGGGACGGCTTGGACCAGCAAAGTGGGCGAGCTCATGGCTTGCGCCGGACCGCAGAGCAAATGGACGTTCTGTCAGCACATTCACTAATATTGGTGATGATTCTGGATCATGGTCACTATGATGGGCAGCGCAGGCTGCCGGGCGAGGGGCGGATGAGCGTGAGGGGGGATTGTTTGATGCTGGCACAAGACGGGCGGGTGGCGCGAGTGGACAGATTTGGGTGGACATGCGGCTCTCCTGACCCAGGCTTGCGGCACGACAAGAGACAGACACACGCGGAGTGCTTTTGTCTCCCCTCTCCCCCCTCCCCCNCCCAGTACCAAGGGTCAGGAGCACCCCCAGAGCAAGTGTAATGTGCGTCGGGACTGGCGCCAAGGGGACCTGGGAGAGCCTGATGGCGCACGGACGCGGTCTGGCCCAAGGAGCGCCCGGAGGGGTGGTCAGAGAGACAAAGCCAAAACTCTACGACAACCCTTCCCCCCTTTGCTCAAGCCCACCGTTTGTGAAGGGCCAATGGCCGTTAGCAAGCAGTGCTACCAGACTTAGCCAGAGGGATCGTCGTGATGTGCAGATGGGGGGGCATGGGAGCGCTAGGCGAGTGGACAGGAGCACTCGAGTGCGTAGCAGACGTCGGCCATCCATGACGCTGCACAATCACAATCCCCAGGGCTCAGCGTCAAGTCCGGTGGGTATGGGTGTGCGCATGTGTGTGTCTGGCGAGCGAGAAACAAAGTGCAGCTGGAGGAGAAGGATCCCTGCGGGTGGTCCAGTTCGGCGACCAGACCTGCGGCCGTGCTTTTACCGCTTTCTCATGTTAGCTGACGAAATGGCGCTGTGGAAAACGGGCCCAGCGCTAGCCGAGACGGAGCATGACGGCCAGCTGCACATGATTGCAGTGATGGGCTGGCTGCCGAATACGCTTGAGCATGTGTGTTTCGAGGTAAGATGGGGGTGGGTGTATGGATGCCAAGCAGCCGATCGACGCGATACCCGTTCCCTGTAGGCCATAGGGTAGGGATGGTGGGAAAAGACATGAATTGCGGAGCCATTGCATGAGGGTCGGAGCGTCATTGCGGAAGGCTGGTGATGGCGTCGAGAGCGAAGCCATTGGGCGGAGCAGCAGTGGGCGACGGTCTAAAATTAGGCGAAGTGGTATATTGCTTGGGGCACGTGTGCGCCTGCAAAGGGCAAGGTGGAATAAGCAGCAGCCTGGGTCCCTGCCCGCCTCAATCTCGTCCCTCACCACTCGCAGCCCAGGGCCGGTCGTACATTCTTCCTAGACGGGCGCCTTTCCACGTGGAGGTGCATTGGCTATACGTTTCCGGCCCATTGTTTTTGCGCGCGTCTGCTGCCGTCGCCTGGGGGGCCTGTGAAGGGATTGGTGCCGGCCCAGCCAACAGCGACAGACTGCCGGGCGCTGCGCAGACACACACACACACGCCCGTCACTGCTGGCCTTGTACCCACCTGCAGTGCTGGTGGTGGTGGTAATAGCAGCGGCAATGGTGATGGTGGTGGTGGTGGTGGTGGTTGTGCTGCTCGATGCATGCATATACCTGTCACTTTGTCCATGTGTTGTGCAGTCACGTCAAATCAAGGCTGGGTGCAGTGGGTGCAGCCCGCCTTGCCAAAGGGCCTTTCCCGGCGGCCTGGTTTGACCAGCTGGCGGAACAAGAGAGGAACAAGGAACCGGGGACGACTCCGCGGTCGATCCGACTCTGGGTTCGTCTGGATAATGGCAGGCCCCGTGCTGGCGCTGGAAGGCTGATGCCACAGACCATTGTTTTGGGGCAGCCGCTGCGACGACTAGCTCAGGCGTGCTGCAGGGCCAAGCGCACACAGATGGCGTAGCCGCGGGCCTTGTCCGGCTCCTCGTACGCTGTCGGGTTGCCGTGGGCGTCGCAACGTGGGCAAGCCCTGCCAGTGCCCAACTAAGTACGTATAGTACGTACGTACGTACCAGGCGATTGTGTACGGACATAGTCGGCCGTGTATAAATGCACACAGGCACGTATCCGAGCACACGCACACGCCCATGTACTGTATCCGCCTCTGCTGGGGATGCCGGATATCGACAGGGGCGGTGCAGCCGAGTGTTGCAAAAAAGGTAAAAAAGAAAACAACACATGTCCAGGGCTGCGCAGCGCAGCGCATCGCACGCAAGACCGCATGCTCCCTTTCATCTCTCAGCGTGTTTTGTCACTGTGATGGGGATGCGAGGTTGGGTCTAATCCTGGAGACCTGCAGCCAATCACGTACGCAGATAAGCGAAACCGGAGAAGGTTTCCTGATTCGCTTGATCGGCTGTACCAACACACACACACCCACACCCACACCCACACCCACACACCCTCACCCTCCCACCTGCAACGCTCTTGACGGCTGGACGGGGGCCTGGAGCCTTGAGCGCCGGCAACCTTTCAACGCATCGTCCCGCTTGGCTGCTCCAACGCGCTCGTGCTTGTTTGCATCTACTGCACCGTACAGTACGAGTACGAGTGCGTACAGTAGTAGAGTGTGTACTATGGACGCATCTGCACGCTCTCGCACTCGCTCCAACCAGGCAGCCAGGCAGCCAGGCAGCCAGTGCCCCCCCCCCAGCGCCCTGGACAAATCCGAACCCCACTACTACACATCGTCATGTCATCATCCGCCCGCCTGTCGCCAGCCTTGCCCGCCCCATCTAAATGACTGCTCGCTCGACTGCCTCCAAGGCCGCCAGCGAGTACAGTGGGCATTTGCATTCACACGGCGCCGCCAGCTCGTCACATCGCTCTCCATCCATCATGCCTCCCGACGTGACGGCCTCCCCCTCCCCCCTAATCGGCCACCCGTCAAGCCAGATCAACGGCCTCCCCCGCCGAGCTGGCTACGCTAGAGGTCCCGCCCGTTCTACCCTACCGATCTCTCTACACAAGCGTCTCAGGCGTTCGGGGTGCCCGTGGCCCCACATCTCTCTAGCCCTTGATAACACGCGGGTTGCAAGACCCAACTCAGCGTCTGACTCTAGCCTACCTAGCTGGCCCCCCTTCCCCGTCACCGCCAAGTCCACCCATCCCAGGTCCGGAGTCTTGTTCCTCTAGCCGACGACGCCTGCCTGCGCCCATGACGCCCACGACGCCCTAACCGCCCCCCTGGATCTCCGTTGACGCACTGCCTGAATTGCCAGAAGCAAAACCGCTCTCGCTCTCGCTTCGCTTCCAGTCCGCATCCGAAGGCTGCGGCGGCCACGTTGTGAGCCGCACCTCCTCTCCCACCGCCCGCAAGCCCACCCGCCTCAGCACAGTCATGGCAGCCAACGCGCTGGGCTTCACCAGTGCGCTTCTTTTCAAGCCGTCTGCAGCCTCCTCCAAGAACGACTCCAGGGCCCATTGCTTATACACGGCCCGTCGTCACCATCGCCATTCTCACTGCGCGCGCGCGCATGTGTAAATGTGTTTTGCTTGTTGTGTCCGTGGCCGCGGCCTCGTCACGGGTCACACCGGCCAAGGGAGTATATTGCACCAGTCAGACTGGCCGGCGTGTTGACAATTACCTGCTTGCGTGACTGAGTCGCTGTGAAATGACGTCCTGTACCCCCCACGTTACTAAAGTTTCCAGCTCTGGACTCAATAGCTTCGTCTCCTGCGTGATGCAGCCGAAAGAAAACAACCCAAGGTTTGGGCCTCAAGATTTCCACTACCAAATCGCGACTAAGGCTAGGGCTCGGATTCGCCTCGCCTCCCCCTGCTCTACCCAACTTGACCTGTGTCAAACTACGTTTAGGCCAGCTCCCACCGACTTGCATATTTGTTTTGTCGCTTCTAACCGCTCTGGAACGCTTCCAACACGGCCATGATGTGATTACTAGTCCTGGTCAGCCCGCTCACGAGCGCTAGTTTCAATCCCTTCTCTATCCTGGACCGAGTGGCAGCATGCTTCCACTGCCGCGCAGGCCGCTCGGCCCAGCCTGGCCTCTTTCTCCCTTTCCCCCCTCCCCCAATTGCCGGCAAAAACTCGCCGCACGCCTGCTGATTCCCCCGAGCAAAAGCTGCGTACGTGCCCATTACGTTCATGTCGGAGTCAAGGCCATGCCGCCAAAACATACAAGCCCAAGCTTTGTATGTGCCGGCATCGCATCCGGTCTGCTAAGACTGTACCTGCATCAAAGGCATACCCTCAACCATACGTCTGTGTGGCGGACGCCATGATCTCAACTCCGCACCCAGGATCTCGCTGATCTTTGCCAGCCACCTTATTCTTTGCCTGAACCAGGACGCACCACTTATTATGCCCGCTAAGCTAAACGCCCGCAAAAGCCTTCCCGTCTGGCAAGTGCGCCACTGATCGATGATGTACACAGGGTACACCGTTGTACGATATTTTGCTGTCGTCGGAGGATAATCCGCTTTGGTCACCAGTTGACTGCCGTTGCCGAGTCTTTTGCCCACTTCCGGACGGTCCAGCCAGAAGACGGCCATTCCTGACTCGCCCATGCAAGTTTTGTTCCATCATGGGTCCAAAGAACACCTGATGAGTTGCATCTAGATGAGGTGCCCAAGTGCGCAGTGGAGGGGCGCTGACACAATATCTGTCAACAAAATAACATGCACTGGTGAAACGCTATTCGCCCAAACATGTAGTAGTCGCTTGGCTGTCGGTCATCGAGGCGACAACCAAATCCTTCTCGGCTGTTCGTGCATCCATATTGGTGGACAAGCGCGCAGTCTGCAAAATCTCCGCCAATGGTCTGGGTCGGCATTCCCAAGGCCGACCAGCTCTCCACACGCTGTCGGGTAGCCTGGACCAATCACGACCAGCCCGTATCCCTCTCTTGGTTTCATCCATCCATTCTCGTAAAAAGGTGCATACCCTGACGCTATCCTCTCAGTACTATCTCGACAAAGCTCATCTGCTCGTACTCTACGTACGCGCGCACGCAACGCCGTCGCACTGGAGAGTGGTTGGACTACGCTTAGGGTGAGGCGAGATGATATCAAACCGACCTGGCCTGATGCTACAACTCACTCTGCATATGCAAGAAGGACCCAACTCATCCAATCAGTAAAACCAGTTTTTACTTTTTCCATTTCTGTCACCGTTTTTTGCAATCTTCCCACGCTTCCTCAACAAGTTATGTCTCAGTCTGCCGGGTGAAAATTTGCTCGGCTGCCTCGTGAGAACGCATACATGTCGCTGAGTGTAACATTATTAGAGTTGGTTGCTTATGTGTGGCAGCTACAAGGAATTTGCCGTGCTGTGATGATTACATATCTACACAAGCAATGGTATTCCTTGCGAGATCGCCAGTCCCGTGTACCAGTATCCAAGGACGGCTGCTTGTGATTACTGCAGCTTACATTTGACGTGCAGCAAGGTTACCCCCAAACACGATGGCTACAACCAGAGCACGCCGTCTGACCTCCATCCACGCCTTGGCGCTCGTTGGTCCCGGCTATTCGGGGGCCATTTTGGCCCTGCTTTCGCTTGGTATGCTTGTTTGTGAGAGTGGCTGGCTTTCATTGCTGCAACTCACTCATTGTCGGGCGTCAGGTAGAGAAGGATTGCCAAGAAACACGGCACACAATCATCAAGTGGGCTTGCTGAGGCGGCGGCGGGCGCGTTGAGCGCACTACTGTGCAGATGGCGCTTCGGAAAGTGGCTGTCCAATGCAAGCTGTCATGCTTCATCCCCATTCGAACAAGGCGCTTTTTTTATTCTTTGAACCTCTGGCGATGGCGAGTACCAATGACTACGGCATTCCCATAATTGGAACATGCAAAGCAACAAAGTTGGCCTTTCCCAGCGGCATCCCGTATAGAGAGGTGAGCTGATGGGCTGTGCTGGCTAGCGACTACAGATGAAACTTCCCGCGCGCAGTTTGTCACCCAATAGGCTATAACAAACTTTGATGCTGATGAGGGGCCAGACCGATAAAAGCTCTTTTCGGGTCTCCTTCATGCCGCAAGAGGGAGAAAGACTCCCTTTTCGACTTTACAAAAAAAGTCAGAAACTAGCTGCTCCGCTTGAACATAAGATACTGGTGTCGATAACCTTGCCCTGTTTCTAACCAATACATGTGTGGAATATCTATGTACACTCAGCTTACACCCCCAGTGTTTCGGACTTGGAGAAAGAGAGACGCCAACTCGGTACTTTCTCGATTTGCTCAAATGAAGATACGGCGACAGTGGAGCCCGGAGCAACTGATCAAGCAAGGTTTTTTTCCTCCTTACTTTTGCTTCGATACCCACAGTTTGTCTCACTTTGCTAAGAATATGCATATCTGTATTGATCATCTGCACTTGCGTCTTTGGGTAGAAGAAGAAGAAGCAGGACGGGGCGTAAGTGCCCAGCTTGAATGAATGTGGGCTTACCTGAGCGGAGTCGACAATGTTACAGTCACACTTGACTTACCGTAACAGAATTCGACGTCACAGGACCCGGTCTCGCATCGATCTATACGTTGAACACGTGTCCAGCTTGTCTGGCCATGTTGAAGAGTTGCAGGGTTATTGGCAATTTGTTCATCGAATTACTCCCTCCAGATCGGATCGCCACTTGCTCTGATAAGAAGACGAGAAGGCATTTGGAATCGAGCATTACCTAGCCTCAGGCGGAATATCGAGTTGCCGCTCTGGCATCAACTGTCCGAATCGCAGCACGATCAGGTTTCATAGCGAGACCGATCTAGTTGCGTCAGGCTGAACCTGTCTGGCGTGCTTTGCAATCCATTGTGACACACATACATACACGAAGGCCTTACAGGGGGTGGATCTTGTTGTCGCTTGTAGACCGGTGCTGACCATTAGGCCCCCTCCCCACTCCGAGTTAACGCTTGCCCTTGCATCGCGTTTACGTACTTACCGAATCAAGTCTCCAATGCGAAGGAAAGTAGGCAGACACATCACATTAGCTGTAAGCGCTGGTAGTAATTGCCGTATGTTTTGCCATTTGGATAGCAGGTGAGTGTGCTGATTGTCTTTCACGCTCAACCTTTTTTTTTGCCTTATCTTGTTGTCTGTCATAACAGACAGGTCTGATGTAGTGTGGGAGTCTGGAAACTAAGTGAATATTTCTTCTAATAGATTCTATTGCGGCTTTTAGCATGTTTTTTTCGGGTAAGTTACTATGAGAAAACGGGCTGGTAGGCTCATAGCTACGCTTGTTAGGCTTGCAACGTCACATTCCATTCCAACATATCGTTCTCTGTGTTGTAAAATCACATTCTTTCACTTGCTTGGGCATGTTGCATTTCAGAAGATACAGCTATCTTTGAGCTATACGGCGTTGAAAGACTCATACGGATTCCCCCTACTCTCCCCAGGTAGACAGTAGTCTGCTCCCTCCGAGCCTTGAATCGGCCATTTCAAAATCCCATATACGTCACATCAAGCTAGACTCACAAAGTAAACAAAACACAGTCCACAATACCTCAGGAAAAGCCCAATTCCAAGCCCAGGGGCCAGCCAAAAGGTGCCGCCGCACTGTCCATATGACGTTACCGTCCCCCCTCTCCAAAAAAAAAGCCCTCATCCCGTGGATAGGCAGGTATACGCTGAACAGCACAAGAAGCAAGCACAAAACTACCCAAAGAAGAAAACAATCAATCACTGCACCTCGTATCGGCCTTGATCTTCGCTGCATCTACCATCGCCTGTATTCTGAATGGACAAATGAAATCAAAAAACACAGTGGGGGCCTATATCACTCTTCCTTCTTTTTTTTCTCGCTCTTGCTCTTCCAGGCCTTATAGTAAAAGGGCAACATGGTCCATGGCCAAAGCAAAGGGAAAAAAAGCGGGGAGGGGGGGGNGGGGGGGGGGGGGACAACCTGTGATGCCGAAATGGCGAAAGAGAAAAAAAAAATAAGATCTGAGCGGTTTCTGGAAAGATTGCCATGTTTCGTACGCCACTAGGGTGGAGTGGGTGATGGGAATCTAATAAGCTACTTTTACCGTTCGGTTTGGAAGAAAGCGTGGAAGGGTGAGGAGGGTGTGTATGTGTGTGTGTGTGTGTGTGTGTGTGTGTGTGTGTGTGTGTGTGTGCTCGCTCCCCGCGAAAAGGCGAGAAAAGAAGGGAACGGTACGGGTAAGCTCCGGGCTTCTGTTGCTGCGCATTTTTTTTCTACTTTCTTTTTACTTTAGGCAAGGGAATTGGGTGATGGTTGGAGCGGGTATGTGGGATAATCTTCTTTTGCTTCTTCAGTAGTGGTGTTATTTTTTTTTTGCTTGTTTGGAAAGATTACTTTTTACCTTCCGAAACGTTGCGTCGCACACATTGTCCTTTGATCCCTCTCGCTCCCCACTCTCCCTCTCCCCTTTCTAGCGCGAGAGAAAAGAAGCAAGTAAGACGTGCATGCACGCTGCGCATGGAAGAAGTAAAGAGATTAGATGGATGGGGGAGAAGGGATGTGGGGAAAAAGAAACGTTGGCCGTTTGCTTTTGGCTTCGGCTATCGTACGTATCTTCCCGTACCTTCTTCAGATTCCTCCCATGAACATCTAATTTGGTTTTTTTTGGGCTGCGTGCTTCCTGCCATTGCGGTACAGGTTTTTTGCTTTCCATCACCCTGAATCCTATACAGGGTCCAGTCAAGAGGCTTTTGCTTTTGAGTGAACTCAGTCTTTTTTTGTTCGCTTGTTTTCTTTCTTTCTTCTTCTTTCCATGTCTCTTTTGTTCTTTTTTCAATCAAGCACTCGTTGCCCCCCTTACCCTGCATTCTCTTGATCAGTAAATGCTGGATTGGAGTGATATCGGCATTAACGATTTGCATCATGAGCACGTCATGCTGGTGCAGTTACAGTGCAGGAGCGTCGACATTTGCTTTTTGTGGCTGCTTTTTTTTTCATCCGCGGGGTTCCCTTCCACGATGGGGTCTATTTGCCGGTGACAGGTTTTACACCTGCAGTACCTTTGTGCATGCCGTTTGATGGGTAAGGTGCTGATTAGATCACGGATTTTCTTCCGGTGGAGCAACTTGCGACTTGGCTGATCCGGATTTTGTTTCTAGTGCAAAGGAAGGAAGGAGATGCATGGACTCGGAATCGGATTGATGGGTTTGTACAATCATGGCACCCCGCTCTGGAGCTCATGCTATTTTGAATATTTGTGTTTACTTTTGGTGTCTAGAGTGAGGCTGGGGTGTTGGGAATCGAAATGGAGGAATTGTCAATACGTTGTTGTTATTTTGATACGAGGCCTTGAGGCGGAAGCCGGCCTTGTGGATGTGGCGAACGTAAAGATAGACAAGGGCAATGCATTGCATGGGATTTTCGACGCTCAGACTCGGTCTCACATAGAGTCTGTAGTTGCTTTCGCAAGAATTTGAAATGTTGGGATGCGTTCTTGGTGACATGCCTCGATCACGCTACCATGTTCAATTTCAGCCGATGATCGAGTTCGGTCGTAAAATGATGATACATCTGAGCTGCTCAGCAAGAGATATCTTGAAGGCCGTGAAGAAGAGTATACGGATATCTGCACACAATTGCGATGTAGTTTACTCTATAAGAACAACTACACGATTATTCCAGTGAACGCTGAGCTGTTTCAATCGAACTGGTTGCTCTAAAGCTATTCACTCAATATCTGGAGTAATTCAGCTATTCCCTATTATTTCACAATATTCTTATCTTGAATGGCTGAGGTATTAGAGTGATTTCAATCAACATATGTAGTTTTGTGATCTCAGTGGCAAGTCAAGAGAATTATGATCACTTCTATAGAATGAACAGGTAGCATAGAAAGAGATTCATGCGTATGTTGGCAGTGATTTCTCAACATCTCGTCCTTGGGTTTTGCCCTCACTGAACAATGTAATTTGTTTTTTTTACAAATTCTCTTCACTCATCGTTCATAATGTGAACATGAACGGCACATGAATTCCCCTTTTTTTTTTATCCAAGACAAGAATCTTCTTCGCCGACTTTCATAGCTTCATAATGATTCTGTTTTCCAAGACTAATCCATTCCACAGAGACCAATCTCAAAATACCCAATGAAACCCTAACACCAAAACTCCTCATCCCCGCTGCCACAAATAGTCAAGTAACCCTCACACCAACACACCTCCCTCTGTCCTACCCACCCAACCCAAGACCCCGGATGCTACCACCCGCCCCAGTATAGTGTCTCCGACCTAAGACACGAATCGGAGTTCATGGCTCTCACCTTACACAAACCCAGCAGCCCCGTCCAAGACCTCTTCTTCGCCGTACAACAACGATTCCCAGCTCCACTAGCGCGTACGCCGTGCAACCAATCGCACCTCAAATAAACGTGCGCCTCTGGCGTTTTTTCTGTGAGTTAGAGACAGAGGGCCTGGTGACACGGGATCGATATGCAAGACTGGGGGTGGAAATCGGTGGAGAATTGAGACAATGAGTTAGATTTTGTGGGCTGATGTTCGCGACTGAAAGCGGTAGAGCTTGCTGACTATCTTTCCTATCTTTTTTTGCCTCTCGCATTTTGGAGGTGCGGTGTTGTACGAGCTGTTTTTTTTGGAATGTGGATGGGAGAATGCGGTTGTACAAGATATAGGAGGTAGTCGGACGAGATTGGGGGGCTGACGCAGTGAAGAGGTAAGTTTGTGTAATTGTATTGATTGGCAATATGTGCTTGGGTAGGAAAATGGGCTTTTCTGGTGTGAGAATAGTGATTGGTGCGGGAACTGTTGGCTGTTGCGGCAGTGATTTAATCAAAATGTACATGGTGGGAAAATATCTTTGAAAGTTCTCAATCTCTATGTTACGTCTCACACTCCCTTATTCTCCATGAATTCCTGCTTAGAATTTTCATTCAAGCCTGCTTTCCATTCTGGTAATTTATGTTATAAAGCGTGAGAGATTCGAAAGTTGACGCGTCATGGCCTATAAATGGAGAAATGATTGTTGCACGAAGCCTCGTTATAGTTCACTATCTAATGTGAACCGTAGTGTGATATCAGGTGATAATTTATTTTAGGTTATATTTGATAGGAATGAACAAGGTTGGTTTGTGTCTGCCTAGACTCGTCTAGATGTCAAATGAAATTTTTCGAATGAGATGTTCTTATGCAGAAGCTGACTAGGTCATGACCCGGGCATGCTCCCAGCGACAGTATCGTAATCTTTTGCTCTCATGATTTCCCTCTATTTCCTCAATTCCTTTCTGACGGCCTCGGAGACATTTGCTCGCCGGATTCCGGATTCCGGAGACTTTTTGAAACTAAGGCCACCACTCCTCTTTGCCAATCACCGACAGTCTTGAGCATAGCTTCCGTCGAAAACGGCGGTTTCCGTTCCTTCCATTCCTTCGTGCCTATATTGAAGGCAATATATGTAGTATGCGCTTCATTCAAGGAGAGATTTACTGGCTATACTCTTGACTGCCCTTTGAACCCCACCTTTGCACCACCAGCAGCCATCATCATGACCAACTCACAAGGCACCAAACCGTCTCTACCCAAGTTTGACTCAGAAAACTGTCAAGCCTATGCGGCAAGTTGCCACTGTGGTATCGTACAGTACTCGGTCCTTCTCTCCCCACCACTACCCCAGTGGAAGGTCGTATCGTGCAACTGCAGCATCTGCACTCGCAACGGCTACTTGCTAGTGTATCCCGAGAGATCGCAGCTACACATAAAGAGCGGTGAAGATATGCTAAGGGACTATTCTTTTGGGATGAAAAGAAATCTGCACAAGTTTTGTGCGAATTGTGGGAGCGCGGTTTGGTTTGACCCAAGAATGTGGCGACTTGAAGAGACTAGACCCGATTTGTTGGGTATGAATGTATGCTGCATGCTTACTTAGTTGGAGTTAGAATGTAGCTAACAAACTGTGTAGGTTCGCATGTTTCACGATATTGATATGAGGACATTGGACATTACGCTAGTAGATGATAAATAACAGGCAGGAACGCCAGAAACAGAGCAATCATGATGATGTATTGCAACATAGTTCGACATGTATAAGAAACTGAAACATTAAATGTTGAGTGCCCATATATACTTGAACTGAGTGCTTCCACTACAGTGCATCCGGGTGTGTAGTATGGCGGAATAATGCCGCTCACAAGTCGAGGCACCAGAAGTGCCAAGCCGCTAAAGTTGAGCCTCGGTGAACTAATCCCTGTAACCAGCTCCAGGTTCCGTCCCAACTATCACCGACTGCGATATCTGCAATCGAGAATACAAATATGTCTCGAGCGCGCATCTTCCTCAATCGCACTCCTTTCATAGCGCCTTGTCGGGTTTCGCGCCAATTCATCCGTCACCCCCGCAATGCCCAAATCCTCGAGCTTCCCCTCCAATCCCGCATCCGCTGGTCCTACCTATGGTACGCCAGTATCCTCGCCCTAGGAATAACAACTGGCATGGGTGCCCGCCATTTCGCTGCGCCGCTCGGTCTTCCTGAGCCCGGTTCGCCAGATGATGACCTAATCCTTGATTCCCTCAGCCGCGACGTTGATGCTCTGGAGATTGTACAATCACTCCGATCGCAATCATACAACCTACACACCGATACTGCCCTTCGGTCAGGACCAGGATTGACGTCTGCGCCTGCTCCAGGAAGTCGGAAGATATCAGCTTACAAAGGATGGCTGGAGCTGGATTTGGATTTTGGTAGGGAAAATGATGGGAAGAAAGGCGTTTTGGGTACTATGGGCGGGGCAAGAGGACTGGGAGTGCAGAGGGCATTTTGGAACGCCGAGACCAGAGAGATGGTGGCGGTGGTATGGATTGGAGGAGGACTGAGTGGCTGGCCGGGTGTTGCGCATGGAGGGGCTATAGCGACTATCTTTGAGGAGATTTTTGCAAGAATGGCGAAGGGTCCAGATGGACTTGTTGGTGTGTACAATAATACATTTATACCTCACTTCACACCCAGGCTTTCTACTAACAAGAGTATCCAGAACCAGTCCATCGCCCCGATTCTCTTTCCTTGACCTACGCAAAACCTACGCACAGCCTCGATTTCTACGTCATACGCGCTGCTTTCTCCAAACCTGATCTGCCACAGTCTGAACCACCGCCTGAGCCGGAATCTGAACCTACAAAGAGTTGGTTGGCATGGCTATCACCAAAGAAAGACCTCACAAAGAAGCCACAGGCTTCCAATCAAGAGATTATTGCGACCCTTGAGAATATCAAGGGGGAGTTGTGTGTAAAAGCCAAAGGCACTTTTGGCAAATTGTGATTGAATGGATCAAAGGTATGGCGGAAAGTTTGGGAGCGCAGTAGTGGAGAGTCGGTGATCTGATGTGCACAACGAGATACCCACGAGCGAAGAGCGAGTTTTGAAATGCACCTACTCCCGTCTCAATGACACGTGTTAGGCTTTGTGTAGAGCCATGGATCAGTCCTGAGCTTTTTTGTGCACATCATATGGAAATCCTTTCAGATACTTCTCTCAGTATATGTTCTTCTTGGGAGTTTAGGGCGTTGCCAGACTTTGTCAATGCTAAACAAATTTTGTACAGTGATTAGGCTGGAAAGAACTTGGAGGACGCCCCTAACCAAAAATGAAATGCTCCTGCTTTCGTAGACTAATTGCAGACAGCACAACCCATGTTGAGGTCTCATGTCATCCAAACGATACTGCCTTCACACCGCATTTAGTTTGCTTGCGTTTCCTCTATAATAACCCATAGACTTGCCAAAGAACTAAGACTCTTCCAAACGCAACTATAACACTGCAGCAAACCAACAAGAATACGTAAAAGAAACTAATCAGCTTCCATAAAGCTTTCGCCTACAGTTTATGACTTCCAGGCTCTACAATCTCAACACACCATCACCCACGTCGGTATGCGCATACAACAGCACATCACCTTTCTGCTAGCAATCTACCTATCCCTCATTCTATCCATCACCTTCACCATCGCCAACCAAACCGAATATGTCCGCGCAACAATCAAGGGCATCCGCACACTCGTACGAGACGACCGCCAGCCATCCCTCTACACGACCGACTACGCAGACTGCCTCGGCAACAGCGCCATCAACATCACCCGCTTCGACGCAGCATACTACAAAGACAATATGACAATCACGTTCCATCTACGAGGCGAGACAGCATTACAAAACCACATCATGCTCAACATCGCTGTCTTTGCATACGGCGAGACTCGTTTCTCTCTCACCTTCAACCCCTGTGACGCGAATATCTGGAGGTAAAAAAAAAATCACCCCCCATCCCCCGCCCCCTTCGCTTTCCCCCTAAAAAAAAACAAGACTACTGATAGACTGTTTTTCTAAAAGCGCGTGTCCGGTGCGACCGGGAACCCCCATTGAAGCCGCGGGTATCATACCGATTAGCGCAGAAGATGTAGCGGGGATCCCGGAGCTGGCACTGAGCATTCCGGACTTTGAGGGGCAGGCTGTGATGCGGGTGTTTGCGAATGAGACGGAGAGCGAGGTTGGGTGGTTTGCGGCGGGGATTACGAATGGGTGGACGTTTGGACAGCAGGACTGCGTTGGGGCTGTGCTAGGCGGGTTTACGCTGGTGGCGGTTGCTGCGTTGTTTGCTACAGCGGTGTGTGGTGCTGATTTGACTAGTATGCGGAGACATTATGCGCATTCGATGTCGGTTTCCGTTGTAGTTTCCGTGTGGCATTATGTTTTCTATAGCGGGGCGATTGAGGTGGATTGGCCGAGTGTTCTGTTGGCTTTTTGGAGCAATTATGCTTGGGTTGGGGGAATGATTTACTATGAGCCGATGCAGAGGATGATTGATGGATTCGTCGGCTTGAAAGAGGGGGATGAGGTACGGAATCGTCCTGCTGATACAGGACAAAGCGATCGATATATTGGGGGAGGAGTCGACATTCATCAGATATTTAGACGGAGCACTCTGCCCATAGAGTCTGGGTTGCCAAATGCTCTCGAGAATCGCGGCCTGGTCGATATTAACGGCGGATTCAAGCACTACGGAAAGCAAGTCAAGCCTGGATTACCACTCCCGGGTGACTACTCCGGGTTCGCTGGTACACTTGCGACGCAGCGAATTCCAGTTCGCAATGCCTTTGCGACGGGACTCCTCTGGCTTCTGTTCCTATCCGTATGCGCCATTATCTCCATACTCGCACTGAAAGCAGTCATCGAAATACTGGCCACTCTCCACATTGTACGCCAAAATCGCCTCAAGTACTTCCGGTGTCACTATCTCGCCTACATTGCCGCAGCGCTACTACGCATCATCTTCATGAGCTTCTTCTTGATAAGTTTCCTCTCCATATCCCAGTTTTCTTTCCCAGCATCACTGGGAACAGTCGCTGTCGCCTGCCTAGTCTTTGTAACTGTGGTGCTTGGACTTGGTAGCATTGCCGCGTACGCTTGCTTCTCCAGGTTACGTCTTAGGGAATATGTGTTTGAGCCGGATCGGATCAACATATCGAAGCATCGAATATTTAAGGTAATACCGTGGTACAGCATCTCAAGGAATAGCGGGGGCCCACCTTTGAGAGACAGCGTGTGTGTTGGCTCGATTCCATGGTGGAGGATACACGCTATGGCGGACTTTCCATCGATTCATTCCGACGAAGAATATACAGTCAAGTTCGGATGGCTTGTATCTCGTTACAGAAAAAGCCGATGGTGGTTCTTTGTCGTCTGGCTCTCCTACGAATTCTTCCGAGCCAGTTTCCTTGCTGGAGCTTCTAACCAGCCCACTGTGCAGGCTTTTGGTCTACTGGCAACCGAGACCATTGCGCTCGTTGCTTTTATATTACTCCGGCCATTTGAAGGACAACGGCTGAATGTGATAGCTGTGTATCTTCTCGGCTTCAGTAAGGTTACTACGACTGCGCTTTCCGCAGCCTTTGATCCGCGCTTCTGTATCGCCCGGATTCCTGCAACAGTGATTGGGATCGTCATCATTGTTATTCAGAGCCTTTTAACTATTGCCGTCATGTTACTTATCTTGATTGGCGCTGTTTCGAGTTACATGTCGATATCACGAGACCATACAGAAATGAAGCCAAAGAGTTGGACTGCAACCCGCGAGAAATACTTTGACCACATAGCTATTGCAGAGCAAGATATTCCACGATCAAGAAAGCGCCCAGACTCGGAGGACATCATAACGGGTGCGGCGAGAGCTCCATATTTTGAAGTCAAGCAAGTCAAGCGAGTGGCCAAGATCGAAGACGAAGACATCGAATTCATGGACGAAATCTCCCAAGTCCCTCACCCATCCCCACCAGTACTGTCTCCAAATCGCACTTTAGTCTCAAATTCACCGGGATCTCTGCTAGAGCGCAGCAGAACAGGCAGCTTCCAATCACAAGCCTCATACTCGAGCTTACTACCGCGAGCAGCTCGCTTGCACCGTGCAAACTGGAGCACGCACGACCTCAATGACGCAACAAGAACTAGACGCCACAGGGCTGTGAGCGATACTAGTCTTATTTCCAGACTAAGGCATGTAGAGAAGCTCGAGAGAAAGCCAAGTCTTGGTGGGGCTTCCATGAAGCGATCGGATACTCCCGCACTCTTGTCGTATGGGTATGCAGACGGGGGTTCGAATGGAGCATGTGGAGCATGTGGCGCTGGGTAGATTGAAGGCGATCTCCTGAATAAAGTTTGGAGGGTCGATTGGAGATTGAATAGTGGGGAGATGTACACTGTCCTCCTGGGAAAAAAACGTCTCGTCCGGGAACACGTTGATGGAAATGGCACGCTTTTGATCAGTCTGGAATGGGAACAGTGTCATGGGGGATGACACGGCTGATAGCGAAGCTTTGCTTGCTATAACCATGGGCACTATAGCTCCAAAGCATCGGTACATCCACCCAATGTCAGGAACACGAGGGTTTCCATATCATCGACTGTGAGAGTATATGGCGATAGAAGGGTGAGAGAAGGCCTCATCTTCTCCGAAAAGACGTCATTAGTCATGGATCTATGGCATTATAACGGGTATCGTCTCCAGGCTGTATGTATTTAGGAGGCTGGGCAATGTCATGTTTATGACATGTATGCGTAATGAAGATAGCACAACAAACAAGAGCACAAGAGGTCAAGACGGCTATGCAACAGTGCCAGCGTGGCTGGGAATACGTGATGTAGTCGGGACAAGGCCTCTGCTCCAGACCCACCTGTGGTGCACAAGTTCAAGAGCGGTGTCGAGCTTGCCAACGGGCGTCACCAGCCACACCAGTCCACCCAGCACCAGCGCTAACACGCCCATAGCGCGCCAACATGGCCGAAACGGGTTTTCTAGTTGATTGTTGTTCCAGAGCAGCTGACCAGGACCGACCGTAATTTCCACAAGCTCGAGGGCGGGAAAGCTAGGGCGACCCTGGGGATTGGGGGTAATTAAAATGACGATTGCAGACTTTAGCCCACAACAACGTGTGATTGTTTGCGGTTCAATTTGAAAGAAACTCACTTCCGCTTACGGACAATGACAACATGCACATGACCTCCCTTACTAAAGAAAAGATCGAACGCGATCGAGACATGGGAAACGCGAAAATGCGGTGGGGCCCTTTCCATGCCCATGTCCCTTTGAAGCTAAAAAGCCAGACCTTGTTCCCCGATAGCCGTCCCGTGCACTTTCTTTGCTCGGATCTGTGGCGTCACTCTCTGGGTTGGACAAGCGAAGACCCATGGGTTCGAGGACGGGAGCCATAGATTCTACGTCAGCCTGACTACCTGTATCGTCTTTTGGGGGGATACTGGCAGCCGAGCCGGTATAACGTTGCCGGATAAGAAAAAGGCAAAGGGCTAGACGCGGAGATTGTGATGGCACTGAGACTTGAAATGAATGGGTGTGTTGAATGGTAGGCTAATTTGGCAAGACGATGCAATATGGGCGTAGCGATAGAGATGTCGGGCTACCTGCTTTAGGCAGGGCGTGTGTGATGGCAGGGTGATTGATGGGGTGGTTTTAGCGATCGCTTCCGTTCCAGGGAGCAGGAGTGACGTCGGCGCTCTTTTAAGGTTGTGGCGGCAGGCCCACTATCACGCGTGCAAGCAGGGGACATTCCCGTGTCTTGCGTCACGCCTTGTCCAGATGCAAAACCTGCCTTTCCCACTGACGTTCTTGCGCGTCCTGTGCGTGTATTGCTTTGCAGGGCCCAGAGCCCGAAACGGGCCCAGAGTCAGCTGGCAGGCCCATGATGAGCGTCGACGGAAAATTTGACTAGTGGGCGGCATGCCATCCACCCCAAAGGGGAGTGGGGCGGGCTGCGGCTGCTGCAGGCTGGGTTGCGGTGTAGTAGGTGTATGTACGTACTATCGAGAAACGACATGGGGAAAGCGAACAGCGAGCATCAGCAAGCACCCAGGCACGGACGCTCGTGACGTAGCGTTTGTGCAACCGCCTATGCTGGCACTTGCTGCACACAATATAAGTCCTGTTCACCACCTTTGTTGCTTCTTCTCCATCCTATACCACACACACCCCCCTTTCATATACCTATACAGCAAATCTTCTTCTCGCCCAACCCATCCCGCCACACACAAACAAACACCACTTGTCCGTCTTCCAAAAACAACACCGCGACCATGGGTGCCGTAGTATCCTGCATCAAGTCAATCGTACGTCTACTCCTCTGCCCTCCACCTCAAGCCCTCCAAACTAACATTCCACTCTAGTTCCGCACCATCGGAAACTGCATCATGGCCATTGTCAACGCCATCGCCGCTGGTCTTAAGGCGATCATCAACGCCATCGTCTCGCTCTTCGGCATCATCATCAGCTGCTTGACTTGCGGCCGTGGCGGCGGCGGCCGAAGGAGGACGACGCATACGAGTAGAGTCTAGTTCTGCGTCCCAGTACCTCTCTTCTGCTTGACTGACGCCGACTCTGCTTTCCACCCGTCAGCATGGCGCTTGAGAAGATACGGGTACTACTACTGAGGCTGCACCCTGAGCACGCAACTGCAACTGCGATGGCTGGGACTTGAACGGTCGGTGCGTGTCATGGGGGTGGCTGAAGGTTAACTTTTTCCTTTTTTCTTTTCGCTGCATTGAGAGAGCGATTATACCCTTTGGAGTGGAGGATGATGGATGATGTGGTAATGATCATGGCATGGAAGCGAGCGAACGACTTTTTTTCTGATCGTCTGTATTACCTCTTTATTGTATGGTCTAGCTCGACAAGATGGATGCAAAGGGGGAGTGGCAAGTCGAGAACGTGGCCTTCTTTCTTTTCTTGATCATTCCACCTGCGCATAGATTGATACCCCAGCTTTGTATGAATGGACCTTACTTTAATCACGCTACAAGTTCACTTCTGCATCTCTCCATTGGCTCGTCTTTTGTGAAGTCATGATACTTGCAGTTTCTAGTCTACGCGCTACGAATCCTTAGTCTACACCCGTCCAACACCACCGTCGCCACCATATTAGCCCTACTTACTACTCGCGAACTAAACTAGACTAAACTATCACCACAAGCCACCAAAAAAACATTGAAACAGCCACATCCTTCCCTCTAATAAATACAATCAATAAAAAAGCCTCATGGACCAACCAACAAATGACAGCAAAGAGAAATCACCACACCACCAAGCCTTCACAGATACAAAAAAAGCACACTCAAAAGTTTAAGAAAAAATGAAGGGGGTATCAGAAGATTCACCACAATATTGGAACGACATAAGAAAAAAAACTAAAGCCACCTGTACATCACTAAAACCCCCCTATATATCCCTGTACGACCCATCAACCGGTTGCCTGCCCACACCCCCATACTGCTGCTGCTGCGACTGCTGCTGCTGAGTCTCAGCTCCCGGCGTAAATGCTCGGTAAGAAGGCTGTGGGGGTGCTTGTTGCTGTGGTGGTGCTACAGTGTCTGCGGCCGGAGTGTAGGACCGTTGGCCTGGGTACGCTGATACTGGCGAGGTTGTTTGGGCGGGACGGCCGGGGGTAAGAGATGGTGGGGGGCCCGATGATTGTGGTAGTGGTGGTGAGGGTAGGGGCTGCACGGGCGGTGGTGCTGGGTCGTAGGTGTGGTACGAGGGCGCTATGCTTGCGTTGTAGTTGTATGTGTTGGAGGCGAGCGGCAGGGATGAGTAGTTGTGTGTGGGCTCATCAGGGTAGTCTCGTTGGTCGTAAGTGTCTTGGTGGTTGTTGTAGGCTGCTGACTGGTTGTATGACTGCGGTTGGTTGTATGCTGTTTGGGGTTGGCTGTAGGGTGTTGATAGTTCCTGGTACGGTGGGTGCATGTCACTCTGTTGGCTCAGTTGATTGTGTGGACCGTATGCTTGGGATGGTCCTGGTGAACGTCGATCGTATGGCTGTTGCTGCTGCTGGCCGTACCCTGCACCGGCTCCGTACACTGGAGATCGACCCTGCCCAGGCGAGCCCTGGCGATATCCGCCTTGTTGGCCATATGGCTGACCATACTGTCCCTGGCTGCTGTTGTTGTAAGACGGGGCATCGCTCACAAATGAATTGTTTTGTGGATATCCATAATCTGGCGAAACTGGGGACCTGCCCGGGCCAGGAGACCGTCTTGCTCCAGGTACTACTGCTGCTGCCGCCACGCCTCCCGTGGATCCATTTGTCACACTACCATTGTGATCTAGCCTGTCCAACTCCATGTCTCCCTTCTTTTGCGGCATTGGCTGTTCCTCTACTTCTATGTGCACATCTCGTCCTTCCTTCCACGTCGGCATAGCCGGGAGGGAGTCTTCGTTTGCTGCAGGCTTGGATGAATCGAATGTGGCATATTGCGGCCTCTCTTGTTGGGGGGCAGGTGTAAAGGTGGGCATGGGGTTGGACTGGTATTGCTGCTGGTTTGCCAGTCGCGGGTTGAAGACCGGTGGAGGTGGCGCGGCAGCATGCGCCTGTGCATAAGGGTTCGCTTGAGGAGGAGGTGGACCATATGATTGAGGATATGGACGTCCAGAATCACTCTTGATGCGCTGGTGCGAGCTTCCTCGGCGGCCGCCGCCGCCACAGCAAGAAGCGCAGCATCTAAAGCAACAGCAGGCGCACTCAGCGCCGCAACATATGCATCGCGCAATGCAGGTAATCACTGAGAAGAGGATGAGACCACCAATGATGATTCCGGCAATAACTGGCCATCTGTTGTATGTGAGCAAAGGGGAATCGGGCAAGGAGAGCCGCTTCTACGCACTTGCAGTAGGATTTGGCCATGCAGTTGTCCCACGACGAAAAGGTGTTCCTTGCATCGTCCAAGGGGTTCTGGCGCGCAAACAGCGCGGTCGCGAGTAACGACGGCATCGCGATGCCAGGGGGCGTGACAGCAAAGTCACAGTTTACGCGGAGACGGAGGCGTCAGGAAGACGTGTTCCGACCAGCGGGTATAAAGTAAAAATTGAATTGCGATACGACGTTGATGATGAGACTAGGCTTATGACGATCGACGGCAGACAATGGGCCTCACATGGCTCCCGGGTATATCGCAATCGGGAAGGGGGGTAGGCATGGGGGAGCCTGAGAAGAGAGGGGGAGAATTGTGTGTACTGTGTAGGCTGGTGTCCCTGAATGAAGGCCTTGTTAAGCCGAAACGTCGCAAAGGCTCGGTAGGGGCGGCGGCAGGTCAACCACCCTTGCGACGCGTTTCGGTGGCTGAGCTGCCGCTTATAGAGTTTGGGCGCGCTATGGGCCACTCGTTCTCCGCGCCATTTTCCTGCCGACTGTCAAAAGAACGGCGTATATCTATAGCGTCCAAGCAAAAAAGCACAAGGATTGAGCTTGGCCTCCGTGGTGCACACACACACACACACACACACACACACACACACACACACACACACACACNGCACACACACACACACACACACACACACACACACACACACACACACACACATTCGCCGTTGCTGTCGCCAACAATGTGACCCAGAGGTGGCGAGTCTTGGTGGGGAACGCGAAGGAGCATGATCAACCTCCACACACCCACGGCACCAGCATCGCCACCATCTGGCAAAGCAAATGGCGTCAAACGTCCAGAAGTCTTCCAGGTTCAAGCGTATTAATAGAAGGTGGTATGCGATCCGACGGGCCGGGAATTCTATGCATTTGTACCCTTCTCATGTGACGAACAAGTGTGAATGCATGCAATGCTGATTGGTTTTATGGTGAAACTTGGACATCTCTTGGATACACCGGGTACAGAATATGTACATGCTTTTTCTAGCTAGGTCAGTAGCAGAGTGCATGTGACTTGTCTCAAGTCTTTTGCATCATAGTCGACGGCTAGTCTACTACTATACAGCAACCATGCCATGGCTAGATAAGAATCAGGTTACTTTTAGCGCGTACCGTCCATATTGCACAAGAAACTTGGCCGAACACACACTTGACTTGGACTTGAGTCTCACTGAAGATGTACGTGCCCAACCTCGAAGATCTGGGAATAGTACAGAGGGTGGTTGTAATTGCAGGTATGCTGTGCAGGCTGATGCACGACTCCCAACGCGACAAGTGGGTACATGGACATGCCCCATACACCGATAGCCTCAACAGATCAGATTAGAAGCCATCCAGAGACCCAGCCTCGTCTCAAAATCAAGTCTCAGAATAGCCCGGCCAGCGGCAACACCCGATGCCGACATGGCATGGAGGAAACACCAAATGCTCCTACATTCTAGTCTTCCAGGCCAGACCATCGTAGCTTTACTTTTTCCCCATCGCACCTTGGATGCTAGGCTCTCATTCCACGGGCCCCCAACCTACCTGCGTACATACTACTAGAAGACTATCCACTAAGCTACCCCGCACTAACCCAAACAGATCCCTCCGCCCATCACCACTGCAACTGCAACCGCACCTGTGCCTGCAAGCTCCCCGCTCTCCTGTCTCGCTCTCCCTCACACCTACGTCACCGATCACGCACCCGCTACCTCGCCGCCTATATAACCTGCATCATTCCCTTTGCCCATCATGGCCTCTCCATCTGACTCGCAACAACAACCACCGCCCAACTTCAACGCGCTTCTGCAATACCTGCAGAGCCAAGCCGAAACCACAGACACCGAGACAACCTCGCTAGCCACTGACATCCAGAAGCTCGACGTGGGCGAGGAAACAACCGAGCAAGATAAAGTCAACGCCTACGTAGCCGAGTTCTTGTACATTGGCGGCCCAGAAGTCCTTGCAGGAAAGAAATCAGACAAGCAAAAGTGAAGATGCCTGTCCACCCTGTTGAAGATTCTGCTCCTGGTAGTAAGTCTTTCTGTTTCTCATCCTTCTCCAATCTAGTGTTTTGTCGATACACAAAGCAAACCTAACGCTCCACTTCGCCACAGGCATCACCGATAAGGTCGCAAAGGAGTCCTCGGACTCGACAGCTTCTTCGCACGGCATGCACAATACGGATAGCATACAGCAGGTTCAGGCTCAAATGAAAAAGGTACCATGGACCACGCTTGATAAGGACTTGCTAGAGCAAGCCATGTGTTCCCGAGGCTAACAGAGTATGTATGTATAGGGCCCAGTTCTTACCCGGGACCTGCCCGAGCCCGCGAGCAAGGAGGAGCTGAAGAAGAGGGCTGAGGAGCTGAACAAATAGATGCACCATGGCGTTCAAATCTCCAGCAAAGCATACCATAGGGCTACATATGCAAGACGAATAATACATATACCATGCACTGGCTCTTTTTATTATCCATCAACTAACTCTCCGCCGTGGCGTGACAAGTATCTAACGCGTCCCTCAAGTAAGCATGTCACGATTCCAGCAAGCGAAACAAAATGGCGCACAAGGTCATGGACAGAGACTGTTAGATTCCTCAATACTATCGTATCAAACGACCACAGGATACAAAAGGAGAGTCGCTTCAAAGTAGCTTGCTCATCAAGGAGAAATCTGAGAGCGAGAGAGAGAGAAACAAGGTTAGGAAACGCAGCCAGGCTTGACCCCGCTTGACCCCCGCAAAAAACTCCCTCCCCCCTTTTTTAAATATAGATCCCAACAAACATCTTTTTTTTCCTTGGTCTTTGTCCCCTCCTAAGATGGAGAAAAAAAACACGCCCGTATATCCCATTTAACAAAGTGAAGAAAAAAAGACCAAGAAACTCGCCCTATCTCTAAACTAGATATCCAATGACGTCAATACACACTCGAACTCCAACCACAAAATCCACACATGGCACACACACAAAAAGAAAGTCATGAACAAAGACCTCTTTTCCTTGGTTATCATGTGGATATACTGTAGTTAAAGAAACCAAGTACGTACAATGAAGATAAGAACGCCCATGGATATCTAGACAGAAGTGAAAATTCAAGAGACCGACAAGCAGACAAAGAGAGGTATCGTGCAGATTTGCCCACAAAAAAACAGCAGCAACAAGGAAGAAAGAGACAAAGAGACTAGGGCTGCCAAAGATGCTTCGTAATGTGGTTCAAAAAAAGAAGAACAGAAAAAAAACAGGTACATGTCGTTACAAATGCCGACCCCTCATTCCCCCACTTTTCGTGGTGTGGGAAGGGGGACAAGGTGGAACAGAGATGGGTATATATGGCAGGCGACATAGAGAGAGAGGGAGATGGTGCAAATGTCTTTCGAAAGAAAAAAACAAACAAATCAAAGTAGTCGGCGCGCTGCGTTCTGCAATCATTGTCGCTTTCGAAAGAGCACACAGAAAGTGGCGGGGGATGACGGTGCTGCTGCTGGGTATCTGTGGCTCAATGCTCTGTTGCATGCACGCAAGGAGGTTGTGTGTGTGTGTGTGTGTGTGTGTGTGTGTTAGGTGCCTGATGCTGTCGCTGCCGCTATCGCCGGGTGGGTCAAAGTCAACGCTAAAGGCATTGAAGGCAAAGAAATACGCCCAGCTAAAAGATCTTGGCTTAGCTTCTCTGCTCTTATCGCCAAGGTTCAAAATGAAGAAAAGTGACACGCCTGCAAGCAGACAATAGGAAAGAAAGAGGCACTAACGCTCTCGAAACCATCGAGCTATTCTACCCTTTTCATTGGCTCCCTGGGCTTCGAGGTGAGCACTGCGTTCCCAAAGTTCCTATTGCGATTTCTTAGCTGCCCGACACTACGCCAGTCTAGGGTGCGTTACTTACTTCGTCATCCTTGTTGATCTTGACGTCGAGGATCAGGGTCCGAATTTCTTCGCACTTTTGCCAGTTTGGATAAGGCGTACCCTGGGCGCGTTGCACGCCGATAATGACCTCGCCCATAATCTCAAACTTGCGCCAATTGATCCTCTCCTTGCCAACAACCCCTCCTGGCAATGGTTCTCGACTGTCGCGTTTCCCTGCAGCGGCCTCGAAGACGCTGACACCTGGATGTGGCGCCAAGGCTGAGTCCGTCTTCTTCTTGTCGCCAATGAATGTTGAGTTACCTTCGGAGGCCGATACGAGATCGCGGCGTAATAGCGGAATGTACGGAATGCGTTCTCCTGAACTATTGTCCCACGCCAGTCGATATGCGGCGTGCGATTTGGTGTGGCTCATCAAAATGTCTAATTTCCAAAAATCTTGAGTCGTGGCCTGTGGAACCAAGTCCTTGGTTGCATGCAGGCGAATAACAGCTGTGCCCTTGATGCCAGCCATGACCGCACCCAGCATGTTGTAGTTGTTCAACTTGCGAAGCTGTCGCGCAATCTTCATCCACTTCTCCATCATGAGTGCCCTGTGCTTGGGCTTGTCGCGGAGGAGAATGTAGTTTGTGACGAGTAGTGCAATGTAGTTGAAATGTTCGGTCATGCGCGTAACGTTTTCGAGGTTCTTGCATCTCTTCTTTTCGTCGTTATTGAGGCTGACATGGCGGACAAGATCTCGTGGTCGGACCGAGGAGAACATGATCCAATCTATGCGGGTCAGTTCTCTGGCAATGGCATCCTCTGGTTCGTTCATGAACTGGTGCCATTGAATCTTTGATAGCGGCTTGACAGGGTTAGGCTCGAGTTTCCGGGCAAGACGTTCGTTCTTTTCGACTTGGGTGATGAGGGTCTGTGATGAGCCCATGGACTCAATTGTAGATGGGGCGCCGCCAGTCAAACTACTTCGGGCAATGGAGTTTCGCGAGGAGTCGTCCATGGACATGTGGCCCAAAGCTCTCGAGAATTCATCTTCGTCCGAGTCCTCGTCAAGCACGTTGTTGTGGAATGCGGGTATGTTTTCATTCTGCATCCGTTGTCGATCGCTGCAGGCCCAGTCGGTGTCGTCGTCTTCGGTGACCATTTCCAGATCGCGAAGGATTTCGGTTGCGGCAACGGAGAATTCACGGTTCGAGGCCAACGAGGATGCAAATCGTCGAATCAAGCGGCGGGTGGTGGGGTAGGCAAAATCACCAGGGTAGTAGGCAACCCATTGTTGTAGTATGGTTAGGTAGCGGAGTTGAGCAATGATGCGGATCATCGGTAGGTCCTTCTCCTTGTTGAGAGCCTCGAAGCGTTTGATAATGGCCTCGAGGAGCTGGCCCGGTGTGGCGAACCTCCGGTACAGGGCGAGGAAGACGGAGACGAATTTGGTGTCATTCTTGGACATTGGCTGTGCCAGGAGTCGGTCGACGAGCTGCTCAAAGGTGTAGCCATTTTCGTCCGAGGGCTTCACCGACATGATGCTTTGGCCAGCATCCGAATCTTGATCATCGGAATCCTGCGAGTCGTAGCCAGGCGACTCGTCGGCGTTGAAGAATGTTTTGTTGACGTCGCTGGGCTTATAACGGTGGCCTTTGATCTCGCTAGGCTTACGTTGAAACCTGAGGGAGATTTCCGAGCTAGCACGCTCGTGTTTGCGGCTCCAAAGGTCCTTTTGGGTCTTGGACTGTACTGCGGAAGAATTGGCCCGGCGCCGCGCCATCGAGGCCTGCGAGGAAGCTGAAGTACGTCAATGACTTGCATCCTTGTGCACAGGCACGACAATGCTGGCCATGGGGGACGCGCTCGACACGTCACGGGGGGCTTGTCAGGGAAGAAAAAAAGGAAATGAATTACTTACGTCGCTTGGCCGCTATTGCTGCGCGGGTGATGACCGACAGGCATGCTCGGTGCGCCTCCGGCGACGATTCGGAGGTCTGAAACACGCTCACGTCTCCAATGAAGGACTTTGCTTTGTGCTCCACCACGGATGGATCGACCTCGCGGTGAGCGGGGTGTTGATCGCATTTGCATGCAACCAAGATGAACGGCAGTTGGGCCTGATTGAACGTGTCTGCGAACATGGTTAGCACGACGCAGGAGCGGAGGCGCCTCGTGGGCCGGTTGGAACGGGCACTAACTGAGCATTTCAGGCACGTTAGCCAGGCTTTCCTGGTTTGTGACATCGTAGAGGATAACGGCGGCATGGATACGAGGCGTGGCACAATCGTGGGCGCTGTCTGGCCACTTGATGTTCCCGCGCTCGCCCACTTGCACGTCGGTGAAGGTCATTTCGACCAAACGAACTACATAGATGGTGCCGTCAATGGTCATTCTGCGCGAGCAATTGCCTGCGGGTGCAGCTTCGGGCAAGCCGAGTGCGCGTCGGGCAAAGGTAGATTTGCCTGAACCCCGCACTCCCACAACGGCAATGTTGAGGTCTTGCATGGTGGTGGCGGCTGAGTCGCTGTTGGCGGACTAGATGATCACAATGTCAGCCTGTTTAAAGTTTTTTGCTGAAGGCTTAAGTTTTTTGATGGTTCCCATTTGTGTTGTTTGCAGGCTCGATCTCCCTCGTTCGTCGTCTTACTTTGCATTTCTCTTCTTTTCTTTTTCTTGTGCCGTGGAAACGCTAGCACCATGACGACAACAACAACAACAGCAACAACAACAACAACCAAAGAGAGGGAAAAAAATCACGACTCACCCCTGTAGATGGCTCCGAGACGGAGTCGCCCGCTTGGCTACGATCCTTGGCATGAGTGGGAGATAATGGGCCCTCGGTGTCGGACGAGGACTCGGCGCTGCTGCGAGCCTCTTCTTCCTGGGCTATAGGAACGGGCTGGGGGAAGTGGTATCGCTGGAAAAAGGCATCGTCGGCAATCTCCTCGGCTTCGTGGTCGTCGTCTGTGCGTGGAGAGTCGGTGTTAACGTCACTATCGCACTTGGGCACGTTGGGAGCCGAGTAGGCGCGTGTCTTGATGCCCGGGCGCTGGGTTGACGGAGCCATAGCACTACTCTCTCTGCGCGAGGAATGCATCGTGGAGGGCGGGGGGTGGGCAGCGCGTCCTCCTCCTGTGGCAGGCATGGTGGATATGGTGGGGACACAGAGGCAAGGCGCTCAACCGGCACGGGTGGGCGCAGACAGTGGCCTGTACGACGTGGATGCGGGCGTGACGACAAGCCCCAGGCACAGTTGGGACATTGGAGGCGCGCGTGTGCCGAGCAGAAGACGGGGCGTGTGCGAGGGTGGGGAGCAGGCTGGGGGGGGTGAGGGCCCAAGGGGCTGTTAGGAAAGGGAGTACGTAGATGGGCGGAAGGGCTGGGTGGATATTGAGTGGTGCCCGCGTGTTTGGGAGGGCGAGAGATGGATGTGGGCGTGTGCGAGAGTGTATGTGCATTCGGCGGGGAGAGAGTCGCAGTCGCTTGGGCAAGAGGCAGGGTCTCGCTCGGCCATCCAATCCACTTGTGCGCGTACCGAGTGCTTAGCTTCCGCCCCCGATAGCCCATTCTCTCCACATTAGGCCGCCCATCCATGGCTTGGATGCATAGTACGTTCTTGTATTTCCGTACGTACATAGACACATCCATACTGACATGCATGGTGGGACATGGACACGCTGCATCACTACTTTCCCCCTCTGCTCACCACCGCACCCGTGGCACCTGCTGATGCTATGATTAGCTAACCACACGTGTGAGCACTGCCCCTTAGATGGCCGTCAATACGGTGACAGGATACAATACGGTCGGGCCTTGCGGGCCGCAACACGTCCCTGCCCCTGGGTGTAAGTAGTCGTGAAGGCCGTGTACTTATGTGTCGAGGGCAGGACAGGCGTGGGTGAGGGCCAATGATGGGCGCTGAGCGTCGCGTGTAGGCGCGTGGGATTGGCCGAAAGGGGCGACTCCAACGCCTCCAACTGGCCGATAATAAGCTTCGATGTGCTGCAAGCTTCAACTATGCTATGCGTGGCTGCATCACCCGAGTTCGAGTCGTCGGTTTGCATGGCCTGTTCCCCGCCGACAGGGCCAAGGGCAAGGATAGCGACAAGGACACTGATACACGAACAACGTAAGTACTTAACTAGCTACTAAGTATATGTCCATGGCGGGGCAGCCCTCTCCGGACCGAGGCTTTTAAGCTGACGCTCGACAGGACGCCGGGCATGTGCAAGCCGTGTGCTATCCAGGAAGCGTCGTGTCGACCGTCTTGGGCATGCTGGCTACTGCAGTCGGAGAAAAAAAAGACGTCTTGCATGTATGTGAATCGAGTGCTGCACTGATCTGCAGCCATATTTCCGAGCGATCGGCGGGCCTCCACCCCTCCCTTATCGATGAATCTAGTACAAGTAGTCCGTGGAGTACTGAACACCGTACACATGAACCTTAGTTGGACAACAAACCATGTGCCATCTAGCCCCGGCCGGCCTTCATGGCCATCGGGCCATGGCTACCGACAGGCATGCAAGAAAGCACTATACTTGGACCGCTACGCTGCGCAAGTATGTCTGTAGACGGAGCATACTAGCAAACTTAGTACGGACAGCAGCGGCCTGACTCGGTTTCAACGTCTCCAGCAGCGGGCGCCGTCTTGGTATTGCAATCTCCAACTCCTCGTAACCCGAAAGCACTCGTCATCCGCTCCCCTCCGAGCCCACGCCGACGCTCTCTGTCTCTTCCGTCTGCCCCGCGCAAGGTTGGCCTGGGCCCGCCCATCCCAACTGCTTCCCTTCCCTCCCTCCGATCCAACCGGCGCCCTTGCCCGGCCCTGTCGCTTTCGGAACCTTTTGTCCTCTCCCCGACCCGCGCCATGCACTGGCACTGCCACGGGCACTTGCCACCTATGTGTCTGCGCCCTCATCATCTACTTACTCTACTCGCTATCTTCACGTGCTTTTGCCCGAGCATCCAGGCCGCTGTGCCCGCGCTGCTTCCCTTGCCCTTGCCCATCAACGCCTCACCTTCCACATCCACGGTCCCTCCCTGACTCGCCGCCTTCCATGTACATCTACTCACATCCATGCACATCCACCCAAGCCCCTCGTCTTTCCTTCTTCACTTCACCACGCCCCCCTCCCCCCTTTGCTCGCGCCATCCGCTCTCGGCCATCCGATGTAAAGAATCGATCCGCTCCCTTTTCAACATGCCCGCACGTGCCGATAAAGTTTATACATGACGGCATGCATGTTTGCACTGCAAGATGCTACACAGTGCAGTATCACATACTAGCTCAACACTCCCATCCACCCTACCCCAACATATGCCACTAACAGCCCAAGCTTTCACTAGACGCAGAGTTCCTGCCAAGCTGCTCGTTATCACACTCACGCATGCGAACTCTATTCCTTTCAGCTCCCGCCGTTGGCTTGATCAAGTAGCGAGCACTGGGCTCTCGCTTTGGCAGGTGGGAATGCAGACGGTTGCACTCTAGGCAGCGGACTAACGTGCTCATCCCACATTGCCATTTTAGTCTAGTATCACTAGAAACAATACGACACTCGGCTCTCTTGATTGGAAGTTGAGAAAATCACTCGTTACGAAGGTACTACTTGAACATGACACTACTCCAAGTAACTGCGTTCAAGACTATGACTCCTCACTCATTGATTTGTTTGCGGCAAAACTAACAAGAATCTATAGTTCATGTCTCGTCGTGCTGCACAAATCTTTAGCGATCCTACAAGTCACGTGACCACACTTTGTTTCTTGGTGTCGACGCCACGTCCCGTGCCGTTTATCAATACCACCCCACTTGCCTCCCGCAACACTATATCCGTGTCTACACTACAGGAGACTTGATCCAATTCCACCCTGCACCCTTGAAAGATCATCCCTTTCTTCCCCCCTGATCATGGCCATAGCAATATCGCCGTCTCGGCCCTTACTACACTGCATCCCTGTCAATATGTTCGAGTCTGCAACATCAATCAACCTACATGCCCGTTCTTCGAGCAAACGACAAACAAACACACAAACAAACAACTGTCGATACCGGAAACAGAATCAGACCACTCGAGAAATAAGGAGTCATCGTCACGTGTGTCATTATATCAATATTTCCCTCTTCTTTCCACAAATGCTACACAATAGCCCCGGAAAGACGAAATGATTTCCCTAGTAATAAACTCCTCAAACGCTCAGATCAAAGTGCACGTTTCTTTATATTCCACTTCTCCTTCTCATCTTCATATAAGCAGCCATTGCCCCTCTCGTATATCCCTTCCCCAGGTGTGTAAGGGACTGTGAATCCGCGCAATCGTCGAATGGAATTTTCCCAGTTCGGTTGGGGAAAACAAAAAATTATATGGCCCAGAAAAAAATCCAAAACGCTGAGTGAATGCCGATTGTAGATTTTTTCGAAATTCAAGCACTATTCACTGTTAAGCTCAGTTACTATTGCAGGCCAGAACACTGGCATGTTTGAAAAGGAAAAAGGGTAACAAATGCGATAAAGAAGAGACAAGAAGGGGGGAGAAGGCCGCAAAACACCATTGCTCCAAGACTTGACTGGCAAGAGGAAGAGAGGAAGAGAGAAAAGGAGAGAGGCAACAGACGTTTCTCGACACAACTCCGCAAGCGGGGAAACACAAAAATAGGCAATTATGTTATTGGCTGTTGAAAGAGGCCAATTAGCATCTTGTCTTTGCCCAAATGCTTTGTGTATGTGTGTATGTGCGTTGTGAGAAAGACGCTTTCCATCGCTTTTCTCTCTCTTCTTCTCTTTTTTTGTGCTCTCTCGTGCAAGTCCGTATACATGGCATGTATTGGCTCTCCATGTAAGCGAACAAAAAAAAGAGGAGGAACGAGAAGCAAAAGGCGGAAGCGAAAAGCGGAAGCGAAAAGCGTACAACTGAAAAGAGAGGAAAAGGGTATATAACAACAAAGAGTGCAGAATAGGCAAAAGGGAAGGGGGGAGAGCAAGGAAACAGGGAAGAAAACTTACTACAAACTCAATGTCAAATCCCCCCGAATACTCGCCTTGAGCTCAATCTCAATCTCGAGATTTGCCTCCAGCGTCAACTTTAGTCCATCCTGATCTTTCAGCTCACTGCCGCCCTTTTCCGGCTCCATGCGAAATGGCTCGTTGGGATTGGTGCCACGCATGGGAATCTCGCCACGCATGGCACGCGCATACGTGACGGGCCCATCCATGGAGGTGCTGTCGGGCCCGATGCGCTCAAACATGCCCATCTTCTGCAGGTCGCCGTTTGCATCGGCCTCCTCGAGCACCTCGAGCGGCGTCGTGAACATGTACTTTCCGTTCTTCTTGTCTTCCTCGAGGCGGGCGCGGCGGGCGCGGCGCGACGATGAGCGCGAGCGGGCGGATTGGAGGCCGGCTTCGCGCCGCTCTTGCTTCTTCTTGTTGATGGCTTTTTGCTGGGCCATGGTGGAGCGCTCGTGCGGCTCCGAGTCCGAGTAGTCATTCTGGTTCTTGTCGGCCATGTCGGGCGGGAGGCGCGCGATCATGCAATGGTGGGTTGGGGGGTTTAGGCGTGTGTATGTGCGTATGTACCGTCAAAGGGAGACGAAGAGATCGATCCTTAGGGCAGGGGAATTGGCGGAGGTGGTGGGGGTGGTTAGGGAATTAGGAATTCAAAGTCAAGACAAGAAGTTCCAAGGTAGTAAGAGTAGAGTAGAAAGAGAGAGAGAGAGAGCAAGAGCATACAACCTGGCTCAGCCAGCAGGCCAGCCAGCCAGCCTAAAACCCACCCTACCCCCCCATGCATCTGCGCAATCCACAACCAACAGCATGGCCCTGCCCTGGCACCACCTTTGCCATCAAGCAAGCAAGCAAGTTCGCAACCCCCGAACAAAAAAAACAAGATTCATTCGATTATCCGCCCGCAGGCTTTCCAGCCCAGACGCCAACCCAGCAAGCTTGCACCCTTGCTACTTTTCTGCTTTCCCCACAGCGCCCCCCCACCAACAACGGTCTGACGTCAATGTAAGGATCGGGATCAAGCGGCACGTAAGTTACCCACAATCATGACACCCAAGCCCTCCTTTTTTGCTAGGCAATTCAGCACTCACCGCATCATTTCGGGAATAATGCCCGCCCTTATGCGGAAAAAAAAACAAAGACACCTGATAAATGGCTACGTGTTGTCTTTTTCACGTTTGCGCTTGTGAATCTTTTACTGTGTTCGGTTTTTGTGTATGTGTCGTGGGTTCATGTGAATCCTAGTCCGACGACGCGCAAACGTACATATGGGCTAGTGCTAGGGAAGGGGGGGGAACCTCGGCCACTCTCTCTCTCTTTTTGTGTTGTATGTAGATCTAGAACGGTAGAAACCCATGCTTTCCCCCTTGCCCTTGCACTTACCCTACATGCACGGGGTTTTCCTTTGGGAGTGGTTTGCCTCTGGGAAGAGATGATGCAATAATGTTCATCATTTTTGCCATTTCCGTGCGTTCTTGCTTTGCTTTGCTTTTTCTGGGTGGCGTCTTGGTATGGGTTACAGCTATGACGTCACGGTGCAGTCAAGTGTACAGTTTCCTTGTCGCTGTCTCATGATTACAAGTGTAGCGAGAGACAATGGCGAGAGGCATCACGCGAGATTTGTGACTTGGTGTGAAAAAAACAACAACATTGCAATAGCTCTGTCTGTTCTGTTTGTCTGTCTGTCTCTACCTAACTACACGGACACTAACAACTTTGGTATACCGCTGCAAACAAAATCTCCAGTTAACTAAACTAGCCAAATACGTGTGGATATACATGTAATTTGCAATTCCTATGTAGGCCACTACTCGCATGCACTTTGCGAGTAGTTCAACAAAGGGGGGCAGTTTGTATGCAAAACTCCCAGTTCATAAAACGCCTTCCAAATGGTTCCAATTACTAATAGGTCAATAACGTGCCGTGCATTAGGTCTTTGTCGTCGTGCCCAAGATCTTTTAGTTGCTATGATTGATTGTTAGTACAAGATAATCTCACCAGAAAACACAATATCACTTACAGCAATCCAAGGGTAAGATCACCGTGAATCTTGGCCTTGAGCTGAATCTCAATGTCAAGATTGAGTTCCAGGCGCAACCTAAGCTGCTCGCCGCCATCTTTGCCGCCGTCATCGTCTTTGCCGCCGCCAGTCAGGCCACCGAGAGCCTTGCCAGCTGTGTCGCCGACGGAGCCAACGGCTTTTCCAGCAGTGTTTTGGACCAGGTCGCCAGCTCCGCCGACAAGCTCGCCTCCTGGCACGTTCTCGGTAATGTCGTCCAGCGGGCCACTGCCCTTTCCGCCCTTCTTCTGGCGCTGGCGGTTGCGACGGCCTCCGGATTGCGAGACATCTGATCGGGCATCAGACTCGGCGCCAGATTCCACGCCTCGTCGTCCGCGGCCTCGGGACTGGCGGCGCCTCGATTGCGACTTTGACTTTTCTGGTTGGGGTTCGTCCGAGTCGTCGGCGTCGCCGCCGTTGGTTTGCTTCTTCGATTCTGCGTCCTCTTGCTCAGCGTTCCCTTCGCCATCGCTATCAGGGGCAGGAGTGGCGTCAGGAGTGGGCTGCTGTTGAGGCTTCTTTCCGCCCAGCTTCTTCGGCGTCTTCCTTTCGGTTTTCTTACTCGATGATTCCGCACTGCCCTTTGCTCCTAGAGAAGCATTGGCATCAGCCTGTCCCTCTCCAGAAATGGATTGCTTGCTCTCTTCGACTGTGTCCGCCATGGTGTGGTACTTTGGTTTTCAGAAAAAGTGTAGTCGGGACCTTGGTAGGGATTTGCTGGTTGTATGTTATGTATTTGCACTGCAAAAATAAAAGCGACGCGCTGAACAAAACTCTTGGAAAAATAGCAATTCACGACCCAGAACCACGGAGCAATTCGTTAATAAGAGAAAGGCGGCATGAGCAACTGGAACCGGTTTGAAGGCTTCCAGGTACTTGCTACCCCTGCCGCACCTGGCCCACCTTTGCATGCAGTCTGACGCACCATGTGGCGCCTACACTCACCCCACTGCCAGGCGAGTTCCAACACGTCCAAAAACTTGACGCCATCCCTGCGTGCATCGTCCTAGCTGACAGCTGCGCACACGTTGCGACCATCGTCTTGGGGCCTAGAATATCTCGACCAGGGTGTCCTGTCCATTGCGTATGTTCCAACTTTTTCCCCGCCAACTGTGCCGCATACTCCTTGGACCTGATGTCAATGGCAACGCGTCAGTCGAATCCGATCGGCAGCCTTTCTCATCGGCTGACAGGATGCGGATTTTTGCCGTCCCGCGTAGCGTAAGCGGGAAACGTTACACTGAGCATACAACATGTTCTCATTCTGAAGAAAACAAAGAAGTAGAACGCAATATGCGACACACTTGGGGAGCTCGGTAGACAGTGGTTTTGTGGTAGCGAGCACGTTGTCTGGTTCGTCGCTACCAATCGCGGGGCGCGGCACGAGCTTTCCGCGCGATGACCGGGCCGAAGAGCGCCGGGTCACTGCAGACCAGAGACGTGATTGTAGATTGCCCATCTCCGCCCGCTGAACACCCACACGATAGAGCAATTGCAACTCTAGCCCATAGCTTGGCCGCTAATTCGCCCACAATGGCGACCACGAACATTAAGGACGAAGCCACCAGGCAGCGCATCGTCAAACACATGAATACTGAGCACCGCGACTCTGTACGTGCCGTCTCTAGGTCCCTTGTCGAGTGCCCTACAGTTCCTGATTACGACCGCAGATCCGCCGATACGTCGAAGCTTATGCTTCACGATCCATGTTCCAGAGCCGCAGCGCGAAAATGATCGATATCCACTTGGACAAGATGGTGTTCAGCTGCGGTGACCAACACGCCTTAATTAGGTTGGATCCGCCCATGACGACCCTGAGTGAGTCTCGCGAGCGCATGGCCAAGATGGACAAGGACGCTTTGGAGACTTTGGGCCGGAGCGACATCTCCATCACACGGTTTGTCCCTGCATATACCCGACCGGCTCATCTGTGGAACTTTACCCAGTGTCTACTGGCCTATCTTTTGTTGCCTCGTGCGGCAAACTGGCAACCTGGTTCGCCCATTTACGATTACGCTCTATTCATGGTGCCGTCGTTTGCGAACTTTGTAGCTCGGTACGGCTGGTTGATCTTTATGATGATGCTTCCGATTCATTCAATCGAGGCTGTCATTATGGTCATGAGACTGGCAAAACATGGATGTACCTTTTTGGATGGCGTTTGGTGGAAATGGGTAGGCACCTGCTTCGTGGAGGGAATCACTTCGTTCTGGCGGCTGGACGCATTAATTGAAGAGAGGAAGAGGGAGAAGGAGAAGGAAGCAAAACGGCATTGATCTTAGAGTGGCATTGGCCTCATTTTCGAGCAGTATCTGTGGTGCTCACACAGCCAATGCTATCTGATTTGAGACGTTCTTTTCGAATACAGGATCTAGGGTGTCAATTGCGGAACTCGTCATACTAGGGTTATGCCTCCAGCTCATGCATACAAACATGCTACATCACACCTATCTAGGGCCGAGGCGTAGATGCGGCCGATGGCTGTAATGAGGCTCTCGAGCTCGCATTGTCGGCATCTTCCTCATCCTGTTTCTGCACAATGCACACCTGGCCCTTTGCACTTTTCCAATGCCTTTTCAGCATATCGCCACGGTTGAAAACACGCCCACACCCCCAATCAGACCCGTCTCCGAGCTTACCCCCACACACAAATGACTTTGCATCGTTGTGTGTAGTTGTCACGTGCCGAGTGTGATCGCCCTTTCTCACAAAGCTCTTGCTACATGTCGAGCAGACATGGGCTGCTGGCTTGCTCCCACTCTCCGCATGGCGACTCCGCATATGAATCTGAAGGTTTTGCTTACGAGTAAATTTGGCATCGCACTCTGTGCAATCAAAAGACACCTTCTGCGGTGGCAACTCGGGATATTCTGCTTCTTCGTCATCGTAATCAAATGCCATGTGGAATTCCGTCTCGTGCTTATGGAGCTCCTTCAATGTGCTACAACCCAGTGTGGCCATTGCGCATCCCGGAAAAGAGCAAAAAAAGGACCGTTCGTGCTTCTTGATGTGGTCGTCCCGCTCTTGTTGTGATGCAAAGCCGCTGTAGAATCGTATACAGTTGACTCTTGGACATTTGAAAATGTTCTCGCCGTACATTGCTTGCAGTTTCGTCGCCCCATTCGCTGAAGCACTTTCCAGCTCAAGGTGCTCACGCACTTTTTTCAATGCATGGTGGAGCTTGAGTACTTGGAGATCAGAAGAGTGAGCGGTTGAGGCAATGAGCTGCTTTTGTGCGAGATGAGCAGCTACAGTGAGCTTGTCAAAATTGCGATTGCTCGAAAGTGCCTCCCATCTTGCTAAGAATGATTTCGGGGGTACCGACTTGGTCCGGGGCTGCGCCCAGTACATGTCGATGAAAACTTCTGCCGCTTCAGATATCTCTTCTAGGGCGTCTTTCGATTCCTGTACACGCAAGAATGCATCCAGGTGGCGAGCCCAGTATGCGTACGCATAGTCCATGAATCCATAATATCCCGATGGGATGTAATCAGGCACGCTTCGATTATCATCTTCAACGTCAAACCCTTCAAAACAAAGGTAAGATATGCACAGAAGAACCAGATTGCCCTCGCCCGATCCAAGGTTGACGAGGTTTTTGTCAAGGAGATATCTGCAAAATTTAGTATACTCGAAGTGAAGAGAGAAATTTGTACACTGGATGTGTTCCCTGTACACGGATCTGGCAAAAGGACTCACTTTTTGGCGGAATGATGGACAATGACAACGGTGCCGTCAGCATGGATGTTAACCAACGACCCACACAAGTCTTTTGAATCCACACGGAGCTGGTCACGCTCCCAGTCCACGGTCTGGTCTTCCAAATTGATTGAGACTGCACATTGAATCTCTCGCCACATAAGAGGCCGCTTTGCACACACGAGCCATGTTAACAACTGAACAGTTTTCGCGCTCAAAGATCCTCGGTTGGCGGTCAGCCGTCGTATGATGCGCGAGTATCTGTTCAAATCAGCCGTATTCTACACACTGTCCTACGTGATGTATACATTTCTTCCAGTCTAGTACCGCCTTGAAGAAACTTCTCCGGCAAGAGCTCCTTGTCGAGCTCTGCTCGTGAGCTTTGATCGATGAGGTAAGAAGTCATAAGATGTGCAAACAGGAACATACCTGCACCGATCAGAACACAGGTGGTAAATGTATGAGGGGAGATTGTACCCACCGTCAGCACTCTTCATCACCTGATCCTGCACCCATTGTTGCCGGTCTGTAGTTAGGTCAAACTTTAGCTTGATGGCCATACTCCTCCCCGCTACAAACTCAACAATGTCTTTTCGTGTATGAGCCTCCGTAATCTTTAATGATGGTACACCGGCGAAGTGTTTCCTCGCGATATTGTCGTCTTGACTGACAAACAGACACCGCAACGAATCCATATCGGCTGGAGGGAGTGAATCACATGTATCCTGGAAGAATGACACAATTTGTTGACGTTGATCGCCCTCACACTCGTCAATTCCGTCTATAATAATGTATAACTTCTCAAAAGCCTTCAATGACGTTTCGAGTAGTTCGCGTGCTGTCGCTTCAAGCGAAAGCGTGACCTGCCCACTTGTTGATGCTTTTTCATAGAGATACGACAATAGAGCGTCATCTTGAGATATCAGCTGAGATAGGATACCACGAGCAACTGCAAGAAACGTGTTACGTTCACTATCCATATAACGACAGTAAAAAAACGCCACGTGGACATCTGCCAGCTTCATAGCTTCCTCGACAACTAAAGAGGCCAGAACAGTTTTTCCTATTTTGATGATAAGTAAAGATTCCGGTAAGTCTGGGCACGAGCCTACCTGCTCCAGGAATGCCATTCATCCATAGCATATGTGTTGAGCAGAGGATTGGGTCGAACCAGGAACAAAAACGGTTCTCTTGTAGAAGCCATTTTCCTGTTCCTGCATGCTCTTGACGTACTTTGGCATAAGCCTCTTGATCAGCACCACAGTTGGCTGCAGCGAGCCACTGGTGAACAACCATGCGACGCTTGCGCACTTCATTCTCTCTATCACGATCGAATTGTAATTCGATAAGCGTCCGCGTTGCAAGTATCTCAGAGAACTGAGCCACAGTTGCCTGCGATTCGATCAACGCCATGTGTTCGCGTAAATCCCGGAGTATAGCAGCGAACTCGGTGTCAAAACTTTTCCAAAGTGCTTGGAAAAGTTGTTGCCACACTGTGTTTTGTCAACGTCGTGTCCATGATGATAAGAAAGAAAACTTGAAATACATACTGCGCTTCTGGAAATACTTCATTGCCTTGAAATGAAATTTGAGTATGTCCTCGTACATCAGTCGTAGCACTCGAGTCATTTGCGGATGATTCCGGAAATAGCCCTCATACTGGGCTAGTAGAGGCATGTGCTCGCCAATGCGTTGATATGCATCCAGCAATGCGTCAAAGGCTTCATGGAACGTACTGGCTATCTTCACAAAAGTCAGAACTCTTGGCTTTGCCTGTCTCGATCAATATCTTGTTTTGTGTACGATGGCCCAAGGGCACTCAAACCGTGCTGGCGGAAAATGATCTTCATGCTGTGCAACTCAAAATATCGAATAAGATTTGTACCTGTAACAGAAATTTCATTGGGCCCTGGGCGCTTCAAGTTCAGCCTGAGAAGTGAATGGTTTGTGGTCGGCGAGTCATACCCAAACGAACGCCAGAATTTCACTTGTGTTGAGAAAGACGGCCACAACTTTTTCATATTCCTTCATACCCTCCAAGAATAATTCTAGCTTATTCATGGCGCGCAGCCTTTTTTCAGATTGCTGCTTGCGTTGAATCTTCTCTATAGCAATATGGACGTCATCCAGCGTGGATGTTGCGAATTCTTGCTTTTCTTTCTCACTCAAGCCAGACTTGAACTTTTCCAGTACAAGGTGAAAAGTTGCGGAATGCATAGCTGTAGGTTGTTGCGTATATTTTGTTTATCATGTCGTCTTCAAGGAGAGTGGAAATCAAAGTGTTACGGTGGAAGAGGAAGGAGCAGCTGGACATGACGGCTGGTCTGTGCGCAGAATGCGCATCTCCACTTTCGCCCCCAAGGCTGCGCCTTGCTCACCAATGGCACCCGCAGTGTCTGCCTTGTGTGATCTAATCCGTCATGAATTCATACTCGCCAATGATTAGAAGTGCTCAACAGGGGCTGTCAGACGTGAAAAGGATTTCGGCGGCTCAACGTGTCCCTAGAAACTATCGACACTGAAGCTCCGGCCCAAATTGCGGACGTGATTAAAGACGGCTCCAGCACATTGGCCAGAAAACGATGAAGAGACCACTATCTCCTACTGATAATTCAGAAGCATCAAAGCGGTGGGAAGGGGTCACTCCAATTGTATCATGTAAGTAGGTGCAATCATTCAAGATACCTAGTACTAATAACCGCTGAAGATGATCATCTGTCTACACCAGATACTAGTTCAAGGAGAGCAGTTGGTAGCCCCGACGAGGAAAAGTTGCGCAATGTTCCACAAGTCTCAGCCACAAGCTCGTCACATCAGCCTGAGGAGCCCGGCAATCTGAAGGAGATTTGTTACGGCTCGGTAATGATTATGACCAAAACCGAGTAATATAGCACAACCTACTAACATTTTTTAGCTACTTGAACTGAATCTTCAAGTCAGAGAAGATCCGCTTACATTTAGGGATTACTCGTCTCAAAATGCAAGAAGCGATTTTGTCGAACTTGAAACTACATTTGTTGGTGGCTACCTCTGGATGAACATCCGCGACGCCATCAGCTTCGGATGCTTAAATCAAAAGATTTCGCAAGTCCTGAAACGACTAAAGTCCCTTTCAAGTGTCGAGATTGAAGGCATTGTATCGCGTACCAGCTTAGAGAAGGCTAGAGCCGAATGGAAAAAATCAGGACGCTCTGCAAACCTACTTGTAGACATCAACGTTTACGGTCCCAATACTTCCGGGGTTGCTAAACCCGCTGGCAGAATCCTTAGCAATGCGAGGCTCTTTTTACAACCCCCAAGCTTCGTCACGCGGCTGGTCACATATGACAATCCCCAATATCTTAAATTGCCCAATGTCTCAGAGTTGCAGATCATGGAAGCACCAAGCACGAACTTTGCAGCACCGCTTTCAGGCAGCGCGAAAGAAAGCACATACTCCGAGCTGGAATCAGTATTGGACAACATTCCACAGTCGAAGATTTTGAGAGAAGTTTCTACAAGTTGGCGAATACGAACAGTGCTCAAAAAGTACGTTCTCGTTATCACTAAAGAAGGGTTTTCACTAACCTTGAGAAGTTATCAGCGAGAGGCTGTTGACTTTATGACTAGAAGAGAAACCAGAGACTTGCCTCCTTCACTCAGTCTCTGGAAACCTCACTCTCTTCCCGGAGGTCCATTCTGGTATGTGCGTATGCCAAGATCACAAATTTTCGACTGACACTTCAGTTACAAACACGTCATCACTGGTGCAAAAAGTAGCGAGATGGATGATGCCCTTGGAGGCATATTTGCTGATGATATGGGACTCGGAAAGACACTTACCACATTAGCTGTCATTGTAGGGTCTCTGGAACGAGCGCTAAATTACGCCGTAGGGCTTACAAGAGGCTCAACAAACTCTTGGAAAGAGATCGTCCCTTGCAAGACTACCCTCATAATCGTCCCCTCTTCATGTGAGTAACTCATAAACACCACATCCATTCTGATCTGATCTGGTCAGTGTTGTTAGAGAGCTGGGAGGACGAGATTACTAAGTAAGTCTGAAATTATGCCACAGTGCGTTGTCTAACATTGATAAGACACATTGAACCTGGAACCCTCATGGTGCATCGCTTCCATGGCTTAGGAAAACGTGTGGATCTTGCTCATCTACTTCGCATGGATATAGTTCTCACGACATACGCGACTGTCGCTGCAGAATTTTGTCGTGGAAAGAGTACACTGAACCGTATTGCGTGGTACCGCCTAGTTTTGGATGAGGGTAACCCCGCCTTATCATTTTACAGCCTATAGAACGTGCTCACATACCTAGCTCACTATATCCGCAACCCCTTGCGAAAACAGTTTCGGGCCATCCAAACCATACCCGCACACATCCGCTGGTGTTTGACAGGCACTCCTATTCAGAACTCTCTAGAGGACCTTGCTGCACTCGTGAAGTTCTTACAAGTTCCGGTGCTTGATGACCTGGCATCGTTTCGCAAGCACATCAGCACACCAATCCTGTCAAAGACTAACAATCGCTTTGGTAACCTTAGCCGGCTTTTAGAAGCCATATGTTTGCGCCGTACCAAATCGATCCTGAAGCAGCCTGAACCGGTTATGGAAACAATACTTCTTCAGTTTTCCGCTGAAGAACAGACGCAGTATGAAGATTACGCAGCGAGTTGTAAACATTACATCGACTTGGCTGTTTCAGGGCATAGTTTCAAAAAAGCTAACCAGCAAGTCATCCAGGCTATCTTGGGTTTAAGACTGTTCTGTAATGATGGAGAAAGGTCTCTTGCTAAAAGAAGTTCAGCATACGGCCTTCCAACCTTACCAGAAGAAGCCCTGAGTTTCTTGCAGACTTCCTCAGATGCCGTGTGCATCCAGTGTGGTTGTGAAATTATGGTAATGTATCAAGGCGACGACAAAAGCTCAGGTGTACTGACTGTTTGCCATCATCTCATATGTGGTGAATGTCTTCCAGACTTTGAGGCGGACCTTGATGAAAACTCTGAAAATGGGCGTAGCTGCTGCCCGTTTTGCGGTTTAAGAGCAGAGAGATCATCATTTGTCATCATACCTTCGGACACGGAAAAATCTACAGATTTACCGACTACAGTGTGGCCTACAAAGTTGCGTGCGATTCTTGATAGTGTTCAGCGACAAGGCTCAAATGATAAGTGGTACGTTTTTACAGCCACCGCCAATGGCGCATCGCATTCCATCTGCGCAGACTCACTCAATACCTAGCATCATATTCTCTGCCTGGAAGACAACACTCGACATCATGGCTAGCATATTGGACGTTGCCCTAGTCCCGTATTTTCGCATACATGGCAGCATACCAGCTAGCAGGAGGAGTAAAGTTCTCGACGACTTTGAGCAGTCTACAACTGTTCGGGTATTGCTGATAACACTAGGGACCGGAGCTGTCGGGTATGTATTGTTCGCTATCATGCCTATATTGGACTAACACGAATTCAGCTTGAACAAGATGAAGGCTGCCAATATCGTACATATCATAGAGCCCCAGTGGAACCCTTCGGTCGAAAACCAGGCAATCGGGCGCATCATAAGACTTGGGCAAGAGAAAGCTGTCAAGATCTTTCGATATATCATGAAAGGCACGGTTGAAGAGGTATGATGGAAGTAGGGACCATGTAGAGGATACCATTTGACATTTGGCAGGCCGTCCAATCTCGCCAGTTGCGCAAACTCCAACTTGCACGTGGAGGATTTGGTCTCTCAAAAGATGACCATAGCGAAAAGCGAATCGGTGAGATTATGGTACGTTATAAAGCTCCTTTCTCAACTAAGTAATAACGCATGGCCTAGAGTTTGATCTGCCCTTCGATCTCGTAGGACGAGTACGTCAGCCTTGCATCCGCCACTCTCAAAGTTTTATTCGAAGTTGATCGAGCCCATCTGAATTTCAGGGTGGGGGAAAGCTCTTTCCAACAACAATAGCCATACAGTGTACTCGCAATGAGTTTCAAAACAATGCAGTCTGCTCTCTGTATTTTAAACTAGATACATTGGGACTAGCGCCAAAAGGCCTCACCATCTCAGTTTTCCTGTGTTTGCATCGCCGCAATTTTTCCGAGTTGACCGGTTCAAAACCGGTGAACGGCCCCCCAAAACAGTAAATGCCTCGTTGCAGCCCTAGCACAGCCTCCCATGTCTGGCAAAATTCCAACACCGCCCAGTAAGCGAGCCAATTGTGCGAAGTGTTCGGGTGGGGGTCAAAAGTTCGGTGTCTGATCATTGGTTAGATGTAGGTGGGATGAGACCGGTCAACTGGTCCGCCTGAGGTTCGCTGCCTGGACAGGACCTATGACGTGGGCTGAGCTCCTTCGAAAGTTGTGTACAGTTCCACACATGCGCGCTCAGCAGTACCATAGGCCTACACCTAGATAGGATTGGCGCCTATCTAGGTATGAGCTCATATTACGGCTGGGCGCTCTAGGTGTAATGGTAGTAAGATTGATATGCCGCCCGCACATGCGCAGGTGGCTTGAAACTCTTCCTAAATGTACACACCGGTACCTGGGCTCTTGGAGTTGTTGCCCATTTATGTATAAAATAAAGCTCACCGGTGGCTTCCGAAGAGCGTTGATTTGTTTTTCACTTATTTGCTCACTGGTTTCCGGGCTTGTTTCCTAGCTTGTGGTTTGGATGGTTTGGTGGAGATTCTGGTGTCACTCACGTGAAGACTTCTTTTTCTTACTCTAAAGACCTACCATGGCAACGAGTACCTTTCAGCTAGTCCTGTGGAACACTCATTGTTGGTTAATTTTATGGATGATTTTATGACTAGCGTTTTGGTTGGCTGGGCTACTTAGGCTGGTGGAAATTCTGGTCTTTGTCACATGACCGTACCATCTCTGAATACGCAGATTCATAAAACTTTAGCACGGCTAATGAACGCAGAGATCCTTAGAGTTAAACGGATTGCATTTCCTCGTGCACGAAACCCTTCGGGGGCCAATTACAAGATATAGCTAAAGCTGCAAACACTACACGCATAGTACAGATGCATTGAAATCCATAAACTAATATGCAAGTGAACAAGATTGACGCTCCAGTCGTCAATACTGTGGCATGTATGAGAAATAAAGTATTTAATCTCTGAAAGTAAGTGTCAGATGATCACTACTCCTATCTTGCACTAGGTAACAACACCATTGAACGAATACTAGGCTAATACTACCTCAGGACTCACTGACACTTATTCGACCAACGCCCCATCATGCCCAAAATTATCGAAACCCCATCATCCTCCCCCAATCTGGCCACACCCTCACAACACCCAAACCTCCAACCCAACCAGCTTCCCATACGTTTACTCATTCTACTCCCAAAACGCCACAACCCTAACTTCAATACTTTCCCTCGCTTCCTCCCCCTCACTCCCCGGCAACCTAAACGCCGTATGCGGGCACCTCCACCCCGGCTTCCCCCTCTCCGTATCAAACCCCTTAAACACCACCACCTCATCTGGCCTCATATTACTCAAATACCACCACTGATGCACCTGCCTCTCCTTCTCTCCATGACTCATCACATAATTCTCGCTCTTAATCCCCGTACGACTGAATTCCCTCTCGCGGATCTGGTAGTCAGAGTCCGGGACGGTGGTGGCGTCACAGACGGTGAGGGGGTCTCTGCGGACGGGTTTTAGGGGACGCCAGGCGCCGAGGAAAGCGAAGCGTCGAGAGTGCGTGAAGAGAGAGGAAATGTGGGGTGGGAGCGAGAGTTCGCGTTGAGTGCCGGCGATGGCGGAGGGGCTGCCGGCGTAATCGACGTGCGGGTGGCCCGAGGGAATGTCTTGCCAGCGGCCTTTGGGGTCGAGGATGCCTTTTTCGCTGGGGGAGGTGTGCGCGCGGATTACGTGGTTAAAGACGTGAGCAGTTGTGGCGCCGGTTCTGTTTGGGGGTTGGTCGGAGTTGTGAGTTGGTGGGCTCTTTTATTCGACTTTATTCGGAATCGGTATAGGAAATAGTAGAGCTTACAGTTTCTTTATGATTTCTTCTATTTCTGGGTAGTATTCGCGCTTTACCTCTTCTTCAGTGCTTTCGCGAGTGACTCGGTCTTTTGGTGGTAGCGTGACGAAAGTGAATCCATTGGTGTCGAGATCAAAGATTCTACCGCTCGTGCGTGCATCTCGTATGAGCATATGTCGAGTGTGTTCGTTATGTTCATCTAGGAATGGCGTCTTCCAAGCGGACTTTGGAATCGGAATACCTGTTGCAGGAAAGTAGTTTATGGGGACAACAACATCGCCGCTTTGCGAGTCTCGACGGGCTTCCTGCATAATCGGAAAGATCCTTGGATTCAATAACACGAATGTTTACCGTGGAACAGGTGTGGTGTGGAAATTCGCTCTTCTTCAATATGATCACATCACCATGTTCGCGGAACCGCGGCCAGCAGAAGTGGGGTAGACGCGTGCGCAAGGTCATACTGGACAATCAGTCGTACAATTATCATTTCTCATATACCGTCGCCGGTGACATAGCGATGTTGCGGTATTTTTCTAACCCTTAATTTTCCTACGCTCAAATACGACTCTTAAAGAAGCTGCTTCAAAATATCGATCTGCTCCATGACGGCGCTCTTGCTGGTGCCACCGGTAGCATTCTTGAGCTCGACTGCGCGCTCATAGTCCAGGCACTCTACAACATCATCACCAAGCCTGGAGTCAATGCCCTTAAGTTGCTCCAAGCTTAGCTTGTCCATGGGTACGTTCTCCTTCTCGGCCAATGCAACTACACGACCGGAGATGTGGTGGCCCTCACGGAATGGTACACCCTTCCTGACAAGGTAGTCTGCGAATTCTGTTGCCAGCATCTCAGGCGCCAGCGCTGCGTGCATCTTATCGGCATTGACTGAAAGAGTCGAAAGGACACCAGTGGCGATCTGAATCGAATCGCTGACCGTCTTGATGTGGTCGATGAGGGGCTCGACTGATTCTTGGAGATCCTTGTTGTAGGTTGTGGGCAGACCCTTGATGGTGACGTACAGGCCCGCCATGTGTCCGAATGCACGGCCGCTCTTGCCGCGAATAAGCTCGAGTGAATCGGCGTTCTTCTTCTGGGGCATCAAGGAGCTTCCGGTCGAGTATGCGTCAGCTAGACGGACGAAGCCAAACTCCAGACTTGAGTAGATGATCAAATCCTCCGCCCAACGAGACATCTTCAGCATGAAGCTAGATCCCCATTGCAGTGTCTCAAAAACGAAGTCACGATCTCCGACAGCGTTCAAGGAGTTGGGCAAGAGACCATCAAAGCCGAGCTCCTTGGCCATAGCGTGACGGTCGATGTTGAACGGGTTACCCGCAAGCGCACCGCATCCCAGCGGGGACTTATTGACGCGTTTGATTACTTCGCGGAGTCGCTCGAGTTCGGATGCGAAAGCGGTTGCATGTGAAAGGATCCAATGAGACCAGCGCACTGGCTGAGCTTTCTGGAGATGCGTGTAGCCTGGCATGAGGATGTCAATCTCAGCCTCTGCTCGCTGCACCGAAGTCTTTATCAGGAGCTTCAGATAACTCTCGAGCACCTTGAGCTGCTCTCGCAGCCATAACCGCATGTCGGTTGCGACTTGCTCGTTCCTACTACGCCCTGTGTGCAACTTTCCGCCAATGTCTTTGCCGATGATCTCGCTCAGCCTCCTTTCGTTGGCAGTGTGAATGTCCTCGTCGTTTGCCTTGACCTCAAACGTGTTAGAGGCCCACTCTTCCTTGATCTGTGCCATTCCCTTCTCAATGGCAGCGAACTCGGCTTCGGTGAGGATGCCATTGTTCTTGTTGGCTCGAGCGAACGCAATGGAGCCGGCAATATCTTCAGCGTAGAAGAGGCGGTCGTAGGGCAGCGAGGCGTTGTACTGCTCCATGACGGGGTCAAGGCCCTCTGTGCACGTCTCAGTTTTGTCCCAGTCATGCCAAACGAGTTCGTATTATCCAATCGAGTCATTGACAGGTACATACCCGTGAAACGACCACCCCAGAGCATGTTCTCTGCTACCTTCTTTTCTGAAGCCATTTTGTGTATGAGAATAGTGAAAAGTTGTTGAGTTGTGTTGTGACTGTTCGCGCGTCCAGAAAAAAGATATGACGCTCCTGCATCGGCGGGCAGGGGTCTGCGCTACTAAGCGCTAGTTGCTGCGGGGAACCATCACATTTCACGTTCAGTCACCAATCTTCAGATACAGTTTCTACCAAGCAAAGAAAACTCTATATTCTATGTAAGAGCACATATCTAGCAGGTCTGGATACTTTATCTGTATCTACCATGATATTTCACGCCCTCAATTCCTATTGTCCTCCAGCGTCAGCCGACTCAACCCCGCTTCAAGCAACGCCAGCTCTGCAAAATAGGTAGATTGTTCACGAGCACGAGAGATACCTTGCGCGTTTGCGATCACTGCCTTCTTTCTTAGACAACCTCCGATACCCTGCTGATTGACAGCTGGGAGAGGGGCATTGCTGTTTGTGTAGCTCGTTGGCAAGAAAGCGGGGCGAAGCCCCCATGGACCCTCACGATCCATTTCCTCCTGCAACTGTTGCTGCCTCTGCAAGAAAATCTCAAGGGGTGCGCCTTGCTGCCCTTGTGCTTCAAAAGAATCGAAAATTACGGTAGGGAGTCTACGCGTAGGCCTTGGATGCGTCATTGCCGGGTGGCTGTAGCGTACATACATTGGTTTGTCTGCCATGGCTGTTTGTATTCAGGTCCGATGGATAGGCTTAATTTTTGGTTGGAATCTTTTCCACACACGATAATATAGTATCTCAGCCATCACTGTGTGAAATCACAATCAGAGGTAGTGAGCTATTCAATACTGAGGTGGTTTCACAATGCAACTAGAACATGATCAGGATATGAGTGAATTCAGCTTCAGGTGTATTGGTATCATTCTTCTAGTGTCGAACTAGACAGCTACTGCTTTGTGGTGTGAGTTATTTCATTACTCATTGTAATTCAGTCCCAAACGCCAATGAATGCAAGAACCCAGTACGCGATGCCATCGCTAACGCTAGCCATTTGATATGCAAAACAGAAAAAGAAACGCTCTTCACTCCGAGCCCGTAGTGGTAATAGAGACTTCTCAAGCAAGCGCACCAACAACGCTCAAACCGATCAGAAGAGAAAGGGTCCAGCTCCCGCTAATCTTCAGCCCAGCGCTCACATACGATCCTTCATTGCCACCGTTGGTCTTCCTCGGGCCAACCGCCTTTTCAGCATTGAAGCATCCAAACATGCCAATGCCGGTAGCACCCTCCTTGTCGAAAGCTTTCATCTTTTCTGCAAGACAGGTCTCGACAATGTCTGGCGAGTCGGTGATGCAGTACTGGAAGCAATCATCGCCGTCCTCTGAGTTGACAATTACAGGTGTTGTTGAATCGCGGGGTGTTAATGAGGTGGTGTCCGGGGCTGAATATGTGGCAATGGCGTTGATGTGGCCGTTGCAGCAGGCATCCAGGATTGAGCTGTTTGAGCCGCCGATGGGTACCGCGCAGGAGGGCAGGGTGGTGGGTGGTGGAGGAACCGAGCTGATGGGTTGGCAAGACATCTCTGCGACTTTGTATATCTCTTTTTGATGAATAAGATGTGGTGTGGACGATCGATGTCGTTCAAATTGTAGTATGTGGGATTGGAATTTGGTATCCGGTGGTTCGTTTAAACACGGCTTGCGTGTGATCGGGTGAACTTTTCAGAGAGAAATATGGATATCGTTCAGATAAGATGAGAAATCGACGCCAATGCAATGCTGAGATTTGACGGAAAGAAAGAATGCAGATCTTCGAAAGAAATGATATGTTAAGTGGTTCGCAGAACACACTTAGAACGATAAGAAAAGAACCTAATGAAATGACAAAAGGAAAGAGAGGATCTTGAGGCTGTTGGATGATGCTGTTGTTGAGCGCAGAGCCTCATTCATATGTACAAAGTGGATTCTAAGAATATCCTGGCAGGATTGGCGGGTGGATAGGCGGGTAGATAGGCCAGCGCGAGACCTAGCGTTACGCGCCCGCAGCTCGGCTGTAAGATGTCGTTGGTTGGCCAGTAACGCTCGACGGGACTACGCACTAAATGCTCGGCCCCGTCCGAAACAACCTGTTCTGTTGCGTTTGAAACATTATTATGCGAGGATTTGTTGTCTTCATGCTTTGTCCAGTCCAATGAGATGTGAATATGGCGCGGTAGAGACAGGTCACGTGGCATACCCTCCACCAAAACAAAGGCCCATGCGCTTGACCGGAGTAATAACAGGCGGCTTTCAGGTACCAAAAAGACATCTCGCGAGGCTGTTGGACAAATATAATATCTTGGGGCCCCGTTGGCGCGGCAAGATCGGGAGTAACGGAGCCCACGTTGCGAGCCTAAATAGATGGCGCCATGCCTCATTGGTGAAGTGGGTACTTTTGCTCCAAGATACGTGCGTACAATTGATGGATTGTGACTGAGATATCACTAGCTAGATCAGGCTATCTTTTTTACTACTTTCAAAGTCCTCTCCACTCTACGACCGTTGTGTTCTGAGAGATGAAGCACGAAACCGAAATCGGCCAGGGATCAGAACAGTCAGGATGTCTGGTGTTGAGTTTTAGTCGTCTTCATTCTCATCCTCGTGCGCGGCTGCCCAAGGGCTTCTCTTGCGTAGTGATGCTCCTCGCACCTCAAGTACGAATGGTATAGGCGCTAAGCAAATAGCTATAGTCATCAGTACTAAGCTTGCATTTCTAGTACCAATGTTCAGAAAAAGATGTCTTCCGACAAGTGGAAAACCAGCTCCAGCAAGATTTCGGATGAGTCCAATCCCCGCAAGTGCTGACGCTGAGTATGTTTTATAGGCATCCTCGGTATATGTAAGGGTCATGAGTACTACACGTAAATTATGAGCACACGACTTCTCTGAAATCAAGACAAAAACTTACTTAGGGTGTAAAAAGACCATCCCCAGAAGGCGCTAGCAAATACTGCAAAGAGCGGGTGTATGTTTGGTGTAGCTGTGAATGCGAAAGCCAAAAGGGATATTGGGAGCACTATAGCGGCCAATTTCGCATGACGCACCCGTGCTTCTGGTACATCGTGACCATCGGCTTGTGCGACACGCCATTGGTAATATCTCTCTTGAAAGACGTTTGTCATGAGACCAACTGTTATGCCCACAACTATCCCAAGAAAGCAGATGCCAACGCCGATAGTGTCAAATCCATAGCCACTTGGTCCGAAGATCATGTGAAAAGCGCCATTGAACAGGAATGAAAGCCCGTATAAAAAGCCATTGTAGAGAGCACCAAACTGAACAATGGCTTCAGTGCCGAGAAATCGGAATGGTCTCGCAAGTGCGGTGCCGAACAGTTGCTTCGGCCCTCGCTGCTTCAGTGCATCTGGTACCTCTAGACTGTCGTCTCCCGTGGCTTTACGCAGCGCTCTCGCTCTTCTTAGCAATATCACGCTATGTCGAGTCTCTCCCAAAGTGCTCAGAGTTACAACCAGGATAATCCAAAACGCGAAGCAGATTGCCAGCATGATCCGAAACACATCGTGCCATGATCTGTCCTGTGCAATGAAAGAAAAGAGCACAAATCCAGTTGGACTGCCACCTGTGGCTGCCCAGAGAAACCAGGACATTGCTGGACCAGTGTCATTGTGATGGAAGAGATCCGCGATTGTTCCGCCGAAATTCGATATTGTTGTTGAAGAAAAATAGCCAGAGAAGAATCTCAAGACAAGGAACGGACCTAAAGTCTCAACATATGTCGTTCTCAGAAGCATAAGTAAGAATATTCCATAAGACACAATGTACACAGGTCTGCGTCCGTAGTACTCTGAGAGTGGTGCTAGAGTCATTGGTCCAAAAGCTAGTCCAAGTACATACATACTCAGCCCCAACAACGCGACGCTGGGAGGTACACCCATATCTTTTGCAAAGTCACCCGCGACGGGACTGAATCCACTGGCGCCCCAAGAGACACTTAGATCTATAGGTATTATCGCGGCAACCATAAGCCATTTTCGCGCTGTCGGCCAGTTGCGAGGGTCTTCGGGATCATTGGGTTCGAATGTTATGACTTTGGCCGGCACTTGGGAGAGCAACGGCTCTCTCTCAGTTTGGGAGGAGCTCATATTTCCATGAAGAAAAAGAGAATGAAGGTCTTCTGACGTGTCCAGAGTCAAGATGCAGCTATGGTCTGTTGCTGCCACGTGAGAGAGATGGCGATCTAGCGCTGATGATGACGTACCAAGCCAAGATTTCATTGGACCGATTTATTCTGTACTACATTTGGATTCTGATATCTCCACCACTGAACACTTGCATATCACTGCTGAACGAATTGGCGATGCATTATCTTGAGTTATCTGGGATCAATGTCTTTGATAGCCTGAAACTAAAGTTTGGAATTGATGGTTCCCGATTCCAGTACTACATTATGTCGCGCACAAGATCATCCAAACTCTACTCTGATAATCAGTCGTGCAGCGGCATCAATGACTCGAATTTCCTTACTCTGCCAAAATCAGCAGGCTCGACCTCATCTCAATTCACATAGCATATAGTACGATCCGACAACGATTGCTGCATGCATTGCAGTTGCGCATCGATTGTCGACAACCAAACGGTGACTGCATTTTAGTAATGCACAATAGGCAGGTAGATGAGTAGGGGACCCATGAGGAGCTTGTTGCGATGAGAGGTAGATATTGTGCCATATTTCTGGTGCAGTGGCTAGATCGAGAAACATTAATATGTGTTAGTTCACAGTACATGTAACTACCGCTAGTATTGTTTTCATTTTGCATTTCCTTAGCACACAGCACCATTGGCATAAGGTTCAAATTTCTGATTTTAGACTAGAGCATGAAATAATCTGACAAAACTGTAATCTCTTTCGAAAAATCTCAATGTAGTTTATTGAGAAAGACTGAGATATTGCTGTGTAATTAGCACGCTGTGACATTGGGATGCCTCAGGCAAGATACGCACTGCTAGGGCTCTCACAAGCGTGTCTAGGTTCTTAGGGAGCATCCTAGGAACATGGTATACATTCTCCAGCCCCACGCTACATATTTAAGAATTAGTTCACCATTTATCCCGCACGTAAGTAGGCGAACATCAATGGTGGCCATTTTCGGTATACATCCCACCGAAGGCCCGACTGGCGTATTTATCCCGTATCCCGGACTCCTCCTTTACCCTAGATTCCGACTAGTCCACCCGTCATTCTATATTAATTTTCCCGGATGTTTGGTTATAAACAATGAAATAAGAAGACCGTCGAGCCAAGCCGTGTTTGTCGCATTGCTAAGCATTCACTATGCGCGCCGTTACGGTCACAGTGACACTTTCATTCTGTGCTAATACTTGGGCCTTTCTGAAAGCCAGTCAAAATAATCAGAGTCTCACTATTGCTAACGACCGGCTGATTGCATCGGTGAGCAAATCAAAAGGATATATCAATGTTTTGACACTTGACGGCCAAAACCTTCTTGGAACGGAATCTGGTAACACTGGTGTCGGACCGTATCTCGATTGCTACTGGTTGGTGAAAGTCCTACGCAAAGAGCATAGAAATGATTAGCTAACCTTATCGCTCCAACCAGTACTCCGAGTGGTTTCTGGACACCTGGTCGTGGTAAGAATGTTCAATATCAATTATTCAACGGCACCGACTCAACCGGCACTCCGTATGGCGGTATCAGCATGGGAGAAACGTATGCGCCTACCGGTCAACGGCTAGAACAATACTGGTTCCTGAAAGAAGGCGAGACGGGACTTCACACTTTCAGCCGAATAGTATACCACAACGAAAGCACGCCGTTTTTGCGGAACCTGCAGGAGTTCCGGACTCTATTCAGACCCAACCACGACCCTCCACTCTTCACCCACTTTGTCACCAACGACAAGTTTTCTGCGCCTCGTCCCGATCTAAACGGACAAGTAGTGGTTCAAGATGCCACCTGGCAGCTCGCCAACAAGGACGATCCGTACGTAAAGGGTGTAGGAGACTACTTCACCAAGTACACCTTCCAAGATAGCTGGCGCAACCACCTCGCCCACGGCATGTACGCCGATGGACGCAACACAAACGGCACCACCTTTGGCGCCTGGCTCGTCCACAACACCGTCGAAACCTACTTCGGCGGCCCCACGCACTCGGACCTCGTCGTCGACGGCATCGTCTACAACTACATGGTCTCCAACCACCACGGCGCCCAAACCCCCAACATAACCTCGGGCTTCGACCGCACCTTTGGCCCACAATACTTCCATTTCAACACCCGTGGCACGCTTTCTGAACTGCACAAAGACGCCGAGCAATACGGCCAGCGTCCAGACTGGAACGCCGCATTCTACGACTCCATCGCCCGCCACGTCCCGAATCTCATCACATCATCCTCCCGCGGCACCTTCGAAGCAAACATCACCCTCCCCGCCGGCGCCCAGAACCCCATCGCCATCCTCACCGCCACCGGCCACAACTACCAAGACAACGCCGCAAACAGCACCGCATACCAATACTGGACCCCGATCCCTTCTTCCGGCCACATATCCATTCCCCGCGTAAAACCCGGATCCTACCGCCTAACCCTCTCAGCAGACTCCATCTTCGGCGACTACACGCACGACACCATCTCCATCTCCCCCTCGCACACCACTTTCGCCAGCGCAACCTGGACGCCCGAATCCGCAGGAAAAGAGCTCTTCCGCATCGGAACCCCGGACAAATCCTCGGGCGAGTTCCGCCACGGCGCCGTCGCATCCCCCACCTTCCCGCTGCTGACAGAGGAATACAGACTCTACTGGGCTGCCTACGACTTCATCGCCGATTTTCCCGCCGGCGTGACGTTCCAGGTGGGCAAAGACGATGAGGCTACCGCCCTGAATTACGTCCATTGGTCTGTCTTTGGCGGAAAGGCGAATAGCGTGCGCCCCGTGCCCGTGCCGGATCATGTGTATGATTGGACGTTGCGCTTCGATTTGGAGGAGGTGGTGGTAAGCGGGAAGAAGGCGACGTTTACGGTGCAGCTGGCGGGTGCGAAGACGGCGGCGGGGAATACGGATTTGGATACTGGGGAGACGTGGGCGAATTTACCGTTGAGTGTGAGTGTTAATGGTGAGGAGTTGGAGGCTTGGGTTATTCCGTGAGTTTTTTTTTAGTTTTTTTTTTTTTTTTTTTTAAAATTCTCCCTTACCCCTTCCTCTTTTCTTGCGTTTTTATTTCTTCTCTTCACTCCTAGGTTGTGTGCAATGAGGAATTGGTGGTCGGTTGCTGTACGGTGGGAAATGAAGCTAACATGGGAGTGTAGATACTACCAGTCTTCCTCATGTGCTGTTCGCTCAGCAGTCTCGTGCTATCATTTATCGCACAAATTCGAGTTTTCTGGGGATTTGCTCAAGGAAGGGAAGAATGAGATTGTCTTGGGTTTGCCGTATAATGCTACGGGAAACGAGAGTGCGCTACTACCCGAGGCAGTGTATGTGCAGTATGATGCGTTGAGGTTGGAGGTGGAGTAAGATTGATGCAGATTATCTTGTTTTGTTGTAGAAAAAAAAAGCTGGATGTGTTGGTGGGAAGTGGATGAAGATCATAACGTGTGACCGAGAGGTGGAAGAAACGGCTTCATTCGCTTTGTCATGTGTATGGACTGGTGCTGTAGTATGCAAATTAGTAACACTCCTCACACATATCCACATTAAACATACGAGACACATCATCACCTCAACCCACAAACACAACCATTCAAATGACAGACTCTGGTATTTCCATAGCTACTAAAATCCAATATATGTGTATATGTATATGTACATACACAACTTAACTACCACTCATATCGCATTCTAAACCATGTTCCCTCCTCTTCTTTCATCGCCACATACGGACATTCCCATATCAACTCATCCATCCCCCTCCCTTTTAAAGAGGGGTCTCACACAACCCCCAAGGATTCAGAACAATCCAAGGTGCCCATCTAAACAACAACAACAACAACAACAACAGCAAGAAGAAGAAGCAGAAGAAGCAGAAAATCCAAAAAGTGGATGTATTTACACAAAAGGAAAATAGTCCCAGAGTGGTAGGACGGAGATTGTCCCCATCATCAACAAACAAGCGCAACGAATGGCCAAATAAAATGTATAAAAAAAAACGGGAAAAAGGTATACGAGCGCGCGCAAACAAAGACAGACGGTAAGATGAAGAAAAATGGAGGGGCAGAAAAAAAGACAAACCGGCAGGGCAATGAACAAAAAAAGCTTCTCAAAACAGAAATGGTAAGACAGGGGAGGTGATGAGGGGGGGAAAGAGGGAAACAAGAAATAAAATCAAAAAATAAAAAGTTTGGTGTAAAATAAAAGGACTGGCAAGGTTTCCCTTTCCCCCCCGCAACGCTATGCAATTCATTCATTTCCCTTTGTATCGCTTTAATTTCTCTTTCTGCTTCTTGTTCCAAAAAAGACCCCCTTTTTTTCCAAAGAGAGGCCCCCAAGCACAAAACATTAACATTTTTAAAAAAGTTCCTTAACCCAAATCCCCCTCCCGCACGCGCGGTTTTCGTTTCAAAACAACCAACCGCCACAGGGACTACCTGGGCGGGCTCGCAGGAGGCGACTTGGGCACTGGCGATTTGGGTACTGGCGGTACGTCTGGTACATCCTCGCCGTTTGGTTGTTGCTGTTGTTGCTGATATTGTCGGAGATGCTCGGGCAGCTCTTCACGCGTAATCGTTGCTCTTCGTATGGCGTTGCGCAACCGGCTCATGACGGCCGGTTGTGAGTTGGCGCCATTTGCGGCCTGGTAGCTGGTCCGGTTGCCCTGCATGCTGTTTCGGCTGTGTGACGACTCGAGTCTCGTCAGCATGGCTGCCGACGTAAAATCGTTACTCTGCTCGAAACTAGGGCGCACACGGTCCATCGACATGCGCGCACGGTCGTAGCTCGGTCGCACACGACATTCAGTCGACATGCGGGGGTTGAGTGGAGGACCGTCTGAAGTGGGCGCTGGTGGGAGGCCTTCCATGGAGCGACGGAAGGTATAGTCTGTGCTGTTGCTGCCATTTTGGCTTCTTGCGTTGTGCGTCGTGGCCGTGGGCGCAACTGAAGGTGGGTATATGGGTCGTAAATCTTCGTCAGTAGGCGTAGCATTCGCGGCCGTGTATTTGGAAGGATCGGCTTCTGGGATGCTCGAGTCTTGTGAAGAAGCGACCTTCTCTGGTGGTGGAGGAATGAATGAAGTGGATTCTTTAAGATAGTCGAATTTGCCTTGCTTGACTTGCTCTCGAATAATGTCGGCATCCAACGGAAAGTACATCTTCTGCGTGGCTTTGAAGATAAAACGGGGAAGCAAACAAGCCGTGGTAGCACACAGAACATATGCCCAGAAATTGAGGTTTCCGTAGACTTCGGCTCCGGCCTTGTAGAACTGTTGACTGGCAGTAAAGGAGGTATAGGCGCCAGTCCAGAGCCAAACGAAGAGGGTACTGATGACTACGATGAGGACCATTAACCAATCCCATCGGTAAGTGTTGTACAAAACGTAAATGTTGGCGGCACAGACGGCAGTGGTAGCGGCATAGATACCCATGCGTCGGTACTCGGCAATGTCCAAGCCGTTCGAGGTCGCAAAAGTTGCAGGCTCGAATATCTCGTAGAGGAAGAAGAAAGCAATGGCGGATTGATAGATACCATCAACCATGTACGCCCTACGAATACGTTAGAGAATTTTCAAGTGGTTCTGAAGCATCACACTTACCAAAACTTTGGTTGCGTCCACTCCTTGCGTTCAATACCACGGCGATATAGTTGTGGAACAGCCAGAGACACCTTGTCGTTGACATCCTGATCCAAAACACCCATGACAATAACAGGGAGTGAGGTAAACGCCAAGTTAAAGAAGATGATGTATGTGTAGTCGAAAATATACTGGCTGTCGAAGTTGGTGTAGATTTGGTACCAGAAGAGAGAAAAAGTCCAAACAATGTTCTATTGAATGTTAGCGCATAAGCAAAACTGGCAATGATGAGAAAACGACTCACTTTGTAGAAAAAGTTGGCAATGGTCTCCGCAAGTCTGCGGTACGACCATCTGCCATGAACAAGCACAAGGCGGGTCAAGAAGCGGAACTGACCAATCGCGTAATCCGAAGACATGACGGCCGCGCGACCCTCAACACCGGCGATACCGACACCAACGTGTGCCTCTTGAATCATGGCAACGTCGTTGGCACCATCTCCAATGGCAAGAGTAAGACAATCCAGTCCGGTCTTGACCATGTTGACAACAGCCGCCTTTTGACTGGGACTGACTCTGCAGCACAGGACAGATCGACATCTCCTGCAGAGCAAAAGGAACTTTCTCTTGACGGACTCGTCCAAAGCCAGCTTGAGCGTGTCTCCATCGATGATGATGGCATGTGTGGGTGGAGGCGGTTCGTGGTCGTTTTGAGCGGCAGCCAACTCCTCCTCAGAACCCTCGAGACCAAAGATTTTGAGCTTTTCGTCAAGCTGAGCTTCCACGGATGCAATGGTATCATCTGTGACCTTGAGAATAATAAGATCCATGTCGTTGTCGAGCAGGTTGCACGAGAAACCAATGTTGATGGCCGTCTCTACCTTGTCACCAGTCAGGACCCAGAGCTTGATACCTGCCTGACCGAGAAGCGAGATGGACTCTGGTACACCGTCCTGAAGTCGGTCCTCAATAGCGGTTCCTCCTAGTAGCCAAAGGTGGTTTTCGATGCGGTCAGACACTTCTTCCAACTTGTCCTCACGTCCCTGGATGGCGTTGGCAGCAATGTCGTAGTCCTTGCTCCACTCTTGGTACTCTTCTTCAGAGATTTCTCTCTGGGCAATGCAAAGTGTTCGAAGTCCCTCGCGTGCAAACATTTCCAGGTGCTCTCCAGTATCGGCGCGAAGCTGTCGTTGCTCATTAGGAATCAATCGCGAGTAGATCATGCTGTCAGCACCCTTGCAGAAGAGGATAATCTTGCCGTCAGGCATCCTGATGATTGCGCTCATGCGCTTCCTGCTGGAGTTGAATTCGAGAGTGTTGAGAACCTGGTACCTGCGCTCCTGTCCCAAGACGTTCAAAATTAGATTGTCGTCTTCGCGGCCGACAAATGTGAATCCAACATCACGAGCAGTGGCAACAAGTGCAGCTTCGTCGGGTGATTGGGCCTTGAACTCAATCTTGGGTGGGTCGCCAGGGGTGCGTTCGGTGACGACGGTGTGGCAAAGAGCCAAAGCAAGCATGAATTCCTCATTGGCCCTCTTCTGTTCCATTCCGGCATCTCCGCGTAGATCGTCAATGAAGTCGGGCGCAACAAAAGTCAGGTCGTCGTCCCACAGATAAGGGTTGTCGTGCATCTTCCGGATACCCTCGAGCATGCGCGCACGATCCCTTGCAATCTGATCACGAGCCTTTGCGCCTTCCACCTCGACATCGATGCCTTGTCTTCGCTGCATTCCGGCCTGGGCCTCGGTGTAGGCCTCTCCATAGGGAACACCGTTGACGGTTGCCTTCTTGAACTCCATGACGTTCTGAGTAAGAGTTCCCGTCTTGTCCGAGAAGATGTATTCGATTTGTCCGACATCATCGGAGATGTTCCAAGATTTGGGAGTACAGGGGTAGTCGAGCTTTTCGTAGTACATGTTGATGTCGCTGTAGATGAAGAGGGCCTGGAGTGTTCGGATGATTTCCAACGTAATGTAGAGAGAAATAGGGACCAAGTTTTGGAAGAGAATGACACCAGCCCAGAAGGCAATGACACCGTCAGTGGCAGGGGCGCCTCCGTATGAGCCATACTCGAAGACGGAGTGCGAAGTGTCGTTACGAGCCCACGAAACTCCAAGCACAATTCCAGACACCAGACACATGGCGGCCAAGATGAAGAAGTTGTACACAACGTTCCAATTAAGTTCTTTTGAGATACGGGCTCGCTTGCTAGGCGTGATTCCAGAGTTGATCATGATCTTGCTCTCGTCGCCGGTGAAGATGACTACTCCCAGAATCCACTCAGTGTTTCGCAATTGACATCCACGGAGGACCAGATTGTTGATGGAGATGGGCTCGACCATTTCGTAGGGCTGTGCCTCGGGGTCCTTTGTGTTGTGTTGCTGCCACCGGATGGCTGCGCTGTATGAATAGAGGTTCGAGTGGGGGCCTTCGCTCTCGATGACGAATTCGGCGCGTTCGCAGTGTCGAGCATGCTTTACATCGCGGGTACAGTGCAGTGCGCTGCGCACCTTGAGATTCGTTTCGCCGTCCAGATTCTTAGTTTCGACATAGCAGGCGCCGTCGTCGGAAGATGTGGAAAGGACGATGACGTCGGCGGGGATTTCTTCGTTGTTGTATAGACGCACAAAATCGCCAACCTGGACGTTCTTCCACGCGTCCTTTTTGAAGCGGGCCTTTTCAGGGACAGACTTGTAAGGGTTTAACACGCTGCCCCAAAACTTTTGTGTAGTCTCGGGTTTCGAGTCAGCACCGCGAATCTTGTCGTTCTCTCCGGGTCCTAGAGGCCAAGATGGGGACTGGGTAGGGGACTGTCCGGGTAGAGGCGAAGGGACTGGTGTCATTTGAATGTCGCCTTCGTTTCCTAGGTACGACTCGTTGTGCGACATGACCGAGGCTCGGCGAGTATCGATTGAAGAGCGGGTGACGTCGACGGCCCCATCGCTGCCCTGCTTTCCCTTTCCACCTTTGACGCCCTTGATTAGCCGCCAGGTTGTGATGATGCTCTTTGTTGTCGCCTTCTTGATCCTGCGCCATAGCGATATCGAGTCTTCGGCCGTGTTGACATTGTTGAAGTCGACAAGTCGGTGGACTGGGGCGTTGTTCAGCTCCATGTCGAGGACGGTTCTGCGCCAATCCTCAACGGCATCCTTAATGGCGGTTACGACGAGAATGACAATGAGGGGCACTGCGTTAAGCGCTGGGTTCGAGGCACCGAAGATGGAGAAGATCTAGAAGGGGTTGGGGTCAGTTTTGGGTAGAGATGAATGGGCGGGGCGGGCGGGCGGGCGGGCGAAGACATACACCCAGAATGATGATGAACAAGAAGTAGACATTGGCAATGTTGTGGAACTGGAACCACAGATTCTTTGGCACGAAACTGAGAGGCGTGTATTTGGCGGTTCTTATCTTGTTGCGGGCGTAGGATTCGAGGGGGTGTCCTTCTTCGTCGCGCGCACTCTGGGGCAAGGGTACGTTGAAGTAGACTTTGCGACCTCCTTCGTTGTCGTCCACTTCGGGCTCGACGTCATCTGAACCCTCGACCGACTGGTCGCCGTGCTGGGAACCGTCTTCCTTGCCGAGCGAATATCGCTTCTCTCCTCCCGAGCCTATGCGCCGGTGCAGGCGTTCTTTGAGAGAGTTGCGCTTGATGGCGGCTTTTGTGCCCGTCGCGCGATGTGTGGCCCCTACAAGCAGTGTCAGCACAAGTCGCAGCCGGGCGCAGGCGGTAAGCAGCGGGTTCAAGAGCAAGCAGGCGACTCACATCGGATGCGCTTCTGGGGATGCGAGACCTCGGTCTCGTCGGGCTCGTTTTGCAGCGGCATGGTGCTTGTCGTCGGGGGAGCTGCGGAACGGCAGGGGAGGCGGCAGCCTGAGCCAGAAAGGCTCTACGCGGTGGTGCAAGCCAATTCGAGCAGTGCACGGGAGGTGGGCGTGACGAAGGGTTCAGTACATGTGGTGGTGGACGGGCGGGCGATCGAGTGGTTGTGGTAGGTGTGGTAGGTGTGGTGGTGGTGGTGGTTGTTGTTGTGGCGGGAGGGTGAGAACAGATGGGTGGTTGACGGGCGCGGATATTAGAAGCCGGCGGACGAGAAACAGCGGTTACAGAGACCAAACGGTAGTTTAGGCTGGGCGCGGCGCGCAGCCGGAGAGCGATTATGCGGCTGTGCCGCAATGGGAATGATTCAATACGATGCAATGGCGACAGCGAGGGCGACGTGGACGGCAGCGACTGACAAGATGCAGGGCAAGCCAGCAGGCAAGCAGGAGGGGAAACGGGGGCAGAGGGCCCAAGTACGGTATTGTTGCTTTGCCAGACCCTTGACGGGGAGTGTTGCTTTGCGCTGGCTTGGCTGTCTTGTGTGTGTGTGTGTGCTCTGCTTTGGGCTTTTGCTTTGCTGACTGCTTACATACGCGCACCGCAGCTCCTCCGGCAGCGATGCGGGAAGGGAAGGGAAGGGAAGCACACGCCCCATGCTCTTGCTCGGCCGGCCGCCACGGGCTCGCCCAAGTCGACGAGCGGCGCTACGTCGCCTCTTGTTTCCGGAGGTCCGCCCTGCGACCTGACCGTCCGCAGCACGCGTACCAACGACGGCCGGCAGGCCATGGCATTTGGTGACGCGTGGCCCGTCTTAGCCAGACGGCCGCAATGGGACGAGTGTGTGTATTTAGTAGCCGTGGCCGCGCCGCCGCCATGGTCTCGAGTAAGCCCACGGCTGTGCGCAAAGTGCATTATCCAGGTGCAATATCGATATGCACCATACACAGTACACTGCTGCAAAGCCATGGACCAAAAGTCAGCCATGCCATCAGCATGCGCCGTCTCAGTCAGCACCGCCCTGGTTGGCTGACGGCCGACAGCCACCACGTCGCGCGTCACTTTTCGCCCTTTATTTGTCCCTTGTGTTCCCCGACTCCACTCGAGGCTCTGCATCTGGGTGAGGCGGGAGATGGTCGGGTCCGAGTCCGTCTGTGCTGCTGCTCGCCCTCGCCGTTGCACACTGATCCGCAAATAGCATCCTCTTGCTCTCTCTGCACTCCCTCTGTAGCACCCCGTCATCACCCAAGCCCCTCCAAACAGCCTTGTTTTCAGCCCCAGCCCAGCCCACCAGCCCGGAACGCAGACAGCCTGCGACGTTGGCTGCCAAACCATGTGTGCGCCAAACAGCGACCATACTGGCACGGATGTCGGCTGAGGCGCCAGCCCGGCCAGTCTATGTCGTCAATGCCCAAATCGGGTTAGCGTCTCGGCCTCGGTCGACCGCGCCCACCGCCCCCGACGTCCATCGTAGTCCACATTGCTGGTGGTAAGCAGTGGGCTCGTCACGTGATACCGTGCCAGAGCCGGCTGCCCGCCAGACGCGTGACGCCGCCTCTCGACTGCACCCCGCCATGGAGCCATACACCACCAGCCACCACATACAACCCCACAAGCCATGAAGCCATGAAGCCGCACAAGAAAAGCATCCGCGACTTCTTCTCCCCTGCCCCGCCGCAACCAAATACACACGCCCCCGCACCACCATCGCAGAGAGCCCCAGTCCCACACACCACCACCAGGCGCGTTACCGACAATGGCACAGAGGTCGTGCTCAATTCAGACTCTGACGACGACTCGCTGCCCGATCTCGACTTTGGCATCACCGCCCCAAAGCCCAGCCCCCCAAAGACAGCCACAATCACCACCCGGTACAAGCGCACCTCCGACAACGACAACGACGGGCTACGCATACCCACCAAGAAGGCCAGGGACGATAAGAGAAAGTTCGACGCCCTAGTGCAGACGGCCCAGAAGAACCTCGAGACGGAGCGCAAGATTCAGGAGCACAAAGCCGTGCTCAACAAGGCGGTCCAAGAGCCAGTGACCACGCGAATCACCATCAACGAGGAAACACTCGGCCAGGCCGTGCAAGATGACGACGATGACCCCCACAAAGCCCATCGGCTCCTCCAAGCCATGCAGAGAACAAACGCTACGCAAATGGAATCCGTCTTTTACTTTTTTGAACATGACGTAGACACAGTCCCCGTGCAGAAAAAGTTCCCCGTCAATCTCCTTCCCCAGCGTCGGTGGGCTTCAACCTTTCAGCGGCCCGACACCAGAGATCAGGCATTCATGGCCGGCCTTGCACAACACATTTTCCGTGTCCAAAATCTTCCCAAAGAGCTGGCCTCCTGGATGATTGATCAAAGTACGCGCACCGCCTCATTATTCTTTTTGCTCAACTAATCCTTGCAGTTTGTTACAACCAGAATGAGGCGCTTAATTGCAAGTACCTTGAAATCCTCGAGGTGGCGTCTTACCCATGTCCAATGCAAAACAACTTCTGACATTCGCCAGGCTCACCATGACCGTCTCCATGGCCTGCTCGACTCAAAAAGACTCGACGCCATATTCAAAACCATAGGCACCAATATCACGCAGCTCGAGGCCAACACTCAGCTACTTCCGCTATCCGTCCCACAATCTGAAATCAAAACATTCGTCCCGCCATTTTTGAAGCAAATCACTAGACTCCTTACACGAGCCGCACCATGGTAGGCACAAGAGGTTCTGACAAAACGTACTATCGCTGACGCCCGCAGGTTACAAACAGCCACGCGCAGTCACGCATTATATCTACTATGTCACGTATGCTTGGATACCCGTGTCACCGCAGACTTTGACATACTGCATGCTGTACAAGACGCCATGGAAGTCATCATCTGCAACTTCGCCGACAACAACAAGCTGATATCAGGCGTACGAGGCCCTCCTCCACAAGACGATGTACCGTTTCTAATCGCCTCCCAGCTCAACACAATGATACCCCAGCTACTGACCAAAATCACCCATCCCGTGTTACAGAGAAACCTGACCTGCGCCTTGCCAGCAAAGTGTCCATTGACCGCATACCTGCAGCGCCATCTGGCTCTTTCGTTCCTGCTTCACCCCACACCAGTCAGCACGTCTCTTGTGGATGGCAAGGCACATGACCTTGTACTTGACCACATTGCAAAATCACCCGACTTCTTCATAAACAAGAATACTGACTATGGCCACCTCGCCGCCCGGCTAGCCCTTCTCGACGTCGCCATTGGACCAGGCCTGTTGGCTGTCCCGTACCAGCCGTTGTCAAGTTCAGCACCATCCGAAGCAGGCTCTTCCCCAGTTCAAGCTCCAGTGCCGGCTTCGTCAGAGGTTAGGCAGTTTAACGAGCAGATCGATGCACTTGCGCAACAAATCAAGCTCCTAGGTAATTCTATTGTCGAAGCTGGCGCGGTAGTGGACATTGCCATTCTAGAAACCAAAAACTCTGTAGAGCAAATGTGCTCACGATTGGAGCATTCGTCGCGAATAGGCGGCAAGAAGATTCACGACGTTTTTGGGAGCGACGAGGAAGACAGCCAGCTCCGGCTCAGCAAGTTTTTCAAAAAGACACACAAGCCATCGCGGGGTATCTTCAAGCAGAGTGAGGACTCTGATCTTGACCTGGTCGATGCCACGCAGACTTGAACATAGCTCGCTGTTGGGGGATGCTGCTCCCAGACCCCATGTTCCCAAAGTATGCCGTCAGCCATGACCAACAATCAAACCTCGTTCACACAAGTTGCGCCATGATGGCAGCAACCCCTGTCACTCCTCAATCAGAAGCAATTCCCACCGTCGTCGGCTCAGTGCTTGGCATGGTTGGGTTCCACGCAACGCTCTCAGGGGGATCTGCAGGAGCAGGTCCGTGTCGCATCCCCGCGTCGCCCGAGCCACTCTCATCAAAAGTTGCAACGATTTTCGACGCTCATTTCATGCACGCAAGCCGTGATTTCCTTTGGGCGAAATTGCCAAGGCGGTCTAGAAAGAGAGACGAGGCTTCAACCGCTGCCTGAAAAGGAATCTCTTTCAAACGTCGACCCCTTCGCTTGGTCGCGTCCAAGCTACGACGGCAAGCCAATATCTGCAGACAGGCAGATGAAACCCCACTTTGCCCTCGCACATGCACCGCTCTAGTCCTCACCTCCCAAAAATGTTCAAGCTCGTCCTTTGTCCGCCTGTCGCCTGTCGCCTGTCTCCTGTCACGCTGCATGGGGGGGGGGGCTTGCTGCGAGACGGCGGACTTGTTCATGCAAGCTAAGTTACTGGTCAGTCGTCGTGAGTGGGGGTTTGCGTTGCTTTAGTTCCCGTTGTACCCTGAAAAAAAAAGTAAGCCACGCTTGTCCGCATTGACTGACTCTCAATTCCATCACATGGGAAAGCCCATAATGTTCCCTCTCGTATTTTCTGTGTATTGCTTAAAACTATTGATTATGCCTTCCCCCATGCAACTTTTTTTAGGGGGGGATTAACAGCCCTGTAATAAGAGACAGGCATGGGATATCTTGGTTCCTTTCTTGGTTTTCTACGCACGGTTCTTTTTGCGCTCCTGTGCGCAACAGCCAGAATAACGGCATGTAGGGTGGGGGGAAGGAGAGGTGAGGCGGCGGCGGCGGGATATTGGAGTAAGGGAGCGAGCGAGGTTTCGAGTACCGACACGCGGCTCTGTAACAACTCACCCCTCTCTCTCTCTGACTCTCCGAGATGACTTGTCCGGTTTTGAAAGTGAGAAAGAACGGCCGTGTTGGGCTGGAATATTAGAAGGGGGCCTGATAAGTTCGGTGACATGTGAAATGGATTTGGCCCTTTTTCTGGATAGGTGGGGGTGTAGAATGTTTCTTGTGCATTTTTGGTGGTTGTTAAATCGGGTGTTTTCTTGAATTGCGAATGGATAATACTACATGGAAAAAAAAAGTGAGAACAACATTATGAAATCTGATGATACTGTTCACTTGAACAAGGGTTTAGAGTTGATACTCATTCTACTCTTCTTTTCTCGTTTTCCTCGCAAATTACACAACTTCAAGAAGAAGAAGAAGAAGAAGAAGAAGAAGAAGAAGAAAGTAATCATGCTAGAATGCGTTGTTGTTTCCCGGAAGATTTTTCTCGGGTAGCAATTACTAAAAACAATATTTATATTTTTTTTCATACGTCCCAAATTATGAGTGTGTGGGAGAGAGAGAGAGAAATGTAAAAGGACTCACGTCACTTGGAATAATAAACTTGAGAATGGCGATGTACATAGCACCATATGCATGCGTCCAATTAGAAGAGAGAAAAAAACAGTATAGAAAATAAACGGGAGAGATATAGAGAGAGAGAGAAAAAATGAAGACAAGAGAACAGAATGGAAACACAGCTGGAGTTTTCCACATCCATAACTGAGAAGCCATAAATTTAATAAATAAATACACATTAACCATTAGTTACCACACAGATATATATTATTTGTACTAGTCCTGAGCAAAACAAAAGACACCTTTCTCCATCAGAAAAGGGTCGCCGTATTGCAACGAATTTAGTACCAAACAAAAAACTCTGATTATTAGTCTTTTTTTTATGTACAACGAAAAAAAAGAGAGTAAACGCTACGTAAGCTCAGCACAGCCATATCTATCTGGGAAAAAAAAGTAAGAAAAAAAAAACAGACGATCGACGACGTTTACAAGACAGAGAAAAAAAAGAAACGAAGAATATGATACTTAAAAACCCCCGAAGATGTTTGTTCAGCGCTGCTGAGACACTGTTTTTTTGTATTAATGCTTCCCTCGCTGACTGCCCCCCCCCCCCCACGATTTACATCATCTAGGAAGGAAGAGAGAGAGAGAGGAAAAAAAAGGACTGAAGGGTTAAAGGGAGGAAGGAAAAAAAGAAGAAGAATAAGGAATGAAGGAATGGTAAGATGTCCCCTCCCAGAACCGTCTCTCACCTTCTCTTTCTCCTCACCTCCCTCATCTTTCACCCTTCAACCCCCCCTCTCTCTCTCTTCCCTAACCCCACCATCTACTCCACCTTACAATCCACCAAGTCCATTCTTTTCATCGATATGCCTGTAGCGCTCCTGCTCCATACGGTACTTGAGCACCATGGCAATGCACAGGACAAGAACGACATCGACGCCGACGATACCAAAAGCAGCCGTGAAGATCTGATCGAGGTACCTGTTTGCAAAAGAAGAGAATTTGCCGATGCAGCCGCCCTTTTGCGCGGCAACGAGCGTGTTTTGGCAGGTGCTGTCTTGGACAAAGGGTGGGGTGGTTGAGTTTACGTAGCCACAGCAGTCGAACTATATGTGGCGTTAGTCATAACTCCCCATCCATGTACATGTACATGTGTATATATCAAATCAATTTGAAAACCAAAAAAAAACTTACACGTTGCTGCAACAGAGACTGGATAAGAGGAGACTCGCCTCCCCAGAGGGCACTGAGGTTCCTACGCGTCTCGAGGGTTTCGATCCAGATGGCGACACCGAGGCCGAGCGTAAAGGTGGCGCAGACGACGACGAGCCAGCCTTGGATGCGGAGCCAGCCTCGGTTGTTGGGCAGGAAGAGGCCGGGGAGGGAGAGGAGGAAAGTGACGAAGACGAAGATGGCGTTGACAACGCCGGCTGGAAACACGTTGTTAGTTTGATGATGATGACGATGATGTTATGGTAGCAGTGGTAGTAGTTTCAAGATTGATAGGTCCATATATCAAAAATGTCACATTGGGTGTTCAATAGGATCTGTCGTCGTACCTGTCAAGGGACACTGTCCAAGCAGCAAGTTCTTCGTGACATTATCGACGGTAGGACTGGCACGCATCGATTGCTCAGAGAGGAGGGAGAAGCCCAGCAACAACCCTCCACAGCCGGCAAAGAGCAAGTCGACGCCCACAAACGTCATCATCAACTTGGTCGGCATCTTGACGGATTTTGGATACGGTCAAACAAGAAGCGGGAAGAGTTGAAAGTTGGCAAAGACTCTGAAAGAAACAAAACAAAAAAGAAGAAGAGAAAATAGGAACAGAGAAGGGAAGAGAGTTCGTCCGGCGTACTCGGTGATGGCTAACCACTGCGTCGAGCGAGTGAGTGAGTGACAGGGTAAAAGAAGATTAGATGGTAAGAAAAGAGGACGAAGGGGAGAAGAGAAGGGGGGGGGGGAGAGAAAGCACGACCAGCAAAGCACGCACGCAAGCAAGCCCAAAAAAAAAGTGGCGTCACAAACAGAAAAGACAAGTCTCACGGCATTATGGGGTGTTAAGGGCGAGCGTTAAGAGGCTCTGCGAGGGGTTGTGTTGCAGTTTGCAGACATGACGATGCGTGTGAGGTTTCAGTAGTGTTGGAAGCAAGAGCGTGGGGCCAATGAGAGCGCCAGAACGGGCATTGTGGTTCGATGTTTTGGCGCTTGCGACATCGGTGCGGCCACAGAAGGGGAGTAGAGCAAGCGAATTCTCATGGAGAGGTGGGAGAGTGATGCGACGTGATGGTTTGCGTATGTATGAAGTATGAAGTATATGGTGTATGTAAGTACGGTAAGAATGGATGTATGAATGGATGGGCGGCAGTAGTGTTTGGGGGGGGTCACGTGGGTACGAGTGAAGCGAAGCAAAGCAAAGCAAAGCGAAGCGGGTGACGGATGGCTTGTCGAGGGCTGGCGGGTGGGAAATGTGCAGGCGGCAGGCGCCACCAACAGTGCAGGAGGGCGAGGAAGGCTAGACCGGGCAGCTGGCGAAACGAGACCGCACGGGGAAGGAGGCTAAGGGTGGTGCTTGCCCAGCGATGCAGGCCGCGGCTTCCCAGTCGAGGGGGGGCCCACCAAGCACCTGCACCGTCCAAACACAGGGCCGCCTCGGGACGTTGGACTGCACCAAGCAAAGTGTCGGCCGCCGTGGCAGTCGGTGGCAGCTGTCGTCAAGGGAGGCGATGGATGATGGATGGGTCTGCATGCACAAGGGCTGGCACATGGCATTCGGGGGTTTAGGTAGGTAGGGAGGTAGGCAGACAGGCAGGTGGCATGCATGGCCGCGGGTAGTGTATGTAGTCGTGTAGGTAGGCCGTGGTGCTAATGCTCACCGTGTGGCCAACGACGGCCTCTCTGGCCACCTAGTCCCGACAGCGACACTCTCTCTCATACAGGCCCTAGGCAGACAGTCGAGCGTAGTTAGGTGAGTAAGCCGTGCGTGGTGTGTCTGTGAGTGTCTTGCAAGTATAGGCCGACCCGAGGGTGGGCAAGCGACATTCACCAGTTGACCGTCAATCTGACTTGAGCGGGACTAGCGCCCGTGTGCAGCCAATGGCGGGCGTTGCAAGTCCCGGGCCGTGCCCAGCTGGCGTCTAGCGCCGCCCTCGGCCTCACGGGCGGCGCTGTTTTTGTGTGGGAGGGCCGTTGCTGTTCATCCCCAAAAGCGACCTGACAGGTCCAGCTGGTCCAGACGCCCGTACTGTCCCTCTGCCTGCCCGCTGCCCGCTCGTCGACAAAGACACTTGTGTAGGAAGCCATGGCGACGGCCGTGGTCATGGCGGCCATGGATACAACAACACCAGCACGCTGCCCGCTGCCCGCTGGTCGCGTTTGCAGCCAGCCCGCCACCAGGGCAGCGATTCCTGTTCCGATCTGCGATTCAGAGCAGTGACCAGGGTCGCGCTCAAGCGGCATCCGCCCCCAGTTGCCAGTGGGTAGTTGACGGCCTGCCCGCACCAAAGCAGCCAAAGCAGCCGTCCAGAGAAATACTTGACCACTCCCGCCGTTTCATTCCCAATCCCGTTCGTCCCTTTCCTTCTCAAGACAGCTCGCGGGCTATACCTAACACCTCGACGCTGCACCTCTCTTTTCTGTCCCTGCGTGTCCGCGCCTGGCATACCGCGGCCCAGCTCCCCCACCCCACAGCGAAAAGGCAGGGTCACGAGAACCACACGCGCCCGCCCATTCTACTTGCCACTCTCTCTCTCCACACACACACCATCCACCTCCGTCCCCCCAACGGCGCGCGTGAAAAGCAACACGCCCGGCCAGCAACTGCAAAAAAGAGGAGCAGGACCAAAAAGCACCGAAAAGCAAAAAAAAAAAGGTCACACAACGAGGTGCGTACTTTCCGTCACGAACCGTCACCCCTACCCTTCCCTCTTTCCCTTGGCCTGGTCTGCCTGCCTGCCTGGCCCCCCTCGCACCCCCGGTCGCGCAGGTCAGTGTGGTCACGCTGGCTGGCACACCCCCCCAGCCACTCCCTGCCGCACGGCTCGCCGAGTAATTAGCGCTTTCCGCCGGCAGCACCGTGCGACCGAGCGTGCCCTCCCCGCGCACCCTTCCTTGCCATTTCCTGCTGCGCCATCACATAGGGACCAGCGCCCGATCTTTTAACAGGCCGCGCTTCCTTTTCCTATTGAGGTCAACCTTTGAGTCTAACCAAACTCAACCTGTCTGCAGTTCGTTCTGTAACATTTTGCCAGCCCGCCCAAACCACGCAAGAACGCCTGCCAACTCCCCACACTCCGCCGCATCCAGTTTAGGGCCCTCGTCCGCCAAACACTGCCGGTAACCACCAACACACTGCCGTCCTCGACAACCACCATGGCCAGCGAAATCACCGAGCACGATCAGAACGCGTCGCCGTCCGTCCACGACGACGGAAGTGGCTCTCTCGGCATGGAGAACCGCGGCGTCAAGCGTGCGCGCGCCGCTGCCGACGACGACGATGACGACGACGACAAGCCCGGCCGCGAGCGAAGAAAGATTGAAATCAAGTTCATCCAGGACAAGTCGCGTCGGCATATTACCTTTTCCAAGCGCAAGGCTGGTATCATGAAGAAGGTACGTTTTTGGTCGTCAAAACCGCCCGTTTTTTTCTTGTCCCTGTGCGCGCCGCGCGAACCCATTCTGCACACGCATCCACCTACTACTTACTCCCCACTGGCGCAACCAAGAAGAAGACGCCCTTCCCTTGCTGACCGCGGCTAATCCTCGCAGGCCTACGAATTATCCGTTCTCACTGGCACCCAAGTCCTACTGCTCGTCGTCTCGGAGACGGGTCTTGTCTACACGTTTACCACACCCAAGCTGCAACCGCTAGTCACCAAGCCCGAGGGCAAGAACCTCATCCAGGTAAGGCTTGCTCTGTTCTCCTTTCAACCCAATCCCTTTTCGCATCCCATTGCTAACCACACCCCGCAGGCCTGCCTTAATGCCCCAGAGCCCTCAAGTGGTGATGCAAACGGCGTCGACAACGACACGGTCGAGTCGCCCGAGGACAACCATGCTCAAGTGCCACCAGGCCAGCCCCGCATGCCCCCCAACAACCAGGCCATGCCCCAAGCCTACATGACCCCAGAGGCTGCTCTGCACTACCAGAGCTATCTGCAACAGCAGCAGCAGCAGTCAAACCAGTACCCCATGGCGCAACAGGGCATGCCCCGCCATCCTGGAGGTCACTACCCCCAGGACCAGAAGCTGGGCTAGACGTTAATACATGTATACTTCTACCCGTTCGGTAGCAGGTCAACTCCTCGCAAGGCGCATAGTAACTGGATATGGATACCCACATAATGGCAAAAAAGTAATCACGGTGTCGCTCGGCGAGCGGTCGCGCCGGTGTACGAAGATGCGGAATTTCGCATTACAATGGCGGTAGCAAGCAGTGTAGTAGCAGCAGCAGCAGTGGCACGATGTCATGTGGGCACGCAATGTTGGAGAGAAATGCAGTTGCACTTGTCGGACGACTGTATGTCCTTACGCGGATATTGGCGTGGTGTGGTGTTTTCTTTGTTCTCATCTCCTTTTGCCGTCACCCTCGACATCTCTAGCATTTGGTGTCTCATTTAGCAGGTACTGTTTAGATCAGATCTCTCTCTCTCTCTCTCTCTCTCTCTCGCTGCCCATGGCATCGGGTCGAATGCAGTACGATAATTCACTCTATGCTCCACCTTCTCACTTTTTGTCCCGTCCATTCGTGGGCCGCTACTTCCCTGTAAGCCTAGTTTGGTCTGGGCATTGCTTCCTGTTTTGTCGTCCCATACTTGCCTTTCTGGGAGAAGATGACGTGCCCATTGCCCCAACAACAAACTCTCCGTACTATCTGATCATGTGGTTGCCTATTTTTTTTTCTCAGTCGGGTTTGTTCACCAACCCTTTTGAATCCACAACGTAGCCCCAACAAACTCAATACTAGTGACCACATACACACACACCACATATACGTACTATCTCTTACTGCTCTACCCACCCCACAGTATTGTTGCCAAACTACACTCGGGACACGAGGCCTGAGGATGTAACGTTACCTCTAATCTCGTGCACGACTCGCCCAAGGTTTCCTTTACGGTCCGTTTATAACACAGATTCCCAGAAAAATGCCCTCGAGGTTCCGTTACACCCGCGAATGCATCACTTTTTGTGAAGCCCTATGTATACACAAGGAGGACTCGAGGCGACTGGGAAACCCCGGCTACATGAACAGATTTGAAATGGGGGACTGGGGAAGCAATCATCTTTGCCTGTTGCTTCAATACGAGTACACAGGTGGCACGATGTCGGTGTACACGTACGGGGAACACAGGCAGCCCACCGGTGCGAGCGCTCCCGCCACCGGCAAGTTTGGAACTTTACCAAAGAGCTGTGCACCTATAAAGAGGGTGTTTGAGAGAATGCAAAAGAGCGCCACAGTCGGGCGAATAAGGCTTCTGGGGGATGACGAAAAAGCCCTATGGGTGCGCAGACGAAGATTATCAATACTCAAAATCAGGGTCCTGGTCCTTTTCTTTTTTTTTCGAATAACGCACCTACCCAGACAAGGTAACTGCTTGATGAGACAGAAGCATGGCGTGTGTCGGACCACAAGTCTTTGATTGACGCTGGCTACTACTGCCGCCATAGGGCTGACCTTTTTTTTCCCCTGCCGGCTACCGCAAGGCCACAGTGACGGACCGCTCCGCTGAACCTCTCCACTTAAAGATACACACGGCGTAACTGTAGTGCGACAAGAAAAGCCTCCCGCCTTGTTGTCTTTCTTCCTTACCTGCCCACGGTGCTCACAGCCAACGATTTTCTCAAAGACATGGGAGGGGAAGCCTGGGCATGGATTGCGCAGACCCACCAGCTCTGCTCGCCTCATACACTTGACTGGATCTCACGCGTTCATATTGTGTAGATCCTGGCCACTTATTGATTGTGTGCCACGATACGCGTCACTCTGCCGCTCGGATGCCGGCTTCGTCCCGTCGCAGAGCATTTTACTTCTTCGAGTGATCCCCGCATTCCGCAGAGCCAATGCCCTTGGCTGGGTACCAAACGTGACACACAGACCTCGATTTCTTTTACATCACCAGTACCCTACCCGGCCATTGACACCATCGGTCCCGTGTGTGGTTGACCTCTTTTTGCGTTTCCACCAGTCCACACGTTGCTTTGTTCTTCCAGACTAAGTATACTAGCCAGCCTGCGCATTAACAGCACCATGGTATAAACGACCACAATACATGGGCCCCCAACCGAAGGATTGCATGACCCACTTCACAGCTGCTTCGCGTAGTCCATCTTTCAGCTTTGCTCACAACTAGGATTCGCTTAATATCAAGCCGTGGTAGAACAACCTCCCCTTGCTCGTATAGCCCAGCTCCTCGTGTACTTGCGCAAGTTCGCACGCCATCCCTATTGTCCCGTGCTGGGGGACCTGGACTCTCTCTCACCACACCATAGTAAGCGCGAACGAAAGTTGTGCACAGCTCACCAACCAATACACATAATTTCTTTTATCAGCTCGTCCCATCGATGATTTGCTGCTTCCTTATCTGCAAGTTGTTTGTTTCTCCTCCCACCCCCCTTCCCTTCCCACCTTTTCTTGCCATAATAGTGCCGAAGCACCCTATAAGATAAGTTTTTACGTCCTGCAAGCCGGCATATAAGCTTTGGTGATCCCCCTCGCGAAGTTGCACTTGGCACCATGCATAAAAGTGTGTTTGTGTACCAGGAGCTGCCGCGTAGCAAATTGTTTCTATAGGAATTGCCTGTCCCCTGACTTTTTCTTTCTCTCTCTCTCTCTCTCTCTTCTTCTTTTCAATCTATTCTAGCTGCTAGGGCTACAACTTTGAAAAAAAAAGATGACGCGCCAGGTCGAAGGACCCAAGGTGACAGCACCAACGCAGAAGGAGGTCCTAAGCCATGCTACCACCAATGACCCCGAGATGCCCGCAAGCCTCCTCTCCGTCGACGCCGACGCCCTCAAACTCGCCTCAATGGGCTACACGCAGGACATGCGCCGCAAATACACTGTCTGGTCCGTCCTAGGCGTCGGCTTTTCCATTACAAACTCGTGGTTTGGCATCTCGGCCGCGCTCATCACAGGCATCAACTCTGGCGGGCCCTTGTTGGTCATCTATGGCATCTTGCTCATTGCCGTCATCTCGACGGCCGTGGGCGCCAGTTTGAGCGAGTTGGCGAGCGCAATGCCGAATGCTGGGGGTCAGTACTTTTGGGCGGGTGTGCTGGCGCCCAAGAGGTGGAAGAGGGGCGCGAGTTATGTGACGGGGTGGTTGGCGTGGTGGGGGGCTATGTTTACGAGTGCGTCGGTTGCGTTGGCGGTGGGAGGTGCGGTTGTGGGGTGTTGGCAGTTGGGGCATCCTGAGTTGTAAGTACTTGGTTTTTATATTTCCCTCTTTTTTTTTTCCAACTACCCCTCCCCCCCATTATTCCCATTGTCCTGTATGGTTATGTGGGGTGAATGTCATATCATGTGGTGATGAGATATATATGTATGTGTGTGCGTCCATGTGAAAGAGAGATGGAGAAAAAAAAAAGAAGAAGTGCTGAGTTGTTGCCCACCCCCCAAAAGCACGATCAAAACCTGGCACGTCTTCCTTGCCTACCAACTCTCGAACCTCTTCTGCTTCCTCTTCAACTGCTACGGCAAGATTCTGCCTAGTATCGGCAACACCACGCTCTGGACCTCGCTCATCTCCTTCCTCGTCATCCTCATCACCGTCCCCGCCGTAGCACCCACCCACCAACACGCGCGCTTCGTCTTCGCCACCTTCATCAACAACACCGGCTGGAGCGAAAACGGCATCGCCTTCATCGTCGGCCTCGTCAACACAAACTGGGCTTTCGCCTGTCTCGACTGCGCCACGCATCTCGCCGAGGAAATCCACTGTCCGGAGAAAATGGTGCCCATTGCCATCATGGGCACCGTCGCCATCGGCTTCGTCACCAGCTGGTTCTTCTCCGTCGCCATCTTCTTCTCCATTGTCGGCGACTTTGCCGACATCAGCGCCTCGCCCACCGGCGTCCCCATCCTCGAGATTTTCTTTCGCGCGCTGAATAACAGCACTGCCGGCGCGATTGCGCTCGAGAGCTTCATCATCCTCACGGGCTTGGGCTGTCTCGTCGCCAGCCACACGTGGCAGAGTCGCCTGTGCTGGAGCTTTGCGCGCGATCGCGGTGTGCCGGGGCATCGCTGGCTGGCCCGCGTGCATCCCGGGTTGGATGTGCCGCTGTATGCGCATGCGGCCAGTTGTGCGGTTGTGGCGGTTATGGGGTGTTTGTATTTGGCGTCTTTGACGGCGTTTAATTCGTGAGTTTGTTCTTTGTTCTCCTTTCTTCTCTTGTACCGTTTTGAATGGATTCAACTGACGGCATCATGTGTTTTTTTTTTAGAATGATCACGGCGTGTATTGTTCTTTTGTATCTCAGCTACGCAATTCCCGTTATATGTCTTCTGGTTCGAGGCCGCAACAATATCGATCATGGCCCGTTTTGGCTGGGCCCCTGGGGCGCGGTGGCAAACGTGGTGTTGCTTGTCTGGACGCTGTTTACGCTTGTCATGTACTCGTTTCCTTATGCGAAGCCTGTTGAGCCGGGTAATATGAATTGTAAGTTCACTTCCCCCCAAGTTCTCTGCTTGGGAAAGCAATTGAGAGGACTGTGCTAATTTGAAATAGATGTTTCTGTGGTATATGTTATTGTTGCTTCTTTTGCGGGTGTGTATTGGTTGGTTAGCGCAGGTAAGAACTTTAGTACGGTGGAGGAGCGTAAGGTAGAGGTGCTTCAAGGGAGGGGTGTGGACGGTTAGATTGGACGGTAGTTGGTGAGTGGAAAAGCTTTTAGGCTGAGTTGAATAGTGTAGTATGGACATTTCTAATGACCGAAACGTTTGTCTTGAATTAATAGGAGAAGCTCGGATTTATTATAGTCCAATGTTGAATGAGTTAGAAGGTGAAAATGTTCTGTGGAGAAGTGCGATACACATTGTACATTTAGTAGTAATTGTGGTGTGAGCTCATTTCTGACGTCTGAAATTACCTGATTAGGATATTCCCTGTGTTATCATGTGCAACTGCAAATTCATCAAGTCAACTGTGCAATGCTTTGATAAAAGAGTTGCTATGGAGATAGAAGAGGAAGCGTAATAGGCTTGGCATGCCCAGGAACGCGGACGCGGGGCGCTAGTAGTAGCAGAGGCCGCGTCGCGCGTTTGCATTGGGGCCTTGTTCGAATGCACTGACGTCCCATCATATGTGCCTTTTCTTTCTTTCTGTCGCAACTGACGCCCCCAAACCCTTACCCTCTTCCCACTGAACCCGCTCTCTCACCGACGCTCCTTTGACAACACATTCCCAAGTCCCGTATTTGCAATCCACAGCTGCACTTGCACGTTTGACCCAGAATCGGTGCCGCGCACCGGGTAATTGATAGCGTGCGTCCGAACCTCGGTTTCAGGCACGATTGATAGGTCATCGCCTTGTAGATAGACACAGGTGCGCATTCGAAAAAAAGCGAACAGGAGTCTTGGGCGCGCTCAATGCTGGGTTGCGGCTTGGCATCTCAAAGGGACTTGTGAAAGGGTATTCCGTCCCCAAGTGAGCGTCTTGGTGAGAGAGTATGGCGGAAATACTCGAGAAGATAAAGTAAGTAGTGAGACGCGCAGAGCCACACGTCTCGTGCCTTCACCTATCGCAGTCTATTTTATCCACCAGCCTGCGCCATGTGTTCCTTCCTCAATCATCTCTGTGCACCTTGACTAGCCATGGCTGACTTGGCTCCTTGCAGCGAGCTTCGAGAGCTGCCCGAAGACCAGCATCTCTTCTGTCCTCGCATCGGCGACGATGGGTCTGTTTACTACGACGAAGACATCGCCGCCTACCCACTGGAGACCGACCCCGCCGAACTCGAAGATCGCAGGATAAAGATCCAGGCAGCCGAGGAGCGGAAATGGACGGCGCTCAAGGCGACGGAGATATTGGCATTTGATGGAGAAGAGGCAGCACCACATAAAGAATGGCTGATTGGCCGGCTCAACCAACTGATGCAGAGCTGTGATGTCTGTGTGAGGGTCTTCCATCAGTCTAGAGCCGAGTGGCGGACACGTCTGCTCGATTCGTATGATGAGGAGAACATCGGTCCATTCCTAGAGGTGGTGGATGCTCAATGCTTGCAACGCATACACAAAGGCCTGGATGAGGCGACCGAGATTCTCCGTAAAGCCGAACCGAAAACACGCTCAGTACGACTGCTGCCGAACGAATGCACTTATGGCTTTTTCGAAGCCTTGAGCTGCGATGCACTAATACGCAACGAGGAGCTCCTTCAGAAACACTTTGACGCTCCCTTTGACATGGTTCAAACGAAGAAACGATTAAAGGTCCAAACATACCTTCCAGCCATGACGCGCTTCTTGTTCAGCAGGGTCGAGCGGCGGCAAAAATGGGCGACAGAGTCGTGGTCTACTTTCAAGCGCAATATGTTGAAGTCTGAGTGGGATTGGGCTGTGCGGGACTACGTCACAAGTGCCATGATGAAGATTCAGATGTACAACCTCGACATCTCCATGGTACCTCTTTTTTGGAGTGGCGCGCGGCTCATAGTCGCAAAGATGGACAGAGACCTCATTACCGAATCCTTGCGAGGGCTCGACGGAGACTTCTACCGGCTGATGCTCGATCACCTTTCGCTGAAATCAGAGGGCTTCTTGGACTTGATTGCCACCATGAAGCAACTGCTTGAAAAGTCTCCAGTCGACTACTGGGACGGCATGAATGCGGTTACCCCGTCTATTGCCACCGTGGTCGAACAAGTGTTTAACAGTCCCGTTTTCAACCAAATACTCTTAGCAGCGGCGGAAGACAAAGAGCAGAATATGAATAACCTCCATTCCGCCTTTGGCTGGATACCGCCTTTTCTTGACTCGATCAAGCTGGCAAATCTTGGACCAGCAGTTCGGCCTTTTGCTCAAGCACTTCTTGGCCGTTTTCAATTAGACAAGTACCCGCAAAAGTCTCGGGAATACTGCTACAGGGAAGGTCTTAAAGTGCTGGACTATGCATTCCGCAAAATGGGAGAAGGCAAGACTATTGATAGATTTGTTGGCCAGCCCACCGTCAACAGCATGCTTGACGTGCTATCTACCTACATACAGGCACTTGTTGTGAACTTGAAGCGTTTCAAGGGTATTAAAGAGGATCAGGGGGACTTTCAATTAGCACTCTCGGTCATTGAGCATGCTTTCAAGCTCGAGGCACAGTCTTTGATCATCGAGAGGCAATTGATATCTGCGAAGCAGCCATCGCCCACTGAGACACCACCGTCCAGTCCTATCTGGAAGACTGTCTTGAGGGCGATTGGTCCCGACAGCTTGGAACTCGCAACGCATATGCTCATTGCTGGGAGGGGCTTGATCGGCCTCGAACCACTGCAGATGAAGTCGGGTGTGGACAAAGTGCCCCCGACGGTGCGCCATTTCAACGATCGCTTTAGGTTGTTGTCTCAATCTATTACCGATGTCGTGGAGAAGATGTCTGAATTTGAGCCCACCTTGCTGCAAGCGCTATTTGGCCAACAACCCGCAGCCAGTGCAATTGTCTCGTTGATGTTCTCATCAACGGAGGATACCCGCAACTCCGCTATTGAGCTTTTGAAGGTCATCAGTGGAGAAGAAGAGCGCCGCGGGGCACTGCAACACATCTTGAAGGCCCATTACAGGCATGTCGTGCGAGGTATTTCAGATTCAGTGCGGCAGGTCAGGCTAAAGAAAGCGTTTTCTCCCGTGCCCAGTATGATCAGGACCTGCAACGATATCATCGACATCATTTGCAACTCCCAGGATGGTATCTTGCGTGGCCGAGAATACGAATCCGGAGACGCCGCGGTGACGATGAACCTGTGGGAGAATCTTTGGGACTCGCTCACTATGATCTTTGCAACGACCGAAGCCTGGAGTAATCTGGGCTTCTACGACAAGGCTATGATGATGGATTTCTGCAGAGACACTATGCAGTTTGCTGATGTCCTGTTTGACCAGTGCAGCATTTTTGTGACTGCCTTGAAACCTCCTTCCTCCGATGATGAAGAGACCACGTCAAAAACTCAGTTGCTGAAAGAGCTCCTGGCGCGACCTGCGAATGCCATGGAAGGTCTGGCAAGATGGTTGCGTCTCCGCGATGAGTTTTTGTCGAGTAAATCCGTTACCTTGATCAGCAAGCTTTTAGTCCGGTTACACCGGGTATCCATTGAGATTGATGCTGATACGCTCTCGTACATGGAGCGCGTGCTCTCAGGAGATGTGCGCGCGAAGCTTAGCGATACGCAGCAGGCTGAGCTGCAACAGGCTTTGGAGGAGCATCTCGGACGCCCGCTTGTCAAGGAAGAAGAGCCTGCTAAGCCCAAGCAAGTTTCCATCAGCAAATGGATGGCTCCTGGTGCTGCTTCATCGTCACCAGCTGATGCCAAGGCCAAGTTGCTTGCTAGTATGACCTCTGGATCGAGCAAATTCCAAGAACGACGAGAGCAGATGAAGGCTGCAGAAAAGGCCGCGCAAAAGGCAGCTGAAGACAAGAAGAATGCTACGCAAGCCGAGTTCAAACGCAAGCGGCAATTGGACAAGGAGAAACGCGAGAGGGAGAAGGCTGCTGCGGTTGCCAAGGCCAAAGCAGCTAGGGGCATCACTGCTGAAGCTGGTTCTGGACTGGAAGGTTTGGGAGTCTTGGGCAAAGATCAGGCTGCAAAGGGCGAAGGCTTGATGCATTCATCTGACGAGTCATCGGATGAAGAAGGAGACATTGACGAAGACCTCTTTGGTATCAAGAAAGAAAAGGTCAAGACCGGACCCAGAACAAACATTGTCAACGAAGTCAAAATTCAAATGCCGACGAAAAAGAAGAGGGCTCAACGATCTGCCAAGGACATGCGTGCTCGTTTGGCACCTGATCTTAGTAGCTTACACCGTACTATCCTCAGCTGGAACTACTTTCACGAGGGCGACTTTCCGCCAAAGTCAAGACCAGAGCTGTATTCCAAGGTTCTCAACACTTTCCGTACACCCAACGACTACCAAAATACTTTCGAGCCGCTTCTAACCCTTGAAGCGTGGCAAGGCTTTGTCAAAGCTCGCGAAGAGAACCAAGCTAGGCCATACGAGATACGAATCACGTCGCGAGCTGCTGTTGACATGTTCCAGGAGATTGGCAGCACCATGACACATGTCGAGAATAGAGAAGTGTTCATCTCTGAAGGTGACATCATTCTCTTTTCGCAGTCAAAGAATCCATCGGCCGAGGAGCCGACTTGCCTCGCCAGAGTGTTCCGTGTGAAGCGAAAGCAACAACACATCGAAGTCTCATACCGCGTCGTACCAGGCAACCCGCTGAACTCGGCGCTGCAGCCAAACAACACTCTGCTTGGTACTAAGCTACAGTCCATCACTCCTCTGGAACGTGAATATGGCGCGCTCAAGGGTCTTCAGTACTATGATCTATGCGACGAGATCATTCGGGCGAAACCATCTCCTCTCCTCACCTACAAGGATAGTCAGATCCAGCCGCTCATCTCTAACTACAACGTCAACACTGCACAAGCGAAAGCCATCAAGTCAGCTATTGACAATGATGCGTTCACTTTGATCCAAGGGTAAGTCATGACGTGTACGTTTACTACTACAAATGCTAATTACTATCGCAGTCCCCCTGGCTCTGGAAAGACCAAGACCATTACTGCCATTGTTGGAGCTATACTGAGTGACAGCCTTCGCAATCGCGGTACCGCTATTTCTGTTCCCGGTCAGCAGCGATCGGAGGCTGC